TTCACTTTGAGACTTAGGACTACACTTCAGTTGTCTACAACTTGCTATGACAAAAAGGTCTCCGTCTTCCATATTTGTCCCGTCTAAGTACATTATGAGATTGAAAGACACCGCGTCGAATAAAGATTACAAACACATCCTTGGAGACAATGCTTTCAATCTCGTTCACAAAAATCAGGTCGCGACCCAATTTTGAGTATCAAGGGGCCGCTATCTCCCAAAATTCGTCTTTCAGGTTAACCATGCATAACCTGTAGCTCAATCTTGACACGTTTCTTTATACATACCTTTAAGCTCCTGTTATACATTATGGTGCTGAGCTGGCTCGTGCGTTCACTTCGTGCTCCTTTCGTGTTCCTCTCTTGTCGTAATAGTAAAAAAAACAAGGAGAATATCAGTAAGGTATTACAATAGTTAAACGGATCCAACGGCATGAAGAGGGAAGTAAGCTGGAATCTTTTTATTCCATTAGAAATAACGCGCAAGACCGATGTCATGACTTTAGGCGTGATAGTTAAACTAGACTGGAAAATGAGTGTATCATGTACGGATCATCGTACGAGCTTACTCAATTATAACAGAGAAGTCTCATATTTGTTTGCACCAGGCTCCCCCGCATCTCACTAGGAATAGCTGACGTCATTGTTATTAGTTGGTTCGAGTTGCGGTTATTGCATGAATATGAATGTGAACACTGGGGTATGATTCTTGTGGAGGTACTGGAGGTAGTATTTAGACATCTTCACGATGGCTGAGGGAACCCCTATACTGCGTTACTGGGCTCTGAAATACGGGTGTGTATCCAAGAAGACAATAAATATGATGTTACAAATTAACATTCTAAAAGAGAATGTATTCTTGATGATAAAAATGCATCATACGTACATACACGAGACGACGACGGGATAAGAAAAGAAATGCACTCATATGAGGTTTTCGTAAATTCTGCTATGGTGACAGCTTACCATGGAATCTCTCTACTTAAGGGAGTCTTAAGAGAAAAGCATTCGATTTCTGCCGATTCTCGGTCTAACGAAGTCTGAAATGGCATAGCAACCATCAAGTGTTGTCCTGAATGGCGAAGCCAATGAAATGACTGTTGAGTAAACCTGAGAGTATTGTAAACCATGATCGAGATGCAGGAGTTGGGTGTTGTCTCTGATCTGAGAGCTGGGGGAAAATCGTTGACGGGAAACGGAACATCCCTAGTCTCTAAGATAATTTTAATAATGACAGGCACTCAACATGATGACTTTAAAATAACACATTCAACGTAGCTTCCCTTATTCTTAACCTAAAACTCAATGTTTAGTTTAGTAATGTGTGTTTACTGATCCTGTGTGTAGGTCCCTAGGCAGGTCAAGGCAGAATTACATGTCTCTCTTCCTGATTTCGACAGATATCAACAGCGACAGAACAAATTGAGCTAGTATGATGACAGTATATGCGTCATAAACATTATAGAAAACAGAAGGTCACTACATGTAATAATCAGATAAGAGCGCGTACTGTATTTGTTCCAGTAGCAGACCCCTCATCATGTAGTTGGGTTAAACAAATCATACATTCGGCGAACCACTAGTCAAGCTACGTCACTTTCATCGATCTGATTGCCAGGCTCATTAAGCATATCAGATCCGACCGAGACGGGGTTGAACACAACCGTTACAACGTCGCCGATCCAGAGAAACAATGAACTGTTGGACGATCAGACACAAATTCGCTCATCTCTCATTGATTCCTCATGCAATGAATTACCTCGATGGCGGTTGACTTTCAGTTACCTTTGCGACAAACAAACGATTTCTTCGTGCCGACTGAACCGATGCCCATTAACTTAACAGGTAGCCGGGAAGAAGCATTACGTCTAAGGTACCAGGTAAAGGTTGTTTGAGAGAATTATAGTTCGGCGCAATTGACCGAATTGTCGGGACCACGGCTCATCGGCATCTTAGCGCATCTTCACCAACGGCGCCGAATCACAAGCCTGAAGGACCCCTTTTTTGGCTTTCGCACTCTTTGGTGACGAAAGTGATCTGCAAAATGGCTTTTTATCCGAAGCCACTTGTAACAACGGCTGGACCCTTTCGGAAATCACGGCTTTGTGCCAGTCAATGATATTCATTGATTCTCGGGGACCTGTGCGTTGTCGTAGGTGGCCCTCAACGGATAGATAGTCTAGTTCAATTCAAGGAAGTTTCCGTATGAGATTGTCCAACTCTTAGTATCAAAATATCCACGAATCATGTCAAAGAACCACAATAGTGTTCACTCAACAGACAGTTTGCAACATTGAGAACTAAAGACAAGGGCAGGATCTATGCATTGTAGACCCCTATTGTCTGCGAAGCTTAACGTCATGGTCCCGGAGGGCCGTTGGGCTCAGGCACACCCGAAAGCACAGTTGATCAATGAATTCACTTATTGAGTTCCCGTTAGAGGTGCTCTGAGCGGAGAAAGAACAATATCAATCTCCGCCACTGACGCTTTTGCTGACCATCTGATATGAAGTCTGTCTTTGGAGTTCAGCTGCCATCACCTGATATGACGCGCCTAGCCAGTCTGCTGGATGCATCTTTGTGATTCTCAGCTGTTGAGCCGCATTGAAGTTCAGCGTTTCGACGTCATGCAGATCCTCAACCTTCATCTATAGTGTGTGGTCAAAGCACTTGGCCTGTGAAACTACGCATAGTCGTGAAGAACATGGCTAAGACAACCTATCCGACATGTGAAGACAGAGAAGTCATGCCTCTGTAACTACGTAAGTGACGAATCACCTCAGAGGAGCAACGATCTGCGATAATTCCAAAGATAAAAGGAAGCATCCTATCTCGTTGGATAACAGTTTGCTTCTTCATCCAAACAGGCATCACACATTCTACTTCAGACCCTGACAGACACAACCACAATCTTGCCTCTTCATCATATCTACACAACTACAAACCAACCTCCAACTTCATCAAACACCAAGACAACAAATAACTCAGATCAGAAAAAATGACCCAACTCACCAAGGTTCTCATCGTCCTCGCCGCTATCGGCGTGACCTTTGCGGCTCCCGTCAACCAGCCTCGCCAGCTTGGCGGAGAAGGCAGCGCTGCGGATTCTATCATCAGCGATACCGACAACGCTTCTGGCTATGCCGTTGAAAACGCCGAGGATCATATCGCCGAACTCCTCGGCGGCCATCCTACCGAGCCCGATGAGCCCAATGGCCTGAGCGGCAGCGGCAGCGGTGGTGGCAGCCCCCCTCCCCCTCTTCCTGGCCCCAAGGCCAGGATGGTCAAGATGACCAAGAGACAGGGTGACAAGATTTCCAATGGTGGTGCTGCAATCTTGAACGCCGTAGGACTCACTGGGGAAGCCGACCTTGTTGAAACTGACGGAGATGCTATTGACGGGCAGACGACTGGGGACGCGGCCCTCATCGGACAGCAGGTCGGCGGAGATGAAGAGGATGTCGGCGAGCGCGTTGGAAACTTGGTCCCCAACAAGGTTCCTACTGCTCCCGGCGTCCCTGGAGCTTAAGCTTTTAATGAGCACTCTGGCGAACAAACATGGTGGAAGTGATACTGGGAGTTGCTTGAAAGTTTGTCACCAAGTGACCTTCCAAAACTACTATCATTACTCAAGGTCTGAGAATCGTTAAAAGGGCAATAGGTTGTGCAGGAATGTGCCGAGTGAGAAGCCAGGAACAAGTGATGCGGCGCTAGGAGCAAGGTTTTGCAAGCGGGTGTTAGCCATTGATTTCAGCGTGTACTTTAGTTGTTATTCTATAGCATTAATTAATCTTTTAAAATTACGTTTTCAATTACAGTATGCCACATGAAAGTTTCAGAAGAATGGACTATTGTCTATTTATCTGCCCCTGGTGGTTAACTTAATCTGCTGCACGTGTGCATAGGATAAACCGACGAGAAATAGACTCTATCTCCATTTCGGTCGCCTTGCGGGGGTCCCTAGCCTTCGCGAACCTTTCAGTGGTTAAAGATTTATTAACGTCGGCTTTTGCAGGAACCGTGCACATTAACGTCTCATGTCTATGTAAAGAGGAAGACGTGGAAGCTGTGACGAGGATCACCGACAACGAAGTCGGGTGCAGCCAATTTTGTGGTGCTCTATAGCACAAGTCGTTCATAAAAACGGTGGTTTGTATTCATCGTTCCCATGTATAGTCTTGAAAACCCTTTACTTGTTGTACCACTCGAACAATACAGATCTGTCTAAGCTCATATATCAGTTTATGATGCTGAAATCATGCGCCAGAGGTCTCTAATCCTCCACCGAGAATTGGCTCCACCTGCCCAATAAGCTTAGACAACTAGAGTTGCTGATCATAAGGTAATGTGAACGCTTTGACATGACTGAGAATGTCGAGCCTTTTTTGTAAGAGGGCATTGTTTAGGTCTTGTGCAGCACCCTGTAGATTGAGCTTCAAGTAGTGTATCTGCCTGTCCATTGCTTTCAGCTTTGAGCCAGCCTCACGATACTTTCGCTCGGTGTCTTTGAGTAGTCGTGTCTATTTGGTCTCCAGCTCCTTGATATTTTGTAGCTTGCCCTCATAGCTGTCGCGATCGGCAGATGGGCGTAGCGGTGTTGAATCGCTAATCTCTATTCGCATGGGAGAAACATGGACTTCTACTGGCTGTGTGCTCGACTGCTGCGGGGGTCAACTTGGGGCAGAGACCACCATAATTCGACAGAATTGGTCGCTTACAGAGCATGTTTAATTGCCACCAGGAAATTGTGTTTCATGTCATGGTGATAGCAGTTGGCCTGCACTGCCCACTAACAAACAGTTGAACTCCCATTGTTTAACTGTTAATAATAATAATATGCATGACTTGCGATTGTTTCCTTGTTTTATTCCATTCTAACATTTCACGGCAGGCAATACTGTCTGCTTACTAATGACGTCGCAATCGTAGGACTTTTACTCACGCGAATGAAAGATGATGCCATGAGGTTTCGCAGTTTGATCCTCCAAAACCATACCCAAAATGAGTCTTGATCCAAACCAAAACAGACTCGAGTTCTTACTGCATCATGTCGAAGATGAACCAACAATCGTCGACTACCGCTCCCTTGCAGAAGTAATCCAAGGCATTGCGCAGACAGCTGTGAGCTTTGCTGTTATCGGGGAGGTTGATGGCGCTACAAACTCCTCGAGACTCTTATCAATAGAGGAATTGACCCTTTCGACCATTGCAAGACATTCTACCCATTCCTAAAGCCGTGTATGTACTTTGCTTGGGAGGCAACCTCATCTTGGCCGTCATGGATCTCTCCAGATGAACGCACCGAGGAAAAGTTCCTCGAGATGGAAGAGCAAGGTCGCAAAGTTTGGCTCGAGAGGTTCAGTGAGGAATGTGAGGTTACAGAGGAAACTGCTAGAAAAGCACTTGACATGGCGTACAACGGTCTACAATCTGAACTTCCAGACTGGGATGGTACTCTTGCAGGCCAAGTCGTGGTGGCAGAGAAGATGAGCAAAGACGGAGAGTTCTCATACTCTGCTAGTCCTAACGGTCCAATGTCTGCCAAGTACATGAAGATAGCCATGTGGTGGCGTCAGGGAATATTCCCATATCCTTATGTGCAGCTCTATCGCACGGCAGGATTGATGATCGCCCTCGACATATACACCCGACTGAACCAGGGCACCGAAGCTAGAGAATTATTTGACAAGATATGCGGACGAATTGAGGCCTGCGAGATGATTGAACAACTTGTTTGTTCCCGGTTGGTGTGGAGTAAAGTCATAGTCACTCCTCATCTGCCCATGCTGGAAATGCTCAACATCCATCCAGCCAAGGTTCGACCAGCTATCTCTCGCGCTGTTCAAATGGCCAAGAACCGTCTGGAAACTAGACCGAGACGTCGATACATGAATCAGAACCTGAAGAATCTGGTTCACACGATTAGCAAGAACACCTTCGAGAACTGCCCTTACGATGATCTAGACGTTTATCGTCCATCGGACCAACCTCGACCGCGGCTCGAGAACACTGATGGCCTTTTAAGGCCAGGGTGTTCCTCCACAGATATAGCCGCATTGGAGAAACGATTGGAGATACCTCTCCCTGACGACTATAAAGAATTCCTGAGCGTGACAAACGGGCTTGAGGCGATCTGGAACGGCCAGAATGCCCTTCACTATTTGGCAAAAGCTGAAGATGTCAGTTGGCACGACCTGGACTTCCTTGAAGGGAATGAGATTCCTCTGCTTCGCGATGATGAACCTCAATCTCATGCTGGTAACATGCTATCGTGGCCCACACCAGAAACCCTGCGGTGCATATGTCTCTCAGGCGACCTCAACCAGCACGAAGCAAGTGCCCATCTGTTTCTCGTAGGTCCTGATATTGTTCAACCAGCCAAGGAGTACTTCTTTTCCACTTACCAAGAACGAAACGAATCTCAGCGCCGTGAACTTGACAGTCTTGTCCAAGAGACGTATGGCAGCATGGGTGTCTTTCAGGACTTGGAGTACGTCCTAATGTGTTGGACAGCTTGGGATCTTAGATTCTACTCCTTCAAAGGGATTCGGGACTTTTTGGAACAAATAGCCGAGGCCTCATTACAAAGGAACCGGCATTGGTTGTATGTGTTTGAGCCTCGATACAGACGACTTGCAAAGGACGGTGAGTGAGGTGGTAGAGGTAGGATTATTTGTGGCGAGAACTCTTTTCGGGGTAGATTACACAGTTTTGTACTGGGTGATATTCAATCATTTACTACGATCGTGCCCGACTCAACGGCTATCCGAGTTATGATACGGGAGTTCAATTTCGGACATTACACCTTTTGTGAATACAAGACAATGTATTTGAAGTCTTTCCACTATGGAACGTCATACTAAATATGCATTTATTCCTTGTCACCCATGACTGGTGCATCTCCTGTGTCGTGGATGGCGTTGGGCACAGCTCTCTCAACCGACTCTGGTAGTATCTCTTGGAGTTTCTGTGGTACTACGGATTCCTTAACATCACCCTTGACATGAGATTTATTAGTTGACTGTCCAGGGTCATTTCCAGTTAGGTGAATCTTAACAACTGTCAACTATGCTTTCCCTCTCTATCGATGAGCACTCACAGAATCAGGAAGGCTTTCCTCAACACCCTTCGGAACGGCCTCTTGCAGACCCTCCAGAACCTTGCACGTTCCGGTGGCGTGTGAGACGTTTTCGTCTATACCTCTCTCAATCTGCCTGTTCGATGGCATCGTGGAGAACTGCTTTGGGACGAAGTATGGCTGTACTCGAAGGATAGTGAGAATTGATCGGGAGGTGCGCATATTGATAGTGACGAGAATTCAGAGAGAGATTGTGCTTAATTTAAAAAGACATGTTCTTATATCAAGAATAGTAAAAAAAATCATCAACATCATGAATTCTCTGGTGACTCATCCTCTTGAGCCAGAAGCTCATGTCGTCGCGTCCCTACCTCGACCTTCTGAGAGCACGTAATGGTCACGCCGCACCAAGCAGGAACCTTTATCACAGTTAAAGAACAATTAAAATATGATGCGTAATAGAAAGGTTGTGCAGGATGCCAACGAAAAAAAATGAGTCCGTCACTTCTGCATCGCTTTCATATTTCTATATTCATTATGCTTGCCTCAAGGTATCAGAAAGATTGACCACTAGACGCACAAGGGACGAATTTAATAGGTCAGTTTATGCTCCTTAGGCCATAGTTCTTAGACTCCTTAGTCTTTTAACCCAAGACTTGGGAGGCTAACGTTTCTGCCAACCGCTAGATTTGATCCATTCTTCGCCGAAATATGGGAGGATTTCACTGTTCAGCCAGGGATCATTGACAACACCGTTGCATATAGAAGACAAATACGACATAGGGTATCTATCAAGTCCACGCATGATTCAAATCAAGCAATTCGCCATGGCCACAACTAGTAAGTGGCTCAAGGGAAGTCTTCGATTATCCCATTTGCCTCAACGACATGCCAGTCTTTCCCCGATTCTCCTATGAAGATGGCTTGGGTGCATTCAAAATCACGTCAATAACCTTGTGATCATCATAAGTCGCAACCGTCCTCTCACACAGAGTCGCAACACGCTCCTTGCTTTGCAGACCGTCGGGGCAAATGAGCCAGATAACGTTTGTCATAAAAGATCGTCGGTACTCAGCCATGACTTCAGGGTCGTTATGTCGGTCGAACTTGGGACCACCAAGGCGATGCAGCGTCTCAAGATAATGATCCAAGATCTCCATCTCATGAGCTCTGCGATCTTCTACGCTCAACATAGCCGTCATATGGTAAACAACGTCATGAAAGCAGGATCCAAAGTGGAAGGCAGACCAATCGAGAAACCCAATACGGTCGTCTGCAGTGAAGTAAATGTTGCCGATGTGAGTGTCTCCGTGGAGTAGAGTTCGGAAGCGAGGGTTGCGCTCAGCGTAGTAGCGATCCAAAGCCTCGTTGCATCGAGTGCCATCCATCAGATACTCTGGCAACTGAGGACGACCAGGACGTCTGACAACTTCATCCCATGATCTGCACATAAAGGTCATGGCAGGATCGTAGTTGTTCCAGATCCCTATTATTGATTAGATAATGATACGTCAGCGGAAACTTTGATACTTACAAGGATGATCCTCCTGGCTCTGTCCCCAATACTGTGCGTGGAGTCCGGCTAGTTGTTCCACACCGTTCTTGACTTTTTCGACTGAATAAGCAGCAACCTCGGCGGGAAAGGTGCACCCTTCGCTGACAAGATCGTTCATGATAGCAATCCCTTGCTTTTCGCTTGTTCCGCTCCACCAACCTTTGGGGAAGATCATGTTGTTGATGCTGGGTGCCACCTTTGAGAAGAAGTCTGCCTCACGCTGCGCCAAACTGACTGTCCATGGCTGAGCTTCGATCATGTTGGGATCGAAAACGCCCTTGACACAGACGTTCGTCGGTCTCTCTGCACTGTGTCCATCTTCGTAGGTGATAGTGTAAAATAGTTTGCTGGCTGTGCCCCAAATATTGCGCGTATTCTCGACAGACTTGATTTTGTGGCCAAGTTTGGTACTGAACCACTCAGGTGTTAAATCTGCCGGAAGTGATGGAAGGTTTTCGCTTTGTGTGCCAGTCATTGTTAGAAATCGAGATGGAGGAACGTCTTTCAGTTTTCCTATGTGTCCGTAAGCATGGGGTTAGCAATGGGGATCCTTATACTCATGAACGGTCGATTATCTTTCGCTTATTCATTTATCTGTCTAACTACTCGGAGCTTCGCTGACAAGAAAACCGACACTATTGGCTGAAATACCATTACTGTAATTTCCCTGCAATAGCTATGATTTATCCGTATGGCTAGCCAAGGAGAGGGGTCAGCCTTAATTACGTAGATACATCCGACTCTCACCAGACTAACTCTTTTGTAACGAAGAATGGAGTTATTGCACGATTTACTCGTCATCTTACCAATCAGATATTTGGCCCTTGACAAGGGTGATGTTTTGACATTGCATTAGAAGTGGAGTGAGCGATAGGATGATGATACGTAGGAACACGTATACCATAAGCACATAGTTTTGTTCAATTAAGAACCACTAAATCCATAGCGATACTGTGCCGCAGTTGTATGAGTTAGCATCAGGCACATGAGTTCTAGTGTAGGGTCACAACACCTGCAGCGAAGTGGATCATGAAAGTGAAAAGTGTCATTACAGTTTTACGTATCGAGAATATAAGGCAATAGGCCAAGTGAAGATGAAGAAATCTATTAGCAGACAAGGTCTATTCCCCAAGGTATCTAAAACAATTTTAAACTCCAATATATGTCAAGTCCAAACAAGTCCTCAATGATCTTCAACATCCTCATCCCTTCCTGGATACATAATATCCTGAGTGATGAAAGCCTTAACATGGCTTACAAACACAAAGACGAAAACGCATAGTATAAGAATGGTCATGCCAGTTGCTACCCAGCCTATGGCACTGCTTTCAAGTGCCTTGCCAATGGAGATGGTAGCCAGCGTGAAGCCTGTGTTGGGGAAAACCATGGCGTAGAATCCGAGATGGAAATACTTTGGTGGGGCTTGAATAACAGCAACGGCAGCGATACCAAACCACCACAAGCTCAGGGCCCATAAAAAGATGGCGCTCATGACAGCGATCAACTTAACGATGGCTACAGTGACAGCTCCGTCACCCCCAACGATGTCCCAGCTCTCAGGCATACCATTAGCCATGCCAATAACTGCAAGAGCAGTGAATGCAGGTGGACCTACGCACATAAAAAGTCCGGGTCTGTGCTCCCTGTTAGGAAGTCCTGCTTGCATGAGACGTCCAATCATATGTGCGTACATCATGACGGCAACACTAAGTCCAAGGCCCTGACATGTAAGTCCTGCGCCAATGATCGTCAGGGCGTCGAGATTGGGTTGGGTTTCGGCAATGACAGATGCGATTGTACCAGACAGCATGATAGGAAAGACCGGCAACAGCCAAGTAGGCATCATTGTGTTGAGTGAGAAGCTGTGGGCTGCAAAGACATAGCTGTATTGGCCTATGGCGAGAACAAGGGCGACGATCAAGTATCCCCAGAACGATGCCTGAACAGCCCAGACAAGGTTGGCGTTGTCTTTTGCTATAGCATAACGGTCGGTACTAGTGATGAGCGTGGCCATAGATAGGAGACAGGTAGGCACAAAGAAGCCTTCTCGGGGGTGAGTCAAAGACTTGACAAATGTGCCTTGGTGTAACAGGAACCGCGATGCCATGGCAACGCTGACTGAGGTGAAGATTATCAAGTTGATAATGTACATGACAAGACCGATAGTCCGTAGACCAGTGAATTGGTGTGGTTGGGCGTATAGAAGGAGTGATAGACCTCCGGTTGACATTGGCAGCGTATATGAGGCCCATGTGAAATGCTTCAAGCGTTGGCGTAACTTGAGCTTCGGTCGATTGGGATCGTAGATGTCACATATGGTATGAGAGTCATGTTGCTTTCGGATGCTGGGTGAAGGTGTTGATGTGCCAGACTCGACATCTGTTGTTGGGTCTTGATCATTGGGGTCGAGGAAGGATGTTCTGTTGCTGATCAAATTGTTGAGGTTGTAGCTATCACGATCCATGCTCGGATCAGCTGGCGTTGCGCCTCGACAAGAGGGGTGTTCCATTGCGATATCACAGGAGTAGCCAGTTTCAGATGGGGGAAAAAAAAGACGATTAACAGACAGATAGGGAAAAGTGGTCTCGTGCGGCTTGCTTAAGCTGAAGAAGGAATAAGAAACAATGGTGATGAAGTTATCTCAGGAGATAGCCATCGAGCAAGGGCTTGGCAATAAATACAGCTCAGAGTAGAGGAAAAGATAAGAATGCCACTACCTCCTTACCTTTACTATCGTAATTACATACGCATATCTCCAACGGGCGCAGTGACTCGATCTTCATTTTGTCTTGGCTGACACGCAAGCTCAACTGGTGACGGGTAAGTGATGAGATGCGCCGGTAGTCCCCTAACCGGGATGAATATACAGGGGTTTCTTTGAGCATCTGAGCATCTATCACCAGCGAGGTTCTTTTGCAAGATGAAACCCTGTGCACGATCCCGGCATTCAAACCAGATGGTAAAGATAGCTCGGGACGCCCCTTGGCGATCGCCTTGAAGATCAACGGTGAGCCAATAAGCCAACCCTGTCAAAGCTCCGCTGCACTTTACTTGACTCGTGTTTCGAGGCTTGGGTTCGTGGTGTCAGTGGAGACAGCCAATAAGAATGTGAGGGTATCATTGGATATGAGCCTCATTTTAACTAGGGATAGATTGCGGCTATGCCTCGATTTACTCGTGTCAAAACATCATTCATACCTTGATGGAAGATCCCTCTCAAACGCGACTAGTGTCTGGTGGCGGTGCCAAGGATTGTGACCAGTTACAATTTAGCGATACGCAACCTTTCAGGTGTTTATCTCGGATGCGAAATGAAACATGTTGCGCTGATCCCAGAACATTCATCAAGATTTTGTTTGACGTAGAGTAAACGAGCGTACGTAGTCAATATGATGCGTTGTTCATCCTAAGCGTCGACAGTGGATCTGATACTTTTGTCGCGGTTGGACTTGATTGCTTTTTTTTTGTGACACGAAACACTGCCTGTTTGAGAACGACGGCAAATCCGGAGAATCTCTTATCAGTACCGTGGAGAGTAGAGAATAAGCATATTTTCAGAGTTTTTTTTTTAGGCGTGTGGGTTTCGAAAGGTCCACCAGTAATTGTTATTTTTGACAACAAACATTAGGTATCTTATCAGACAAGTATTGATACCACTCTACGTGAGTCATTGGCAAAGAAACAAGACACTGATCCTCATCGTCGTTGCTCAAGGGTAGCTTTGCATTATCAGACTACGGAAACATTCGGTTGTTTTTGCAGTGACGTGATTTCTGTCCAAGGCGGTATTTTTAGTACGGAAATCTTGTGGAACAGCCTCAACTAAGACAATTACATGAACAATTGTCGATCAAATACAAGATCAATCTCTACCGCCTGCCAAGATGGAGGCTCAACACGACACACGAGTCATGACAACGTGTTTCGTTATTCCCGGTAATAAACCTTGACGGCCGATATTCACATGATAAATGAAAGGGACTTCCCGAATCTTCCGAACATATCTAAGTTTCGGTCACCACCGCGTGTCAAGAGCCAATCATCCAGTCTCGGAGAAATCAACGTCCTGTTTCAACTTGCCGCCATCACCATTGACACCATTTGTCCCTCGGCTGGCCTGAAGTTCCTGCGCTTTGGCCGCCATCCGCTTAACAGCGTCGCCATCCGCGAACTCTATGACCTTGTCGATCTTACTGCCATCTTCATTGAAGTTAAAAGTCCAAGAAAATTCCACGGCGATGACATCGCCATCCTTGTACTTAAAGTCCGACTTGCTAGTGACGGCTGCCTTTTTGGCCTCTGCATCAATAACCAAGTGTTTAGAGACAGTGTTGTAGACTCCTCCAACAGAAAGATCGTTGGCGTAAAGCTTCTCGTACTGATCGTTGGTTATGAGAGCGGTTTCAGGAAGACCCAGAGCTTTGCAGAGTGAGACAGGAAGTAGTTGACGAGTGCATTCTGGAGTGAGGTCGCGATTGATGATGGATGTATCATTTTGCTCCCTTCCATCTTCGTAAGCTGATAAGAAACTATTGACTGTTTTTTCAATGTTCTTTCTGATATCGACATTCGCTTCGTTGGTAGACATGGCTGTTTCTAATTCACAGCACGCGGATATGGATCTTGGATGGATTCTGTTATGGTTTCCCAGAGCCCTATGATGTGAGGGGAAGGGGTACCTGTTTTATACCCAAGACAGGCTTGTCGCTCACATAAGCAGGTGAGATTCTTCTAAGCCAAACACACTCCAGCCTCCGGGTCGCCCGGGATATCTGTCGTGCTATGATGGAGAATACTAATTGCTAAAAGTGAAAGAAGAAGAAGAAAAATCGTGATTTTCGTTTAGACATAGCCCATATCGAGTAGAAAAAAATAGTTCATGTGAAAAATGGCAAGGTTAATTGGGACAAGTCTTGTGGGCTGTAGATGACATGTTCTCTTGCCCCCCCACCCGAATTGTGACCAGATGAGTAAGATACGTCAACGGAACGTCCAAAGTGGCGCAAACTACGGGTACAATGGCCCGGAAAATGCGATAGAGTTCAGACTGAGGACTTGAAGCACTGGCTAGTTGTCCAAGAAGAAAGCGAGTATTCTAATGTGAAAGAAAGGACAAATGTCAGCATGTGCATTTTGCGGAACCACAATAGTAAATCTCCCCAGTGATATTGAGACAGAGAAGTATAAGAAAGCCATCAGAGTTTGTGTATAGGGTGAATATACATGTAATGACGTGATAGAGCCCTTACTTCGCCTACGCTTCAAATCTTATTCAACATCCAGTTATCTAAAATTTACTCTATCGGCGTTCCAGTGCTAAAGATCACTTTGTTGATCTGCTGAAGCTCTTTTCTCACAGAATCAATTTTTCTTTCGAACATCTGAAGAGTCCTTTATGCCGTTACTTTTGCTTCCTGGTCTAGCTCTCAGACCACTTTTTTGAACGTCCTCACTACCATGCAGAGAAAACGGCAAGACCATGGAATCGGACCCAGGATATAGTTATATGGGTAATATATTCTTACATATTTATTATTTTAACAGAATCTCTACACTAACAGCACTGGGAATATAGAAATGTAGCCACCAAGTTTGGAAACACTTTGGTGAAACAAGGCGGAGAGGACCCTGACTGGTGAATCTGGACTGCGACAGCACATTAAACCTGAGAAATATGGGACAACAAACAAAAAGGACAATAACAAAGGAATTATCATACGCTCAGGTCCAACTATTGATTCATATATATATATTGAGCCTGGTTTAAGCAATTACAGTGCTTGCCCGATATCTGGCCCGCGTAAAACTCATAGTGCAATGTCTTTGTCAATTGCTAGACTTTCTTTAGGATCCTTCTCATTATTTATGTTTCAAAATTCTCTTCCAAAGCCAAGATCTCGGATTGCAGTTTACCAGCGAGGAATTTTCTCCGAAAACTCTGGCTTAAACCTTTTCATGTATGTCGTGTCATCGCGTTTCTTCAATCCACAGTCCAAATATTGCTGATGAAGCTTGGCGAGCCTTTCCCTGTCCAACTCAACACCAAGGCCAGGACCTGAAGGTACCATCACGCCTCCGTCCTTCCACTTCAAAGCTCCCTCAATAACAACATCTTCATCACGGCGCTTCCATGGCCAGTGAGTGTCGCAGGCGTAGTCGAGATTGGGAGTTGCAGAGGCGAGATGGGTCATCGCAGCAAGCGAAATACCCAAGTGACTGTTGGAATGCATGGAAAGCCTCAAGCCCCAAGTCGCACAGATAGATGCTAGAGTTTGGGACTTGCGAAGACCACCCCAGAAGTGGTGATCTGACAGAATGACTTGCACGGCGTTCTGTAGGATCGACGGAGGTAGATGGTCGAAAGCAACGACTGCCATGTTTGTAGCCAGAGGCATCGATGCTTCTTTGGCTACAGCGGCCATGCCCTCAATTTCTCCAGCGGGATCCTCCAAGTATTCCACAATTCCTTCGAGTTCTTTGGCAACCCACTTTGAAGTCTCAACGGTCCATGCAGCGTTCGGATCAAGCCTCAACGGCAAGTCGGGAAACGCCTCATGTAGAGCTTTGATCGCTGCGACCTCATCGGCTGGGGGGAAAACACCGCCTTTGAGCTTGATGGCCTTGAAGCCGTACTCATCTATGATCTTCTTAGCCTGCTTCACCACCCCCTGTGGGTCTAGCGCAGCTCCATATTCATCATCTTCGTCACCAGGATGACCTGCCCATTTGTAGAAAAGATATGCAGAGTATTGGACAGAGTCTCGGACACGGCCTCCAAGCAAGTCGCTGACAGATATGCCCGTTAGCTTGCCCTGTAAGTCGAGACAGGCAACCTCAAAGGGCGAAAAGACTTTGTCAGTGACGGAAGCTGTCACAACCATGCCGCCCATCCCATCACCTCCAGTGTTGGTATCATTGCGAAGAGACTCAACGCATCTTTGATAGATAACGTTTGTGCTGTATACAGAGAGGCCTTTTATCTTATCGGCAGCTTTTTGCAATCGATCCAGATGGGCAGAGTCTCCGTAAGATTCTCCAAGGCCGTACGAATCTTCTGTGATGATTTCGATAATGCTTCTTAGTGCAAAAGGCTCATGAACTCCCACACTATTCAGCAGTGGCATGTCATGGAACGCCACGGGAGTGATGACAATATCCTTGATGATGCCGCGTTGACTCATGATTGCGGTGTATTTGCAGCTTTGAGGTGACTGGCCTGTTAACCATGTTGGGAATGTTTGAGTGGTGGACTATTTATCCCGAGCTTGACAACATTAGACGAGGTTCTCTGACCAACCTCCATGTTGAGTGCGGGGTAGCTTCTGGTTCATCCCATGTAACTATCATGGGTGTCATGCGTGATTGCTGTTGTGTAGTATTACATGGACTTGTTTCCGAGCCATCTGCACAGAGAGTCAAGAGGAAAAGGTAACCTCGGACATGTATCCTTGAGATTGTTCAGCGTGGCTGGCCTTGTATGACTCGGCTGCATGACGGATAACTACCTGATTGGATGCTTATCCGTACATGCCTACCCCCATTGATCGGCAATTGGTGTAGGCAAGGATAACCTTTCAAGGATCGTTTTCCGTGCAGTGAGACCTCTAACCTTATACCCCGCACTTCATAGTAGTCTAGCTCCTACGCCAAGTCTGGGGTTGAGCCTGTTGGTCTGGGGAACGACGGCAAGATGGGGGTAGCCATTTCGAGCTAATCTGGCCAGTGACCTTTTCTCGTACCGCTTTTCCAGATCGGAAGATCAAGTATAATACCCAGCGTTGTCTTGTGTTTTCAAGTTCTTACCTCTCGTCATCACCATCCTCTCCGTTTGAGCTTGTCTTGCAGTCATCACCACAAGTTCTAGCTACCATGGCTCAACGAAGCTCCATCTCCAAGAGCGACATCGAGGTCGCCGACCAAAAGCCAGCTCACCTTGAGAACAACACTGAAGCCATCGAGATCGGCGGTTTCCGCGTCTTTGGCTTGGACCCCGACGATGCCGACTTCTACAACAGTTACACAGAGGAGCAGCGAAAGAAGGTCTTCCGAAAGGTTGATGTTCGACTTGTCCCAATGCTTGCGCTGCTCTATCTGATTTGTCATATCGATCGTGCCAATATTGGCAACGCCAAGATCGAGGGCATGGTTGAGGACTTGGGAATGACTGGTGTTCAGTACAACACCATCCTGTCAATCTGTATGTTTCGTCTGAGACGCTGATTAGATGACTTAGTACTTACTCATGAACAGTCTTTGTGCCCTACGTCCTTCTCGAAGTCCCCAGTAACATTCTGCTCAAGAAGTTCAAGCGACCCTCCGTGTACCTCGGTAGTCTTTGTGTCTGCTGGGGTATCGTCATGACCTGCACCGGACTCGTACAGAACTTTGGCGGTCTTATGGCTACACGAGTCCTTCTCGGTGTCTTTGAGTGAGTCAGGATGACATAATGTACGGATTAGAGTGCTAACATGGAAACAGGGCTGGCTTCTTCCCCGGCGCCATCTATCTGTGCAGTTACTGGTACATGCCCAAGGATCTGTCCACCAGAATCTCATACTTTTACTGTGCCAGTGCTTTGTCAGGCGCTTTCTCCGGTCTGCTTGCTGCTGGTATCGCTGAGATGGACGGTGTTGCCGGTCTTGAGGGTTGGCGATGGATCTTCCTCCTTGAGGGCATGGTTACAGTCATTCTAGGTGTTGCATGCTTCTTTTTCCTTATTGACACTCCTGCTCTTTCTTCGCGATGGCTATCTCCAGAAGAGATCAAGTTCCTCGAACTCTCTATGTTCATCAAGCAGGGTGGAGGTTTCCAAGAGGAATCAACCATCCGATGGAAGGATATCAGAATGGTCCTTACCAACTGGCGTGTCTATGTCCAGGCATACTTTCTCCTGTGCCAGTCTGCGCTCTCCTACGGTATGTACTCCATATATTTGCGATATGAATCGTGGCTAATTCACCCTAGGTACCAAGTTCACTCTTCCTTCCATCACCAAGGCCATGGGATTCAGCAACACGAATGCTCAGCTCACTTCTGCCCCTCCATACGTGGCTGCCGCAATTTCTGCTATTTGTTTCGCCAAGGTCTCTGATCGCTTCTTCTGGCGAATGCCGTTCGTCGCTATTCCTATGATCATCGTCACGATTGCCTACTCAGTCATCATCTCCCTTAAGGGTGAACTTGAGTCCAAGAAGGGTGTTGCTTACTTTGCTGTCGTGCTCGCCGTTGTTGGTATTTACCCCATCCAGGCCGCGGCAGCTTCATGGAATGCGAACAACATTGCCCCTTCATCTCGACGTGCCATTGGTATTGCGTTGATGAACTGTGTCGGAAACGTTGGTGGTATCGTCGGTAGTTTCATGTACCTCGAGAAGGAGAAGCCAAAGTACTACACCGGTTTCGGTCTCAGTTTGGCATTTGGAGCCACTGGTCTCATGGTTGCTCTTCTCCTGGAGTGGAGTTACAAGATTGCCAATGCTCGCAAAGCCAAGATTGCAGAGGAGGCCAAGACCAAGTACAGTGAAGAGGAGCTCTTTGAGATGGGTGACAGGTCTCCTCTGTTTAAGCACGTCCTGTAAACGAACATTGGAGAGTTATTAGGAGACGCGGGGTCTATGTTTAGCGAAGCCATGAGGTTGATGGTGCTGTTTATGACGGGGTTCATGCATTTAGTTAATCACGAAGTTATGAACAATATAGTGGAAGTTGATACCAATGATACGCTAGCACATATGGTCAAATGTAGCTTCAGGGAGCCATAACCTATGCGATGAGTTCCCGGTGTAATTTAGCTCATGTAACCAAGTACAGGAGGACTCTTGGTTTGGCCATGAAGTTGGTGATGTATTGAACTCTTTTCACGTAACTCAGGCCCCAACACCTCGTCCATTCACCTTCACACCGAATGCCTGCCGCCGAACTGATCAAATAATCACTCGACCTTAACACGAGCTATAAGGTCGTACCGGGTCATAGTGCAGTTTCTTAACAGCAATGGTGGCACATCAGTGTATTTTCTAAATGTCAAATTATAGACTTATGTTGCTATCTTGTGCTATCCGATTCAAACATCGCCATTCAATGAACCTCAATACCATTGGGTACTCCAGTCGTAACACCATTCGTTACCTCCTTCGCTACACCATTGGTATGCCCAATATCTACTGCTGGCTTCAGAGTAGCTTCGAAGCTCAACATCTCAGCAATTTGAGCTTCGATACTCTTCTTGGCCGCATCAGTGGGTTCCACATAAGGCCTCCTTGGCTTGAGCTTGTCTCCGGCGCCCTTGATCCCGGCAGCCTTTGCCGTACTAAGTGTTGCAGCGTACTTCACCGATGCGATACCCGCCTTACACGGTTGCTCAGCGAGTGCAGCCTTCTTATGCAAAGCCATAGCTTCTTGGAATTTGCCCTGTTGATAGAGATTGTAGATGTGCACTATCGTCTTGGGGACTACATTGGCGAAGCCGGCAATGGTACCATGAGATCCAGCTGCGAGACCTCCGATCAAGAAGTCAGACTGGCCGCCGTAGATAGAGAAACGTTCCTCTGGAAGCTCAGCTGCAAGACGCGTGATCTTAGCCACAGCTCCGCAAGTGAGTTTGACGCCGACAATGTTGCTATGCTTTTTGGCTAAGGCAGCAATGGTGGCAGAGTCCAAGTCGATACCATTGCAAACGACAGGGAAGTTGTAGATGACGATGGGTAGCTGGCTCTTTGCGGCTACATCGTCGAAGAAGTTGTTGACAACTTCCGGTGTCGTTTGCTTCCCAAAATAAGCAGGAGGTAGAAGCAGAACATAGTTGGCTCCAGCGTCAGCTGCATCGCCGATGAACTCGAGGACTTGCTTCGTTGAGTGTCCGCCGACACCAGCCATGATGGGGAAGTTAGGTCCGCAGGCTCTACGAGCTGTTTGCAACAACTCCTTGCGTTCTTCGCGAGTCAATAAGAAGGTTTCGGCGTTTGTACCGAGGACAACAAGGCCTGCTAGACCTGTCTTGGAGAGATATGAGTAATAAGCCGCCTGGGAATCGGTGTCCAGGGTATCGGTGTCATGATCGAAGAATGTGATAGCAGGCGCCCATACGCCGCTTGGTGGTGCTCTTGGTGAGGACATATTGATGGAAGATGATGCTGAAAGAGTCTATAATTCTTAGAATGCACCAAACACAGGGGTCCAGCTACTTAAAAGCGCTGAGAAATGGCAATCTGCCCTACGTCTACGTTCCGGTACTACTAAGAGCCGCGCCAGTCTCTCCACCTTCGGATCGAGGTCAGTAGGAGCATTTTGTTTCTATTTGTTGCTCGGGTATGCATGCCATGCAAATTTTAGCGGATGATGCCCGTTAAAACTTGATCACGCACTGGATAAGCTTCCGTGAGCGCACCACTATGCAGCCGTTTCCAGCGAGTTGTGGGGGATAATTAGCGTATGCGCCGGAAAAGTAGAGAGGGGTTAGGGTAAATACCTTTTCCGGTAAGCCAGCATAAACATTGCCGATCCCCCGCATACACTGGCTATCTCGCTGGCTGATGGCCGTGGGCTGCGGAGATCTGACCAGGTCTTGGTCTGTCAGTTAGATGTGCAGTGACCAAAAGAGCATCAATCCTCTAAGAATTGGAGATGCGGAATGCCTATCCCGGCACTGATTGTGACAGTCTGCTTCCATGAACCAGTGTGCCTCTTTCACTAGTGGAATGCTATCACTGGGCTTGCCACATCAATGACTACCCCTACCACAGTACGGTATTCATGCCAAAGGAAGGGTCATCATCGATTGGCAAATGGATAGTTCGTCTTGAATCCATTTCTGATCCGAACAAAATTGATTTAATGTCATATTAGCTGAGAAAACACAGGCAAGATGTCAGATTAGTTAAATATTGTAAATAGCACAGATCTCCAAGTGTCTTGTGAACAACCGCACTTAAAGGCTTTTCATATTTCGTCTATTTCACTATTCTAGTCAAGAATTTATGACTTCCTGTGCATGACAGTTGCCGCAGCCTGGTGGTTGGGGAATATCAAGGTATCCGCAATGACAACGTTTTCCCTTCTACCAGCAGCAAATACAATCGCCTCAGCAATATCATCTGGTGTCAAAGGCTCACAGCCACTACATTCAGTTAGTATCTCCATTCTCTGGGTCGGGATCCATTACCACTTACGCGTATACGGCATCTGCCTTTGACTTATCGCCATAGAATCTCACGACAGAGAACTCGGTCTCTACTTGACCAGGGTCAATCCTGATAATACGAACACGCTTCGAAATAAGCTCCTTGCGCAAGCTCTCAGTGAAGGAGTGGATTGCGGCCTTGGTAGCACAGTAAATGCTGCCGCCAGGATATGGCTCACGGCCGGCGATAGAACCAATGTTGATGATGTCACCAGCTCCCTCGCCGTTGTTGCGCTTGAGCATACTGGGCAGGACAGCTTGTGTCATGTTGATCAAACCCGTGACGTTGGTAGCAAACATAACGTTGACATCCTCTTCCTTGATCTCGGGTGCCTTGTCGACACCCTTAACAAGACCACTACAGTTCTTGTCAGCGTAATCGTTCTTGGATAACCATTGATCACTTACGCGTTGTTCACCAAGACATCGATCTCGCTAAACTCAGAAGGAAGCTTGCTCAGGAAAGAGCGCACTTCATCGGGCTTGCTGACATCCAGTTGCGCCGGATGCACCTTGACGCCATCACCAACTTCCTTGACGATATCTTCAGCAATTTGTCGAAGGCTGTCGATTCGGCGAGCTGTAAGTACTAGCTTCAAGTTCTTTGGGCTTGTGCGAGCGAATTCAAAAGCTGTAGACTTTCCAATGCCGGATGAAGCTCCGGTGATAAGAACAGTCTTGCCTTCAAGGCGCTTAGAAACTGCGGATGCCATGTTTGGAGGGGATATAATTTTGCTGAAGGTGTATACGTGAAAGTATCGTGGCTCTCTGAGTGTCTGGTTGGATGAAGATAAATACCTACTCTATTTACTGCTTGGAAGTGTGAAGACAGACGTGGAACTCATGCATGTCCCTCTTTCCGCTCCAACCACAAACATCTGTTATCTAGAGCGGATTCGCAATAGGACAGGGATCCTCGGGTTAGCTTTTCCGACACCGAGACTCGGCTTTAGTTCCGGTGACTGGAAAAGGAAAAGGCCATATCCGCAAACTGGAGCTTAAGTCGCGGACTATAACCGAGGCTAACCATTTATCATGTAGGGGAATTCAGATACAACACTTTCATGGCAAAAATTAGCATTAGATCAAGTAATAGTCAAGAGAGATGCGAAGCTCTCATATGGTCAGAAGACAATCATATCCTAAACACCTCATCATCAAGGAATGCATCAAGATTGCCCAATCCTGATGAGATCATGGACGCAAACTGACCCCATCCTGAAAAGTCAACACCAGACATGCCATTATAGTCCACCCCATTCTCCCCCATTAAATCAGTATAAGATGTCTTGTCACTAGGCGTATCCATCGTGATAAGGTTTGACTGAAAGCCGCCTTCCTGCGAATGACCATCTATGGTTCCAAATGCAGTTGTTGATGAGTGCATCCTGTTCATTTGACGCAGTGCTTCAACGCGTAGCTCCTCCAACAGAAAGCAGTAGCGCTCAGATAAAGATCCCTTCTCAACCATGATTGTCATGTGAGATTGGCATCGTGTGGCCGCTGTGAAGTAGTCGATATACGTCTCAGGTGGCGATGCCCATTTCTGGATCACGTATATATACATTACCATTGCTGCAGTAAATGCAAAGTATGCTGTGACCTGGATCCAGTTAGCCCTTGGCAATGGCTGCAAAATCATAGTTTACGAACCCAGAATGCGCGGAACATTTGCCCATGTTCTGTCATCTCGTCGATAAGACCGACAGTGTTCATAGCAGCTTGTAGACACTTTTGAACGCTCTCTTGCGTCGAAGCGTCACTAACACTCTGTCGTCTATTCTGCCGCGAGATCTTTGCAAAGTTATTAAGTACTGCTTGTCGGTGTATCAGGATGATCGCGTGCCAGTAAGTCATGTTAAGAACGTTACGCTGTCGCTGTACAATGGGTACAAGAAATGTTGTACTAAAGTAATCCGCATCGAGAAACTGGGAGAACTCGGCTCGCCAGTCACTCAAATCTTGAGAAATACGTTGCGTTTCTTCTGTCCGACGACTGACGGATATAGGCTTGACTGAGTAAAGGGCTCGAAGTATATGCCCAATGATGCGCGCGAGTCTGGGACGTGGGTTAGTCTCTCTTCATTTGTGTTTGCTTGGGTGAATCTCTTACTTCATATGTCCGAGAGGCGCAAGCATAACTGAGTAGCCTTTGGTAGAGCCAGTAAGATTTATGTGGTCCTTTGTAATATCACTATCGTCCACACAAGCAGGAAGCTCGGTATCGATATCGTCATCATGAAAGTTTCGTGGTCTGCCAAGGGACACACTGAGGTATGCATCCAGTGTATAAGCACACCAGAAGGTTCGACGGCGACTTTCGACTTCGATATGATTCAGCCCACTCATAATGCCGGGCCGTTTGTTTCGGTTGAGACCAATAGCAAGGGCGAGGTTGGTGACGATACCGAATTGACTCCAACAGTGATTGACTCGAGACTGGGTGCCCAGATAGTAGCATTGTAGTAAGCGTGCTTGTACGCTTGTCAGCCGTATAGAGCCACTCTCTTTGGAGAGTTGATGCTCAGCTGCCAGGTAGTATCTAGCGCTATATGACGTGCGTTAGCATTGGAATGCGGCCTCCATTGGGCAACTAACCTTAGATCCGACGGCCCAGGCCTGTCACCCTCGGGCATATACACCCTCGCATGGGCCAGAATCATGAATAACAGGGCGACCTTAGCAGCAGAGTTGTTCGGATCACGCATTGTCCCAAGCGTCTCATAGAATTCGGTAAACCATTCCTGGATGGTGGGTCGATGCAGGAACCGGTACGTAGGCATGGCAAAGTCAAAGTACCTGTCGATCAAGCGCTGAGCATCCTCTTTTGGAAGCATCATGCAAAAGTTCGGATCATAGTCAGGGTTACGAAGGGGTGCATCGCCAAAGGTAAAGATACTTCCTGGTCCGGAGAAGGAAATAGCTTGGTGTAACCTCTTCTGCACCCTAAGTAGGAAAGACACGCCTGAGGCTGGTCCGATATAATGTCCTTGAAGATCCTCTTGGGATGGTTCAGGGGATTGCTGCACGGATGCTACAGCCAGTGAAGCAGTATTGTCCTGTGCCAAAGCGTTAGATGGCATTCCATAGTCCTGTAGCTCCACAGCTTGGTGCGTTGTCTCGCAAGACGGGCCGGCCATGTACTGCTGACTCAAGTCTGCAGGACTGCTATGCTCGCTACCAGCCATTGTATCCTGTGCCGCGACAGCTATCGTCTCAGCTGCGACCTCATCTGCAGATGGAATCACCGGGAGGCGGCCTCTTGCATAGGCTGAGTTAAAAGTACAAGAAGCCCTTGTTCGAATACAGAATTTGCAAGGTTGCATGCCATTGCACTTGATCTTACGCCTGCGCAGGTTAGCCCACGAGTTAATTCCCTACACCAGGCAGTTATGTTTACTTCTTGCAGCCATCACACGCCCTTGTGACTCTGACTCTTTCACCATTCTTTTTCCGCTTCTTAGAGATATGCCCATTGTTGCTGCTATCTTCTGAAGGGGCCGAGAGAATCGGACGTTCCAAAGTCATTGGAGGCAGGGCGTTTCAATTGTGGGGAGAGGAATTGCTGGTTCAATTGATTGTGAGACTATGAGAACGGAAAAGTGAGAGATTATCTTGAGGATTAACCGGAAAAGTGTTTGGGGGAGGAGTACATGGATAAATGGCTTATGCTCCAACCCCGCAATAGACGTGCATCACGTGTATCCCTTGTCGTTCTCCCGAGGATAACTTTCCGCAACCCTTGTCCGTCTTCTCATGTTGATTCATAACTGGTTTTCGGTTGCTGAATACGTGTTCATTACTATGCAGATACATGACGGGGCCAATTAATAGGTTCCGTGGGCTGATTGATTCGATAATTCCTTTCCTCTACTCGCTATGGCACGTGGAGTCTATTAATTTAATCTTGGTTTTATGTAACAATACTTCGTATACTTTGAAGGGCTTGTAGCTTGTTAGAAGTTCGTTCAACTTTGTGTAGGACGCAATAGTTCCAATGCCTTCATCTCAAACTCATCGCCAAACTGCAAAAGGGATCTCCATCGCGGTGGAATAGCTTCCGTTCCATCCCTCGCACCCAAAAGCCCACCTGCAACGGCAGCATTCGTATCTGTATCATGCCCAATGCTCACAACATCGACTACAATGTCCTCCAAACTTCTTTGATCCAAGATCGCTGCTATAGCAAGGGATAGACTCTCAAGCACGTACCCACTGCACCGTCCTCTGAGCCTAGGCGATGGCCCCTCGCGAGCCATTCTTGCAATGTCCAGTTCTTCTCCAAGTTCTATCGCCTCGTATACAACACCCTGCTCGCCTTCGAGCTTCTCCGCAACGGCAAGGCCCGCCTTGATAGCTTCTTGTACAGGGACTTGGTCGATGAGCTTGGAAACAATAGTGTTGTAAGCTGCACATGATATGGTGCATCGTGTGTCGTCATGAGTGATTTTGCTGATACGCTGACTCTCTTCAATCAGCTTTTTGGGGTCTGTTTGGAACAGGCCAGTTGGAATGCAACGCATCAGACTTCCATTTCCGGCGCCTCCTTGTCCACCTCCAGCGTTGTCCGGATCTCTTGTGGTCTCGTATAAGTCTAATCCGATCCGAGTGGTTCCACCAATGTCTTCAGGACCGCTTCCCTTTTCTCTTTCAGGCCAGTCGCCGTGCAGCCAATCGATAAAATGATCGCCAGCCAGACGGGCGATATCCTGCTCAATACCGCGGTAATAACGGTCATGATAAGCCAATAACACTCCTCGAGTCATATCTGTATCGTCTGTCGCGTGCCCTGCTGGCCAGCGAAATGGACCTCCGCCGACGATATCTCGAAGGCCATTTGGATATTTGCGGGCAATGGCTTTATTAAGAGAGAATTCCACCGTCGCGCCTAGTGAGTCACCTGCGTGGACGCCGAGTAGAGCGCCGATGACGCGGGACTCTCTGGGCGAAAGCTGTATATTGGCGAGGGGAGATGTCATGTTGGTTTTTGAAATGAAGTTGTTTGTTTAGCACGAATGCTTTAGGCTGACGCTGATGATTTATATTGTTGACAAGCGGGGCTCAAGGCTGACTGACAGTCATCTCAGTAGATCCATGTTGCTGTTGCCTTGCCTGTCTTTGAGGCGGAGCTTCGGTACGCTTTAACTCTGTCGTTTCAATTGGGTACCGTCTCTTACATACAGTCGCTAATGACCCACCACTCTACTGAGCATTGCCATCTTTTTTCATGGACTATGACTGTCCTTAAGCTGCAGCCTGGCTAGCAATCGTGGGTGCGGTGCCTCAAAGGTGTTTGGTGTCTCCCCAGTGAGAATCTGCACTAAAGATATTAGGTTGGTGCTAGAAGCCCGCAGGTATAACGCGCTTCGGTGGTAACGTTAATCTCCAGATCACTACGAAGATAATTGCTAACACCGATCTGATGGTGATGTGACGGAGGCGAATTCATTCGTCCCATGGTATTAATAAGTCACGATCTCCCATTAACAACACGTCTGACCACTGCAGCACCCTAAGATAGCAACGCTCAAGATATCATCGACAAAAGGTCTTGTTCTCGTCACTGGCGCCAATGGGTTCATCGGTGCACGCACTGTTGAAACCTTTCTTGCTAAAGGTTATCTTGTCCGGGCTGCAGTTCGAAGCGAATCTTCAGCCTCCAGTCTTTTCTCGGCATTGCCTGACTACGCCTTGTCTGGTCACCTCACGACAACTATAATTCCCGACATCACTACGGCTGGGGCATTTGATGATGCGGTAAAGGGTGCGACAGCAATTGCTCATCTCGCTGCCCCGGTCGATTTTTCCAACAGAGACATAAACTACGTCATCAATTCCTCCGTGCAGGGCACACTCGGCATCTTAGAGTCTGCCATCAAAGAACCTGGATTGAAGTCTTTTGTCTACATGTCGTCCGTTGTGACTGTCAGAGGACAAGCGCCAAAATATCCAGATAAAGGTTATACGGAAGAAGATTGGAATGATCAGATCGAAGACGCGCTCTCCAAAGCTGGAGTAGACGCGACGGGACACCAGATCTATGTTGCTAGCAAACTAAAGGCAGAACGTGCGTTCTGGGAGTTCCGAAAAAGGCATGCGGACGAAGTCAACTTTACTATGACAGCTGTCAACCCAGTCTGGGTAGCTGGTCCACCATTGATCTTGCCCGAAGACCCCGAGAAGCTCAGCGAGACAGCTATTGTTGCTTATCGCATCATGACCGGTCAGGATATGCCCACCACGGGACCTGGTAACGGAACACACGTTGATGTGCGCGATGTCGCCAGGCTTGTTGTTTTTTCAGTTGAGAGAAAGCAAGTTGCTGACAGTCAACGATACATCGCAGGCGGTAGCTGCAATTACGCCAACATTCAAGCTTACCGCGACTTGTTACGCAAGGCATACCCCGATAGGCAAAATATTATTAGTGAGGGTGAGCCTGGGAAGGGATATAATCAGGACTACAGCACGCCTGATGGCGGCTTCTTGGTCGACGGGAGCAAGGCCGTTGAAGCAACGGGTCAGAACTGGATTTCGTTTCATCAAATGACCTTGAATTCCGCGAAGGCGTATGAGAAGTATTTTTGAACAACTTTATTACTTATGTCGCCGTTAAAATGCATATTAATAGTATTATATCTGAGTGATGGCTAAAACATATTGCATCAACCTCATTTCGCATTTTGTTCGTCCCATAAGCTGATGAGCCAATTTCAGTTTTCATATGTTGAAGAGTTTGCATGCTAGTGAGGCTGCTTTATCTTATGCGCCAGACGCTGATGTTCGTGATAATCTGGACATCAAGTTGTACAAAGACACATACTAGCTTATGTCTCTGCCTATCTCTACTTCTGTTGTTTCATCTTGCTCGTCCTGGGCGCCAAAAGATCTCCCTGCTTAGATTCCGAGTGGTCGCGTTACTTATCATCACCATACCATTTCTCCTTCGCATTTTCAGTAGGCCTTTCCTCCTCCGCCGCCTTCTTGTCGGCCCTCTTCTGTCTTAGTTTCTTTATTTGTCGAGCCAGAGTGTAGGCTGGCTCTGTTGCCACCACCACTGGACAAGAGAAGATTGCATCTGAAAAATGGTTGAGGTTTGTATCGCAGCCGTCGACGTGCTCGCCTTTGGGATCTTGCATACGCGGGTCTTTGCTTGTGAAAGGCAGTGGATGGGGCCGAAAGTTGGTCATGGTGTTCAAAAGAGTTGTTAGGTCCCAGAATAGCGCTATACAGACCAAGAATTGGAAGTAAAAAGTTATGTATTGTCGGTTGTGGACGAGATGAAGGATGATATTTGCTGGCTGATTATGCTATGTCACTGTGCAGAATGAAGTTGAGAGCAACAAGGCATTGTCATTGTCGATCTCAACCCAATTACAAAAACGGCGAATGGCGCTTCGCATAAAGCTAGTTTACCAATGGTTCTGCCCAATACACTCTCTAGCCCCCAAACTGACATGTTGATTCTGCCTTGTTTTTTGGAACTTCAAGCCAATTCAATCAAGGGCTGCAGCCTTCTAAGGTTGAAGACTTGACTTGTACGTCATAATAGTGATTGTTATCGATAAGAGTTCTTGTCATTTTGGGCTTGGGCAATTCTTATCAGAATGAATCCGATCTGCAACTCTGGTAGATCATCAAGCCTTGTCCAGTATGACAAATAGGAAGAAAATCGTCAATGATCAGGATCTTTTTCAATGTGAGTATCATTGTGAATTGTAGAACAACTGGCTCAAACTAACAAAGAGAGCTGCTTCCGTGGCTAACCAACATGAGCATGCAATGCACGAGAATGGATAAGCAAATACCTAGGTACTGTGGTCTAGTTGGTTATGACATCTCGTTAACACCGAGAAGGTCCCCGGTTCGAGCCCGGGCAGAACCTCATTTTTTGCCCAGCCGATCTCTATCCTATTCTTGTCTCTAGTACACCAATCTTTTTGATACCAGAACCGAGTCTTCAAGGTTTCAAAGCTGCTACGGAAGGCTAGAAACGAAGTGAATAACTTCTTTTAACCGGCAATTGCTGCTCCAGTACTCTGACCGCTAACAAAATGCCACAAAATAAGACACAACAGGATACTCACGGTTCAGACCAGACCCATTTCCCCGCAACGTCCCTTCTCAATATTCTTCCATTCCTCTCAAGTAACCCGTGATACTTTATTACCCCATGAAAATACCAACCCCGCCAAAACAGCTCCACGAACCCGGGGGAAGTCGGGGGGCTAGACCGGGCCGGTGTTGACTTATTAGCTAACGGTTTCCTCCACAGTCAATAAAGTCTTAGTTTTAACTCCTGCACCTCAACGCCACTGTGTGTAGTGTAGCAGTTGCCGTAGACGAAGGGTAATCGTTACATAACCGTTGAAACGTGACTGTAAAAAGAGATGAAAATATGGCTGGTAGGTGGAGAGGGAATGGATTATAAAAGAGTCGCGTGCCAAGTCCAAAAACATAGGTATCTTGAGATATACAATTCAAGCTCGATATTCTTAGACATATCTTCTGTTGCACCAAAAGACACCATGGCTGCTAAAAGTATTGAGGAGATCCGATGTCATTCACCCGCACCATCGGGTCTGGGGCAGCACATCGGCAATCCTGTTAGTGTGTCTCTTCCGTGCATATAGAAATTTCACTAACATAGTTTGTCGCAGTCCCCTCTCGCTATGGGCACGTTTGCAACCACACTGTTGACACTATCCTTATCCATGATGGGCTTCCGCGGAGTTGAGACTCAGACTATCTTCATTGGTAACCTGTGCTTTGCTGCTGGTCTATGCATGTTTGTATCTGCTCAATGGGAGATGGCTCGCGGCAACACATTTGGCTATTCTGCACTGAGTGCCTATGGTAAGTGTTTTAAACAGATTTGTTCGTCGCATAACTAAACAAGTTCTTTAGCCGTATTCTATGGTGGATACGGGGTCATCCTCTGCCCATCACTAGGAGTTCTTGAATCCTATGGGGGAGCAACTCCTGAATACCACAACGCTCTTGGATTTTACGTTCTTAGTTTGTTTCCTTCCATCATCAAATTATCCTGTCAGGAACTAATCACACATTCAGTCTGGGCAGTCCTCACTCTATTCTTCATGCTGGGATCAGCACCCATGTAAGTATTTCATCGGCAGGCCATGTAGTTCGGGCACTGACAAAAATTTAGTAACCTTGTTTCGTTTGGCATCTTCACAACAATCTTCTTCTGTTTCACACTTGACGCAGCCTCAAACTTTGCTCATGCTGACGGAAAGCTCGAGGTGGCCAAGGGTTTGATGAAGGCTGCTGGCGTCTTTGGGTTCATCTCGGGTCTGTTGGGATATTACAGCTGTGCGGCCTCAATGTGTGCCGATGCGCTCCCATTTGAGCTGCCTTGTGGTGATACTTCGAGGTTCTTCAAGAAGAACAGGAAGCAGTTATAGAAGGTCGAGCGAAAAAGCGTCTATCGTCTTGGATGAAGACCAACACAGGTGAAGAATAAGATATTGTATTTTACTAGCCAATAAATAGAGTCAGTGTCAGTGAAAACAATTGACTTCGAATAATTCTATATGCAAATCATTTGTCCTTCTTTGTATCATTCTCGTCTCCTTTAATCTCCTGCCAATCTGCATCGCCAACAGTTGTTGACTCCTTGACCTTCATGGAAGGTGTCGTCGACGATGGATCATACGGCGTCATGCTCCACAGATTGCGAATAAGTAAAATTTGCGTCCCGACAATTATAACACCAAGCCCCAAGACAATGGCCCATCCAAGTAATATGACAGCAGAAAGAGGGGAATAGAGAACAAACCCAAGCATGCGTGGTTTGATGCTGGGATACGTGCGATTGACCAGGCCGAAAGTAATTCGCCAAGCTGACTTGAGAACCCAAGAGCCGTGGAGGAGGTGTAGGGGTAGGACCAAACTGCAAAGTAGAAAAACGAGATATTGACGGAGGCGGGAAGTAATGCGGTATCTGAGCCAGAAAACTGATGGCCGAGGGCTGATTTTGGCTTGTTCTTCAGGTGTTGAGTCGAAGAAGTCGACTTGCTTAGCGGACCACCAGCAGTTGACAAGGATCAAGATAGCGAGTGTCCAGAAGACATCGCTCTGGAGGTATTCGTAGCGCGCAGAGTCATTGTACCACGTCGACTGATACGATGGGAGGGAAACTTTGATGCGCATGGTCATGATGGCTGATGTAGAATGAGATGAACAATTGAGTGTGATGAGAGATATCCTTACGCATCAAAGACGCAGGAGCAGGCTTGAATAAATCAGCCTTTGTTAAACGGCTGCCTGGATGGTTACCTCACTGCTTAGTGTGCTCCGCATCCGCACCCGCGTCTAAACCAATGTTATTGGTTGTCTTGTGTTGATCTGTTGGGGGCTACTGATCGTCTGGTGAGATTACGCTCCAAGTCAATCCATTTATTGATCGGTCTTTGAAGAATGCCTTGCGAGTTAAAGGTCTCGGATATAATTTAGAGCGTAAATAGAAAACAAAGACTGCCAATTGCGTCCAACTTTGGCTATTGTGGTAAGAAGGAATCGCAGATCAACTACGGGCTACTCTTAGCGCATTGAGTCGCCACTGGTGCTTGTGTTTTAGGGCATACTTTAGAGATGACCCCTGCAAATAAGTCACTGGACTGAATTGTACGGACTTGTGTTTTTGGCTACTGCTTTACTGTTGATCAAACTCAGATATCCATCAATCATCACATCAACAACGCAAAAGTCTTGTCGTGTTACTGCCTGCATAAAAACTGGCCACTCTCCTGTGTTTCTACTCCCAACGTGCAGCAAACGGTAGCGTTTCTATTTTGGGTGCCTGGCCAGCTAAACTCGTTACCGTGGAGATTAACTCTCGGCAGCTCGCGCCATTTCTTTGACTCGTAGCCTGACAGGCAATTGTTAAAAAGAGCGTTTTTAACTTCAATCAATGGCAATAAAGAATAAATAAACAACACAACCACAAAGATACACTCATTTTCCGCTCAAATATTTCAAGATGACGCACAATATTCATGTACCTCTCGAGATTACCCTTCAGATACTGGAGGCAGACATACCTCCAGGCCGTCCCAATCGCATCCTCGATGTTTCAGAACCCAGTATGCAGCAGCTTCTCACTTGGACCAAAGTATGTCGCGCCACGTATGAGCCTACTATACAGTTTCTACGACAGCATTGCATATACTTCGACTCCGCTTCTCGTTTACGAAGGTTTTTACAATGCCTGGGTGCGGAAGAAGATGGAGCATCACCCTCTACTCTCCCCAAGACTATGCGACTGTGTGATGTGTCAGCAGTTTATCTGGGCCTCGGCATGGAGGAAATTCAGACTGTCGAGACGAACGCAACAATCAGGGATCTACTCATCACACTCGGTGGCTCGGTACGCCGTCTCATCGTTGACCTGCCCTACCGCAGGATTGCACAGGAACACACTATCGATCCACACATAGATACTTTGTTCTCTCGGGGTCTACGAGCACTCACCAACCTTGAAGAGCTTACGACATTGGGCGGTCTACCTTCACTGGAGTTTTGGAGAGACGGGTATGATATTGGTCAAACGTGGCCAAAGCTGCGTCGAGTAGCTGGCTTCAAGATGAACCTGGCTGAGGAAGCGCTTTGGTCCAACGTCGCCAGAGATCGTACCATTGAACATCTTGTAATAACCATGCCATATGTTTTGCGTCGGAATAGGTGGAACATCAAACGGGCAATTGGCGGGAAAGAATGGAATAATGAACAAGGTGGTGACTCTACGAATGCTAGACCTCTCAAAGTTGTCATCGCCCAGCACGAGTATACTGCCCCCATGCTCGACACACAAGATGAAAACCTATACGACCCCGAGGGGTTCATCGATTTGTCTAGGTTTGAGATACCCGTCATTGCAAAAAGGGTTGACTGGTTATGCAAGGACTGGCTAGTCAGGTCGGCCAAAGACGATACCCTCTGGGGATGACGAGTTCTGTCTAAGCCTTGAAATTGAAAAAAAATGTCATGTCTTTTTATAAGCTCGACTAAATCTATTTAATGTGTTCAAGAATCCGGGACAATCAAGATATCATCCACATTGATAGCCTGCCCAGTAGCGATAGACCTATTCGCCGCAATACCTGTGAGTATCGATGCAGCCCCATCAATATGACTCGCCGCTCTCATATACTCGTCAGATACTGGTGTTCCGAACAAGTCATTGAGCAAAACAGTATCTCCACCACCATGAGCGCCAACGCCTTCTTCGACTTGGATCTCTCGTGGCTTTTCAAACAAGGGTCTCAGTAAGATCTTTCGGCTCTCAATGGAACCCTCGGCAGCTTGGTCTCCCCCAGAGTTGACGTAACTGTTCTCGACGATCTCAACTTCAAGTCGCCCACCAGTTCCATTAAAGCTGACCCGGAAACCTTCCCATGGCGCGTAGGCTGTGAGAGAGTATGAGAGACTGGCCCCGTTTCGGTACTTGACAAGCACATTCATTGTATCCTCGATGCTGATCCCATCGCCAAATACACTCTGATCGCGGTAGTAGCTGTCTTCATGCTCAGCGTCAAGATACATGGCTTTCAGCTGAGGATTCTGGTCAAGATGTAGGGCAAATGGATCCGACTTGGCGACTTCGCTACCGTGTGCGCGAGTATAGAACTCAGTCTTGCCGCGTTTTTCGGCGTTTTCTCTACCGTAGAAGGCAAGATCACCAGTCGCAAAGACTGTTTGGGGCCGTGTTTGTAGCCAGAAATTGACAAGATCAAAGTGATGAGTTGACTTGTGAACCAAGAGACCGCCGCTGTTACGCTTGTCTCTATGCCAGCGGCGGAAGTAGTCGGCTCCATGGCTTGTGTTGAGCATCCATTCTGCACTGATATTAGTTCACGTCTTGTTATTTTACGTCGTATCAGATTTACTCACCAAAGTGAACGCTTGTGACCTTGCCAATAGCACCAGACTTGATCAGCTCAAAGACTTTTGTGTTATGTGGCGCATATCGATAGTTAAACGTAACGCGAACTTGCTTTCCTGTTCGTTCAACAGCAGAAAAGATTTCCTTGCATCTTGGTGCATCAACAGTCATAGGCTTCTCTGTGATGACATTACATCCTAATTCCAGAGCGCGGACAATGTATATGTTATGTGTCCTGTCCATGGTTGTGACGATGACTTCATCAGGCTGAGTCTCTTTGATCATCTGGTCAAAGTTGCTAGCAAGAAACGTCGGCACCTCACCGTGCCCTAGGGACTTGAGCTTTGAGTTGGCATAATTCATGCGGGTTTGGTTGGTGTCGCAAAATGCTACGATGCAAGATGTTTTGCTATAGTCAGTGGCGATGGCAGAGTAGAAGAAGCTTGATCGACCGCCTGTGCCAACAACGGCGTACCGCTTCCTCGTTGCGTTGTCTTGAGCCATGTTGATGGTTGAGATGTCTTTCGCTATGACAAGACATCAGCGGAACGTGGACTACCATGCTTATATAGCGGGCCAGCAGATAAGTTACTATAGAGATGCCCCCAAAAGTAAAGAACCCCACGCGGTATTTATTGGGGTATCACCACAAAATGACATGCTTCATTGCTAGAGGGGATCATGTTCGGGGTCTCTTGTCCCGAACTGTGGATCTTAGGTTGCGAGGTTTGTTCCCATTGGCAGCTCACGCTGAACAGACTGCCAGATTCCATGCCTTTGTGAAAGAAATAAAGCCTTCAGGCTCATCACGTCGAGTGAATCATCAATTCCACTCTTAATAAACAATGATGCAGAACTCGTCTCTGCCACTGGTCCGGTTTCACACAATGCAGACTACCTGGCTGTGAGACGAGGGTTGCCCGCTGTAGTGCAATACCTACCTAGCCAGCGCTACAGTGATTGGGGTAAAACTTCGGCGCCTGCAACCACTGTAAGCTTAGTGAGACTGGTCCCAGAAGAGCATGTCCGTAGGTTGTTCTCTATACGACAGGTTACCTTCGGAACAAGTCTGGCAAGGTCAGCTTTCCAAGTTGTGTATTGCGAATATAGGGATATTAACTATTTCTTCACTGGTTCGAAGGAGTTAATGCACCAAGTTTTGTGTTCCGCAACATCTTGACCGAAGCTTATCGAAACCGCACTGCCCTCGTAAAAAAGAACCGACAGATTATCTGCGAATTAATTAATTATTGACGCAAGCCTACTTGACCATGACCAGAATCTTTCTGTCAGTTGACCCACTTCATTATCTACTCTCTGCGATTTTCAAGAATTGACCAGGGCGTTTAACAGTACTGGCGCTTCTGGGTACATCGGTGGAGATGTCCTCCACTTGCTGCTCAAGTCGCACCCTGAGTATCAAGTCCGAGTCCTGGTCCGAGACGAGTCCAAGGGGTCTGGCATTACTAAGGCATTTAATCAAGTCGAAATCGTTCACGGTAGCCTTGATGATACAGACATTATCATCAAAGAAGCCCAAGAAGCTGACGTTGTGCTGCGTACGTCAAACTCCCCGCTTTTGGTTCGCAAGATGCCCTCCACTAAACTGTTGCTCGTGAAGATCTAGCGGCTACCGGACATCTGAACAGCGTCCAAACCATATACGAGTCTCTCTTGAAGAAGCCCAAAGGCTCCAAGTCACCATACTATGTTCAAATCTCGGGCGCCAGTGTCCTCGCAGCTGGTGAAATTGCTGACAAGATGAGGGTTTTTGGCTCTGGCAGTGATGTCATCTACAATGACCTCACCGGCGTCGATTCTATCAAGTCGTTCATCAAGCAGCATCCTAATCGCGCCGTGGATAACTACATTCTCTCGGTGAATGAACAGAATTCTCCTGTCAAGACTGCCCTTGTTATTCCTCCCATTATTTACGGCCAAGCTCGTGGCCCAGGCAATCAACGCAGCATGCAGATCCCGGACCTCGCTAATGCTACACTGAAGCGCCAGCGGGGATTACAGGTTGGTCCTGGTGAAAGCCGATGGGGTAACATTCACATCCAAGACCTGAGCCGCATCTTTTTGCGATTAATTGAGAAGGCTGTTGAAGGCAGTGGAGATGGCAATATTTGGGGATCAAATGGCATATTCTTTACTGGTGTAGGGGAAATGGTAGGTAATCCAACGCTCGGCTTGCACCATGCTAATAGATAGCGGACAGTCATTCAGCGACATATCGCGACGAGTTGCTACAGCTGCGCACGACTTCAATCTCATTCCAAGCAACGAAGTAGACCAGGTTAATGCAGACGAGATTAATCAAATAATTCCCCGCGGATCTGTATTACTGGGAACCAACGCGCGCGCTGGAGCCGACAGAGCTAAAGCAATGCTTGGCTGGGAACCTGAGATGGAGAGCTTGGACGAGCATATCCCGCAGGCCGTTATCAACGAAGCGCGAGCACTTGGCATGAAGGGTAAGGACCCTGCTATGGTGGAATACTTCCAAACATAAAGGTGATGCTAATCTTGTCTCGAATCTAGTAGAGCAATGGTTCTAGATACAGAAGTCGGGGTCCAACATCGTTGCCCTTAGCGAATAAGCAGGCATCAAATTGACTACTACACGACGTCGAGGAGGATTATAGTACGTACAATAGAAAGGTGGGGGGAAAAAGGACAACTGGGAAGATAAAAAAAAACATGATGCAATGTCAACTGGAGAACGAGGGGAAGCAGTCAGTGTCGTAAGACATGCCATGGTTCTGTTCACGTCATCTCATTTTGTAATTCATCCTCGCATCTCAAACTGCCGTTTCAGCCTAGGTCATAATACATTCTGGCACATTCAAGTCCACTTAAACAAATTTTGAACACCTAGAAAACTCGAGTTACGACTACGACGTCCCATTATTGTCCATCACTACTATGTCAACATTGTGTCAGCCTTAGAGCATGTATCAAGCCCCTCACAAGCTCAACTTCTCTCTCGCCATCTCACAAGACTTGGCAATTTCAACATCTGAGATGACCGCGATTCTCTCGTTGATCTCCCTCTCGATCCCAGGAATGTCCTTGCCGACACCCTTGGCTCGCCACTCGTAAGCATCTCCAACGAATCGGCTACTCTGCACCAGCCATTGTGTCCTCTCCCTTCTTGAGGCGTCAAAGGCTGCAAACACCGCCTCTAGGTCAGAGCGGCTCTGCACTTTTTCATCGGCCAATAGCTCTGCCATGACTGCGCTGTCTTCTATGCAGAACCCTGCTCCAGCGCCATGATGGGGACTTGAGGCGTGGGCAGCGTCACCGAGGATGGCCATCCTGCCTTTGTAGAATGTAGGGACGGGATTATCACCAGTGTCAAAGATGGCCCACTGATATACCTGGTCAGTACTTGCGATCTTGGGGTTATTCAGCTCAACATACAATGCTTAGCGTCTCCTCTGTAAGTGCGAGGAGATTTCGCACAAGGCTGTTATAGCCCTTAAAGTCATCAAGAGCATCTTGGCGATGAGCAGTCTTGGTCATCTTGCTGGGGTTGTCCCACTCGTTTGGGTCTGTCCGGAAGGCGACAATGTTCAACTTCTCGCCATGGTTGACTTGGAATGTCAATATATGGCCATCAGGTCCCATCTGAAGTCCGTCAGCATACTGTCAAGTGAAAACGCCTCGTCGACTTACATGCATGCACGCATTTCGGGCTCTCTCCTCGCCGACAGCCTCGATGGCCTTGTCCATGGGTATGAGACCGCGATACGCGTACTTGTGAGAATATTGAGGTCGAGCAGACGGATGGTTCTCTCCCACGATCATCTTGCGGACACGAGATCCAATACCATCACATCCAATGAGTGCATCAGCGTGTGCTGTTGACCCATCGGAAAAGGTCATGCGAATCTTGCCATCGGAGTCTTCTTCGGCCTGCTCAATCTGTTTTCCGAATTGCACCCTCTCTGATGGCAGCAGATGAATAAGTTCGTCGAGGAAATGAGCTCTGTGAACACCATTCTGACCCAATGAAGTCTTGATACTGAAAGCAGTTTTGCCATCTTCGGTGGTGCCGTCGAGAAAGTCGAACCACGTCTTCTTCTTGGACTCCCAAGCGTTCCAGGTGCAGACCTTGTGGAAAGCTTCGCTGACACCTGGATGGCAGACCTTCATAGCCTGTACTGCATTGGGAGTAAATGAGACACCAGCGCCAATCTCGTGGAAGTTGTCAGCTCGCTCATAAAGGGTGACGGGGATGTTGCGACGGTGGAGAGCGATGGCAAGGGTGAGGCCTGCGATACCACCGCCAATTACGGCGATGTCGAATGCCTTTTGATTGCTGGATGTTTTAGCCATTGTGCCCCTTCGTGATCGGAAGTAATAGTCAAGAAGTTTGACAAGTGTTTGTTTTGATGATATTGCTCAATGTTTGTACTTATAGAGACCCCATCCTTCCGTCATAGACTGATGAACTCGAAAACGCATCCGACAAGCCCGCCTGTGAACTAGACTAATGACCAAGTAACGCCAAACCCGGCTTCCGATCTCCACTAGATGTCTTCCGACACCGAGGAATCTAGACTAATTCCAGATGGTTGTATTAGCTAAGCCATGTTTGCGGGGCTCCACGTTTCTCCGCAGAATTGAGTCGAGAGCTACTGACTCGATCTACACATCTTTACCTGCACCGCCTTTTGACAACGGGACACAAGAACATCCCGAGATGTACCCTTTGAACTTCGGATACTGGGCCTGTCAAGGTTATTTGCAGTATGGATTGTCCTATAGTTAATCATATGAGTGTGAATTATGGGTGATACGGTGGAGAGATACCCACAACATGGTGGTATCGAGTTGGATAACAACCAACAGAGAAATCGAGGCCAGAAGAAAAAGTATAATTTGAGGGGTATAAAATGGTTATCTGGAACGACTTTCCAAGAATTTCAGTAGAAGCTGTGATACAGACTCGCCTCCGAGATTTTTATACTCTGAACCGCTCACTCATTACCAAAATGTCGTCCCCTAAACCAAGAATTGTTCTCGCAGCAGGTGCTTGGCACTTGGCCAGTTGCTACGATGCTCTCCGAGAAGCACTTCACAGCCGTGGCTGGAAGACTGACTCCGTTGACTATCCCTCAGTTGGCGCCGAGCCTCCTACTAAAGGACTCGACGATGATGCCGCAGCTCTTCGAAGCGTTATTGAACGCTTGGCCGACGACGGAGAACAAATTGTTCTTGTTGTCCATTCGTATGGTGGACTTGTAGGAGCGAACGCTGTCAAGGGTCTAGGATATCACCAACGTCGCGAACAAGGGCTACCTGGAGGTGTAATCATGTATGTATACATGGCCGCGTTTGTAGCTCCTATCGGGGCATCCATCAGACAGATGTTCGGTGGTGAGTTCCTGCCGTGGATGAGGCTTGAGGTAAGTCGAATCAAAGCTTCGAAGTATATACACATCCTATTAACACCTTTCAGGAGGGCCGCGTGCATCCAGAAAACCCGAAAGAGATATTTTACCACGATGTGAGTGGTGAAGCACTCACAAAGTCTTTGGACACCCTCAAGCATCAGTCGGCAGTCATCTTCGATGGCATCGTCACAAATGAGCCTTGGCATGATATTGCAACGATGTACTTCTTTTGTACTGAAGACAAGGCAATCCCCATCCCTATACAGGAGGAAATGGCAAGAAGGTTGGGCCCGGATGCATTGCAGTATCATTGCAACGCTTCGCATTCTCCCTTCCTTTCTAAGGTTGATGAGACTGTCAAGGGTCTAGAATATGCTGCAGAAGAGGGTGTGAAGAAAGTTGCCAAAGCCTAGAAGCATTTTGAAACAAGCAGACCGATTTTATTTAAAACAAGAAACAATTGTGAATTAAGTGCAACAAGTCATCATCTTTAAGCAATTATGACATCTTGTTTTGGAGGTACCCAATATGAGACATGTTTTGTTTTCTGCATAACCTGATTCACCTTATCAAGAAGATATTACCGACATATTTCAATACAATCATATACCAAATTTCATGACAAATAGACGCTAGGTAGCCAAGATCGCACCTCTGTAGTACGTTCAATAGACGCAAGGGATAGTCTCCAAGCGAAGAGCCTTGCCACTGGACTTTGAGAGCTTCTTAAGGCTGTACATATCGTTAGCGTTGTAAACTCAAGTAAAGAACTTTTACAGAGGCTATCTCACCATGTGTTGATCTCTGTCAGGCCAACAGGGTCGCCCTCGACAATGTCGGGAAAGCATACGTGGATAGACCTAGCTATCTTCAAGGCGCACTTGATATTGGGGTCAACCTTGGAAAGCTCAATGGGCTGTCTCTCGTCAAGCTTGGTTGGGGCGGCGGAAGCCAGGACAAGAAAAGGAAGGACGAGGATCATGGAGGTCTTCATAATGGCGACGATTTGTAAAGGGGAGGTTTATTAGGAGTGAGGAATATGTGGTGTTCAATCGTTGTGAATGTTGGTCTGGATAATTTGAGATGAAGTAAGGCCAAATCTGTTTCTTATATAGTCCGTCGAAACTTGAAGAAACTAAGCTATTCTTGTGCCCGTCAAGCACCAAGTTTCACACGACAGAGCTAGGGTGTTGGGTCCCAAGTTCATCCTCGACCCAACTCATTCTGACGCTCTAAATTCTTTAGTGAAGACTCAGAATGTTTGACAGTTCTCTGAATAACTGGTCCATAGCTAATCAAGGTTTGGTTGCAACTGCACCAACAGCCCTGGAGCCAGCCGTTGACGTTTGGGCACTAATGCCCTGTTACGTGGGTGTCCCTTATTGTTTTGAGGCAATAGCAAGATTTGACTGGAATGTGATGTTTCTCTCTGGAGTAAATTACAGTGGTAGATCTTGAAAATTCAAGGTGTTCATTTCCCTTTCGTGTCAGCGGCGTCTACTACAAATACGGCAACGTTTGATCGACTGTAGATCCGGGGGTGCCTATGACCCTCAATTCAGACTCAACTTTGTCATTATTTTAGTCGTCGCATGCACGAAATAACTCTAAAGGCTTTTTGAACCGATCTTCTCATTGGTTCGCCAGAAGGTACCTTTATTTGCGCACTAATGCGATCTGTTGGGTTACTGAAACCCTGTTCTTATGTACTTAGGCCGTTATGCAGACCAAGTTCCAAAAACCAAGACATAGCTGTCTTCTTTCAGTCCAGCTTCTGATGAGCGATCGATTCCATTCAATTCATTTTTAATAGTGATCGTCAATAAAAACGCGAATATTCGTGATCGACAAGTTCAAGCCTTGAGAGCCGACTCCTTCTGAACTCAATGCCTCCAAGCCTCAACAGCCGCTTATGTCATGTTTCGCGCGACCCTGCATCCAAGTTTTTGGGCTGTCGCAGTATCCATGCCATTTCTGAATGGCCATGTACCCAGGATTGCACTTTGCAGTGTCGGCTAAACGATGATGACATCTAACTGTACTCACTGTAGGTTTGCACATGCCAGTCCAAAATGAGTACCCAACCCTCATTGACAGCCATCTCCCTGCCACCCGTCACATGCAATATGGCTACTCGACAGCTGTGACTTAGTTTTTGTTACCTGTAAACTTCAAGAATCAATGATCTCAAACATGTGTTGCGATTCGAGCCTGTAGGTATAGGGTATTTTGCAGGTCTGGAATTTAGTGGTGGTGTTTCACAATACAATTATTGTGTTTGCCAGGTTTGCTTTATAGTAATCATGGAAATAAGATATATCTATAAGTGTAACAGATTTATAAGTCATGCTGATAAAGACGAGTGGTTCTTTGGTGCGTTGGTTGATAGTATTGAATTATTCATCATGTTGAGGACTGCATTGAGGCCCGAGTTGCCATCATAGGTGACACAGACACGAGGTTGCACATATATTTTAACCGTTATGAATTGTGTTACAATATAGCCTGTAGGTGTTGCACTCAGAACAGATTATGACCAGAAGAATGATGACAGATTGACCAACATCTCCCTTGAATCAGAATAATGACAACAAGACGTGCTTCATTGACGTCAGCGATCTGATGTAATCATGTTAGAGTAAGCACGGATAGAATACCCATCTCGGCAAACGAGTTGTCCGGACACCGATAGGTCGGTCTTTTAGTCTTATCTGATCCGACCACATTTTTTTTCTGCGGTCTTTTCAATAGACCGGAGGATTCTATTCGACAGAGACACTGTTTAGTCAGCGGAAGTTTGTAAATGTCCGCTTCCTCCAACTTCCGGAACATTGATCAGTCGCTTGATAACAAAGGGGGTCAGAGTTTGCTCTTTATCTACCCGGAATTAGCGCCATCTCGGTCTTTAAGCCTCTACTGTCGGTGCCGTCGTGTCGCGAATCCCCCTGAACGTTTCAGTAATATGGGTTGATTGTGGGGTTTCTTTTATCGCTATCGACTTTTTCAGCTCGCTCTTCGGACTCCCAAAGTTGACCGAACACTCAAAAATGTCCAGGATCATCTCAGCAAAGCCGCTACACTGGTTAGAAATCGTACCATGATGGGTCTTTTATTTATACTGAAGCACGCTACCTTAAATCTCGGCGAAATTAATTGAACACATCGGTAGATAACAATTCATCTCTTCTTTAAGAGCACTTCTGGTCCCTGCATTTCAAGACAAGCTTATTCCCATTTAACTTTGTCTATTCCAACAACGTTAACCATGTCGTCCAACGACATCGAAAACCAGCAGTCGTCATCCCCTGCTCCCACGTTACACGACGAGCCTACCATGGACGACAACGAGAGACATGGCATCAATTCGCCAGTATGGCGAGGTAAGAGAGGCTTGGTCGTCAAGATCCTTACTGGTATCATGGTCGCTATTCTCATTGTTTTCTTGGCCGACCTCTCATACCTTTTCGGTTCAACCTATCGAACGAACGATCGAGTGTCTGCCCTAAAGATCCTAGTCGTCGATTACGATGGTGGGCCCGTTGGAGAGTCCGTCACCAACGCCTACAAGATGCTCCAAGACAAGTCTTTCCCAACCGTCGAGTTCCATTCTTCCGATGAATATCCACAAACCTCAGACGTGAGAAAGGGCGTTTGCCACGCTGATTATTGGGGTGCCCTTTACATCAACAAGGGTGCTTCCGACCGTCTGGCCGCTGCCTACGAGGGTGGTTCTGCTGCTCAAGATTACAACCCTGCAGACAGTATCACCTACATATACAACGCTGCCAGATACCCAACTGTCGCGTCTGGCTACCTGATCCCCAACTTCCAAGCCCTCGTTGGTGCCGCTCGTGGTGGTTACTACCAAACCCAACAAGGCCGCTCTGCTCTTCGCAATGTCAACTCCAGCGACCCGGCCGCAGTGGAAGCCTATCTCAACCCCATCACCAGCACGCCCGATATTATTCGCCCAACCAATCAAGGTTCTCGGAACCTGTACAACACCATCAACATCGTCATGGCTATCCTCGGACAGTTCTTCTACGTCCTTGCCATGAATGGTATCTACGACAAGTTCGGTCTCCACAAGAACATGCGAGTCCGTGATGTCTGGGCCATGCGCTTCATCAACGGCAAGATATTCTCCATGCTTTACGCGGTTGTCGTCACTGGCTATATCTGGGCTTTCCGTGAAGACTGGGGTGTCGGCGGTACAGAGTGGGCTCTGACCTGGTTGACATTTTGGCTCTTTATGGATGTAAACTTTCAGGTTCTTGAGACTGTTATCGGCAGTTTTGTACCAATGCCTCTCACTCCTTTCTTCCTTCTGACATGGTTCATGGTCAATGTCGCCTCTGTTGTATTTCCCTTCGAGCTTACTGCAGGGTTTTACCGCATTGGATATATCTTTCCTGCCCACTCACTATGGATTGTTCTCATGCAAGTTTGGTCTGGATGCGGAAACTCTCTGCATATCGGTCTACCCATTCTCTTCGCCTGGTGGGTTGTTGGACATGTCACATCTTTCTTCGGTGTTAAGAAGAGGTGCTTGGATCAATCCAAGGCCCAGGCATCTAGCGAAGGAAAACAAGAATGAGGAACGAATCACGGGTTTAATGAACAATCTCTACACATGATATCCCATAGAATTCATAGCATGTCATTCATGACTATGTTATTAAGATAGACTATACCCAAAATTTAATGTACTACTATTTAATGTTTGCTCTTAGTTTCTATGCTCTTACAATACTTTTTCGCCCTGACGTATATATAATATCTACTTGATCTTGACATATGTTTTCGATGCTCCTGCTGCGACCCTTTCTATTTCTATTTCATTTGACACAATGGCTCCCATTGTATCTAGGCATTACGAAAGCGAGAAATTATGATTAAATAGTGTCAAGATTGTGATACCGCGTAGATATCTTCAATTCGCGGGTCACACATTGGCCCAACGTTTATAAAACAAATAATTAACCAGGTAGCTAGATTTAGTGTGCATTCGTTTCTTGCACATAACTAAAACACAAGACGGACCTTGAGTTTATCATCTTTGACAATCTCCTGCTCCTTCGACATCAGTTCCGGAAGATCCCAAGTCAGATTGATATACCGCCCCGCTAACCATGGCCGCCTCTCCGATGCCAAAAACACCAACGAATTTCCAGTCAGCTCTGGAGTATCGACGAACGCTGGACGTACCCATTAGTGAGTGATAGTCACAATGTGAACTGGGGACAACAAACCTGGTCTCATTGGCTCAGGGATCCCTTCGATACCACCAGACATCTCTGACGGAGCATTACCAGGATGCACACAGTAAGATACAATCCCCTTGTCTCCATATTCCATTGAGATAAACTCAGTTAGCCTGACAATGGCCAACTTGGAGACCTGGTAGGCGCTAAGGCCATATGATATAAGATGAGCGCCAACACTAGCAATGTTAATAATAGTCTTTGTCTCAGACTTGAGGAGGAGGGGAGCAAGAGCTCGCGCCACAAGATATGGCCCGAAGACGTTGGCACTGAGGGTCTGTAGCCAATCTGCAGGATCGGACTCGGCGATAGGTGATATGTTCATGAATGCTGCATTGTTGATGACGACGTCCAAGTAGCCGAATTTCTCATCAATCTCCTTTGCCAGAGCATCGACACTCTCTGGAACACTAACGTCGGTCTTGATGGTTAATACTTCGGGCTCAGGTTGTCCTGTCTCTTTTGCCGCAGTTCTGATCGCTTGGGCGGTGGTTGACATGTCAGAGCGTGATGCAACAATGAAACGTGAAGCTCCTGCGCGGGCAAAAGAGATGCACATAGCACGGCCAAAACCTCGGGATGCCCCTGTAACCAGGATCGCTTTGCCCTTAAGGTTGAAGTTGGTAGGGTCAATGGCAGGATAGGTATCAGAATGAACGACCGAGGTAACATCGTAGTCACCTTTAACGAGTTAGTCTTCCCAGTGACATGTACAGAGAAGAGTTGTTACTGACCTGGACCTTCAAGAGGGTTGGGGGTTCCTTTGGGGGGAGGCATGATGACAAGATTTGGTAGGGCTGAAGAAATTCGCTTTGTAGAAATACTAGGGAGCTAATTGATTCTTGCCTTTTTTCCATCTGGGCAAAGACATGACTTATATTTCTTTTGTGTTGGCAGAAAATTGGCGATGATGACGAACAATGTACAGCTTCAATAATGTCGGAATTTCCGATTACGAATGAGGAATGAGCTGTGCTGATCGCATACAGCCATTTTCTGCAATTTGACGTCTCCAACGGAAATGGTCACAAAATACAATTTCTACATCCTAGAGATGCATTTATCCCTCACCTATCATTTTTGTTACGCTTTGTAAAAATACTGTTTGACATGATGGTCTTTGTACGCGAAGGAGGGAGTGCAATTTTTAATTGTTCTTGATCATTGTAAAGAGCCAGCATGTTATGCCTGACGCGCTTTTGTAAATCGAGACTGATCCTGGAAAACAAACATTATCAAGCCAATCACCACCTCAAGTCTTACCCTACAATGAGCGAAGATCAATAGCTCAAATACAAAGAGAGAGAAAAAAAAACACCAGAAGACAATGCAATAGTGTCCGGGGTAGGTCAAGTAATGGACATCACGCAAAATACATGCGAAAGGTCAATATGTCAGTAGGCTCAACATATGCTCGAGATGCAACTAGTAACAGCTTGCAAAAATTTAGTAGGAATTGTATTTGGTAGTTTTGCGTGATTTTTGAACCCTAATACTGACTTCATCTCTCTGTAGCCAAAAGCAATAATAGATAACGTTCGCAAAGCAACATTCAAAAGCGCTGCTTAGCAGCTATCACTTGTTAATTCAACACATAGTAGAAATTGTATATACTATCAAACTATGCAAAAGACAAAAAATAGCCAATCTTGGCAGCCTCGGCTTAAACTAGGGTCCATGTGACCTCTTTTGTGCGATTAATAGAACACTAGAAGAGTGCATAGGTTCTAGAGGCAGGGGATGCTAAATTTAGAGACGACCTGAATGATTTGAACACGGGGGCTGTGTATTTCGCTTGTGCTGCTATTAAATTAGTGGCCAGAATGTAGCGATACCCATATTTATCCCAGGCTTGGGGGCCTGGACCTGGCTTGCCTGGGTAGTTCGGCACGGCCGATTGAAATCTCAAGGCTCTCAACAATGCATCACTCCACTAGTGATGTGGCAGCCTGGAGAATTCAGGGAGATTTGGGTCGTTGAGTTGCAATGGACTGTGGAGAAACCTCGTATTCCTTCGCGAGGTGGGCTATATGCCCAAGGGGAAAAGAAAAAACAAGACACAATTTGGTGACAGATCCACCAATTTTGGTGCAAGCATGTCTGGCATATTTGTTTCCCCCAGTCGGCATCTTTGACCCAGTCCCCATGGCATGGGGCAGCTGCCAGCAACGATCGGCAGTTATGACGATGCAAGATGGAGATCAACAGAAGAAGAAATTACATATATAAGATCATCGTCTTCGTTCTCATCTAGGTATTATCTACTCTGTATCTCACTCATCCAACCTTAATACGCTCAACTACTCCAACCAAACACCAGGCACCACCACCACCAACCGCCAATATGCAGATCAAGTCTCTTCTCATCACTCCTCTCGTCGCCGCTGGCGTCGTCTCTGCTGCACCCAAGGCTAGCAGCACCCCCAAGACTGTCAACTTCCAAGGCCTTGCCCTCCGATCTGCTTCTCCCATCCACTTCAACTACCTCCAGGCTTCCAAGGAGTCTTTCGAGCTGAAGCTCAAGAACCAGGACGCCAGCTGCTACGACACCAAAAAGCACAACGAAGCCACTTTCCAGCTCTACGGCGATGAGCTCTGGCTCTACTCCAAGGGCAACCCCCGCCAGCAGGCATACGTTGACTTTTCTGGCATGGGCCAGGGCAAGTTCGGTTACACCACTGGTGCTCAGCCTATCCCCAAGAACGCTCAGCGAAAGGGCTGGAAGATCGACAAGGACGGTTTCCTCACCTGCGACGGTGCCAGCTTCGTCGCTTGCCCCAATGGCGACAACCTCGAGAAGACTTCTTGGTCTGTCTGGGTCTACAACAGCATCAACAACCCCGGTGGCAACAAGAACTGTCTCCCCTTCACCGTCAAGGCTGCCAAGGTTGAGAAGCCTGTCGCCTGCATGTACTCTGCTATCCAGCCCAGCGAGTAAATTTAGGTTCATGTTGGAATGTTTCTAGTATATATTTTTGCAAAAACTTTACGACGTCGTTGGATATAGAGAGCGAGATGTGTCTCAGGATATTAGCGTTTTGATTTGGTTCCAGTACCTGAATTAATTTATTTTCAATTTTGCCTACCGCGCATCACATATAGTAACCAGGATTTTCGAGTAGTATGAAGCCTATACCATTAACGTGATTGCTCAAAGTCAAAGTTGTAATGGTGGCTCGCGATCTGTTGTAGCAGTGATTCCAGCCAGCAATTCCTCCCAGGTTGAGTCATCAATCCCTTCCAAATCTAATACTGTATCCGTACGCGTATTACCAGACCCTGTACTTGATAGATAACCTCCCGAGCTTCCCATTTCGGACGCGTATGGCCCATCACCACAGCCAATGGAGAAATCGAGAGGACCGTGATTCGTCCCTCGTACTTCATCATACGCTACAAACACGGCCCATATCATGTCTGAAAAGCCGAACATGATATCAGCCTCGTCGCCGGTATTCTGAACCAATGGTGACAAATTCTTGAACTTTGACTGCAGTCGTCTTGCTTCACCCTCGAGATCTGCTGCCCTCTCTATGGTAGTTACATCATAGAGAGATGTGCCGGGGTACGAGAAGCTTGCGTTGCTGAGAGCAATCCTGATATCCCTGAAAATCTCCGGCCAGATTTTACTAGCATTAGACAGACACGAAAGGGTTCTGCAAATCTTGGCGGTCGTGTAGAAGGTGATGTACCACAATTCTTCATCCGGATAGTCCATCACAGTGTCGTTCAGAGATTTGCAACTGCGCAGCAAATTAAATAGAATAGACATTCTAGTGCTGACAGAGAGTGACGGATTGCTGGTTGCGAATGAACTGGCGATAGATGAATGATCCCAGAAGTCATCGTGCAGCGAGACTTCGCCTATTAGCGTATCAAGTAGATGCAGCTCAATCTTGATCGAAACTATGGCTTTGTTAGTACCCAAAATTGACCAAGAGGAGATATGGGAATCTCAACTCACAGTTCTCTTGGAAGGCTAGCGGGATAGATGCTTTGAGCAGCGTGGATTCGTTACTCAGAGTTTGCAAAGCCATTGCACTGATGAACTCGCCCTTGACACCTGTGTTCTCCAAATCATCATAACCAAATGTGTCGCATATACGTCGACTCAGTTCATTTATACGGACGAGATACGCAATGAGATCATCACTGGCGTACTCTTTTGTTGCTGAAAGTATCTCCCAACTTTGCTTTATATACCCAGTGTAAGGAATGGCGCAACGAGTTCTGAACTTAGTAGAAACCCTGCACAATTAGTATTACTCCTGGGTCTAGTCCTGAGTCCTAGGGATGCCTTACCAACTGGTAGTGCAGTATGTTCCAAGGAGAGCCCGTAATTGATCCGTAGAACGAGCAGCCTTTCGGCCAGAGGCTGTCTCATCTGGCCCGAGGTCTACTGTACGCCTTGTGTTGTTTGGATTCTGGTCAAGTCCCAAGTTTTGAACCAGTGATACACAAAGTTGTGCGAGCTGGACAATCTGTTGCTTCTCATAACTGAAGAAGTACTGATACCATGCGATATAAACTAGAAGGCCCTGGAGGAGTTCCAAGCTACTTTCAGACTGCATCAGGACTCTCTGATGGGCTTGCATCCTGACTTCTTCTCCGATTTGTCGTTGAATGGTGCAGTTATCTACTTTCATTGTCGCCATGATGCACATGAAAAGGAATGGCTTTGCTGTTTTGAGAGATTGAATAGTAGTATCAGGCGCGATTGGAACAAAGGGGAAGTGTGGAACAGCTCGAGTACGATAGTTGTCCAGTAGGGTCTGTGCCTCCTCAAGAGTGATGAATCCATGATCGATGACATCCAGGCTTTGTCGTGGAGCAAAGCTGCGTGGTAGTGACGATCCAAGGATACGGTTCACACCCAGCGTATCAATATCGAGATCAAGATCAGCAGATGATAGCTGTGTAATGAAGCCGCTTAATGGCGTCCCCTTGGCCCTTTCACTGAGCATGGATAAAACTCTATTCAGTCGCTGTTCTAACAGCCTCGTACGACTAGTGACACAAGTTAACACCTGAACCGATCTTTTTGAGGCTTCATCTAGACATACGAGGCGCTTGATGGGCTTTTTCGCTTCTCAACGACATTCAAATAAGTGCATCGCTTGCCAAGGCGATTGCAACGCTGACACTCATCAGCTGAGAGGGGAAGACATTTCGACTTGACTGACGTGCAATTGACACAAGCTCTTCGTCTTACACCAACAACCTTTGATGAGCTATCGGTAGGCATTTCGTATATCGTATCGAAAGATATTACGACAAAATGATCATGAGATTTGGTTGCTACTTGCAATAGACCACTGTTAGCAGGCAAGTCTCTATTTCGAACTCTGAAGGTCTTGGGTGGCGCGGAGTTTCCGTCGGAGCTGTTGACAAACAAGGATGTGCAGGATGACGTTTATTTGCATTATTTATAAATGGATTTCCAAGGCCAGCGCCTATGGGCTGGAAATCGAGAGGCCCCGGACTTAGGACGGCTTGCAGAGTGACGTCTGTCAGCATCGAAAGGCCAATGAGCATATCTCGTCTGACCAACAAATCTGGATGAGTGGCTGACGAGCAGATGATCACGTAACATCCTTGTTCCAGCTTGAAAGTGGCTTGTAAGCGTTCTGACAACGACTGGCCAGGTCAATTGTTCTCAATACATGCACAAAACAAGCATTCTGAAACTATAGCAACACTTTCAAATTGGACATTTTTTGAAGCGGCGCACAACAACGATGGGATTTCATTGAATGCGCGAAGTGATGGATCTGAGTAATATGATCTGCGGTCATGTCTCTCTTCAATGAATTGGCCAAATACAATCATCTCCTTAAACTGGCCAAATGCATGCACCTGCGCCACGAATCCTTCTTGAAACAGGGTCAAAAACACAACAGGGGAGAAACTATAGCTGTGAGTCGATGGCAGTATTACTAGTAAAGAATCTCGAGATTCTTCGAGTATGCCAGGCTGAGTGCGAATATGATTGGATTGGAGAAACGCGCGAAGAAAACTTCACGATGTCTTACGCTATGAATAAGAGCCAGCTCTATGAACCAGTTCGTCAAAGAAAGACGTGCTGCTCTAGGATAGTCGTAGATTTATGGCAGGAACACTAGTTAAATAGGACGAAGGATATGTTGATGCAATTGCATTACCTTCAAAGTTCGGTCGACGTGATGTTAAACTTTTCAACATTAGCAGGTTAGTGTGTAGTTATTATACTTATTATATATTTATACTGCAGTTATAATTTTATTTGACTATTATCACAGGGGGAATAGCAACTCAATTATATATATATATATCTTGTTAGAATATTATATCTTTTCAGCAAGTTAATCGGGTAAGTTATATCAAGCTACTATAAATATAAAGATATTAATTACAGATTCGAAATTTAGTAAAATAAAGATAAGTTCTTCAAAGAAAGTATTTAACCTTGGAGACTTACTTGCATTGTCTTAATGCTGCTAGACGTGGATAAATATTATTGATAAAAAGTTCAAAAAAGAGATGCTTCAATAGCAGCTACTGGTTTCGATCCAGTGACCTCCGGGTTATGAGCCCGGCTGAGAGGGGTTAGTAATTGAATGAAAATCGACATTTGAACAAGACATACCGCGCTTCCACTGCGCCAAGCTGCTTTCGCTTGAGCTTATGTAATGACAGAAGTATCAGTTAACCTCATATACCCTACCTGACATGTCTTGGAGAGAAGCAGGTATCAATCCCATCCTTGACGTCACACAACCAACCACCAACTCATAGCCAAGAGTGAACACATTCAATTGGTGCTGGCCTGAGTTCAAGTTTTTGTGGTATCACGCCACGTTTTACTTCAACGGCCAAATCCACGGCCTCTCTGTTTGTCTGTTGTTTCGTTTATCTCTGGTTCTATCTTGGCGATCAAGCTAGGCTTCTTCGGCTTCTAATAGATCTAAATCAAAATAGTCCCCCAGACACGATCCATGTCATCCACACAGTTGGGGATCTGCGGAAACGTTTGCCTGTCTTTACTTCTTCTCTTTACCAACATGCTTCAACCCCAAGGCGTGGAACGGGCGTGATTGTTTCGGGAGCTTCGGAGGAATGCGAGCAGCTCATTGGCAAAGGCTGGAAGCACAGCCGGGCTGAGTCTATGATCCATGTTTCACAAGCCATGTCCCAGCCTTTATGAAGTAAAAGGTGACGACAATTCCCTGGGGAAACCAAGGCCAAGAAACCTCGAGATTGGTTGTGTCTTAGCACCCCGCAGATCTAGCGCTTATATCAGGCCACCACGTCACGTCAAATGATCTCCCAGGCCACCAAAGCAAGGGATTGACGGCACTTTAATATTCCCCGAGCCCTACGTACCATCCGTCGGTGCCGGCCATTAAAACAACAATACCACCTACGCCCTTGCTTCGTGACTCATTTCGCCATTTTTAACATGCATCATAACCATATTTTGTTTATCCTTCTTGTCTCTGCTTTCCACAACTGCTTAACATTTACGCCTCAGAAATTATGTTGTTACCAAACATGATGCGCCGGTTTCGGGCCTCGTCTGTAGGGAGAAACCTTTACAATATCTGGCTATTTGTCTTCGCCCTCATTGTCTTTCTAATATTCGTCTCGACTTTTCTTGTGCAAGGAGGGACCATTGACATGCCTGACTGGACCAAAGATCTTCGAAAGTACGATGGCGACGACTGGGATCGATATGCTTCCATATTGATCGTAGCTGTCTGCTTTTTCTTCACATTGACTATGATTACGGGTGTGGCTATTCTACGATCTGGCAGATATTAGAGTTACCCAGCAAAAGCCGGTCAAAAGCTTTCGACTCCTGAGCCCTCCCTTCAAGTACATTTTCAGCCAGCAACGTGGCCACTTCGCTGGAGAATGTCAAGGGAGGCTCCTCACCATAGCAACGAAAACGATGCATGTATGGAATGCGCATGTCGCGAAACGGTTGGAATCCGCGGAGCACATTTGTCGCCCTTCCGCGCCACAGTCATACTCAGTGCCAACGAAGAGACCACCTACGACCGAGTCACGTGTACCACGAGCATACATTATGATCTCGTCAAACAGCTCAAATAGAAGAGACCTTTCCTACTATGGGACGCCCCTTTTTATTTGGTACTGCGGTATGATGCCATGGCAAGAACTCATCATGGAATACAGGCAGGGATGCCCACAACATGGATATGCAGTCTATTGCTGTATCTGCGTCTAGTCTCGAAATTTATATCGTGGAGGTTAATATCAAAGGAAGAGACGCTTTATCAGAGTTCAAAATGATAAATGAATTCTCATATGACTGTTGAACAACCGAGTCAACAGGAAGCGCAATGGAACAAAGAACAGGATCATGGGTCACCTTTGAGCTCGGCGAGATGAGATAGGCGAGCTACTAGCGGTCTATCATGATGACTATTTGCAAGCCTACAAACCTTGGAGTAATGAATGTACATGAATAATAAGGGATACTGGAACGTACATAGTTTATGATAACGAATTTATGAGGTTACTATTATGGCCGGCCACCTGCATGGATGATTATGTTTCTTTCTCACTCAACTCCGGGTTCCAGTACTGTAAAAGTGCCATTCTCAGAATCAAGCTCAGCCAAGGCATCGTAGGGCAATGTCAACATCGGCACTGTGTGCCCTATATCTATATTAAACAGAATCGGGAACTTCTTTGACGCAAGTCGCCCCTCGCACAAAAGACCCGTGATGATATCAGCATAAGTCTGCCTGTCCTCATCCGAATCATAACCGTATGGTCTTCCTACAACTAGGCCCGCAGCCTCCTCAAACACACCTTGGGCGATCAAGTCTGCAAATGCCGCCTGGACCCTGTGAGGAGGATTCCCACCGGAACCGTCTTCGTTTGTGGCCGTCTCCAGAAAAACAATCCGGCCGCGCCAGTCGGGGACGATGGCCGAGATGCCACCCAAACGTGCAACGACAGTAAGACACCCTCCAAATAACCTGCCCTGAGCCTTTCCAGGTCTCAGCCACTGCCATTCGCTTGTCCTGACAACCGCTGGAGGCTCTGTTGATGTTGGATCCTGGAAGAAAGGTGCCCCTCTTGGTGCGTAGTACGGTGACCGTGGAAGCTGGCCAAGCGGCTCGGGTGATGAGATCGCGCGCAGTAGATTATCCACACAGAAATGGAGCGGTGTATTTTTATCGTTGATATCGTTAGGTTCACCGATTTCGGGAACAGCACCGGGGCCATAGAATGTGCGCAGGCCTGTCATGGCGTATAAGAACCAATGCAAGCCAGTGATATCCGAGTATCCAACCACGACTTTGGGGTTGGCACGGATTGCCTCATGAAGGTCTTTGTCGGCGATCAGAGCAGGAAGAAGTTCTGTGAATGTTGTGCCTCCAATGGTGGTGATAACGGCAGAGATACTCGGGTCTGAGAAAGCTGCGCGAATTTCGGACAGTCGGTTCTCAATACACGACTGAATTCCCTCGACGTCGTTGAATAATGTTTGAACTTGAAAGCCTTTTGTTGAGAGAACGGCACTGGCTCTGTCTACAACGGCTGGGAGGGTGCTGTTAATTCGTTCTGAAGGTGATATGAACGCAATCTTATCACCTGGCACCAAGTGCTTTGCTCGGATAGGTGACGGCATGTTGAGTGGTGTGTGGAATTAAAAAAGTCCAAATGGTATGTGGAAGGATTCGTGAGGTATAAGCTTGCAATGTCAAACTCGAGATTTGAATGTGGTATGATGGCAATGATGTCAAAACGAGAGGGGCTGACGAGGTGGGTTTTAATATCTCAACCGACGATTCAATTAACGTTATGTGACAAATGAGATACCAACTATAGTCGCCTGTTTATTAAGCACGACATATTGACTAACATGATATTCATTTAATTTCATATATTAATGGCCAGGTATATTTGTCAGCTCGATGAAGCTATCGCGCCCTTCGGATGTCCGAAAGGATTGTACCGAACAAAAGTTCCAGCCTTGTCACATCGAGTATCCACATTAAAATTTCTCTCATGTCTCCCATTATCAGGTTCAGTATCGCGGCTTACGTTAAATCATCACCCATTGTTTGCGTATCAACAATCGGAAACAACGACATTGTCGTATCAAACGAGTCAAACCAAAGCATATTTGGAGAAATCCCCAGAAAAGCATCAGTCACGTTCCCAACTTCAATCTCTGATTGTTCCCCTCCTTCAATATTATAGCCTTGCTGGTCACTCGCCATATCTTGGTTTGATACCTGTCCAGGCCTAGGCGTCTGAGGCTGCGTTTGGAACCCTTCAGATGGCGGTATTCTGAAGTTCATCTCTGGCTGCTGAGAACTTCGCAATGGTGATTTTCCTATGGTGTGAATACTGCCAAAGAGACCATTGACCAGATGGCCTTGACGTTCCATCCGTAATCTGGCTCTGTTGTCCATGTAAATCTCACATGCTCCCTGTAGATGATCTAGGATCATGAGGTGGCGTTTAGCTACAGCATCGCAGCGGGCTAGATGCTCGAGAACGCTCCTCGCGGCGTGGAGACTCTTTTCAAGTGGGAACGAGTTGTCGAAATCGCCAAATATGGCTGCTCCGAGTACTAGTCCAGAAACGAATGCTGAGTTACCCACTATGGGCAAACGCTTTGGGATGGTGCCTGCTTTGAGAAGGGGTTGCAGCAGGTCTACTGTCCGTACGGCTGATTGGAGGCAGGAATGGACGAGTACCTCGTTGGATGACGAGGAACGCTTAGTAGATGCGCTGGACGACTGCTCTGCTTCTTCAACATGTTGAGAGACAGCCTTGTGTAGAAACGGAAGCGATAGCAACATGATGCTCCAGTGTCCCGTCAATTTGAGGTGCATGAGGCCAATGTTCGGCTGGTCATCACCACTCTCGTCACTGATCAGTTCCTCTTGTGCAATTCCGTCAAGAGCCAAGCCTTCACCACACTGTGAGGTCCATCTTCGGAGATGCTTGCTGATACGTTCCAGTATTTCTGGGGTGATCATTCTTTTAGCATATACGTCTGTAAGAATCGATTCGAAGATCATTGACAGATCATTACAAGCCGAGTAGTTTTGTGGATTTGTCGTGTCACGCAGCTCGGACGTCGAAGGAGGTCGGCCGAGCGATGCGCTCATGAACAAATCGAGGATCCGGATGCCTTTCCAAAGCTGCTCTCGTGCCCGCCCCTCAGTCGATGAAAACAAAGAGGATATATCATGACGGTGTAGTCCAATCGCATACGCAGCTCTTACGCCCATGCCGAGGTACATGAAAGCTGCGTTACGACGAGATGCACCCAAGAGATACATGGCGATGAGGACCAACGCCTGGATGGTGATAATTCCGGGTTCTTCTATCAACGTCTCAACTGTCAAGTATCGAGCATAGTTGAAGAAGGTCTCGGCCTGATCATCCTTGTCTTCTGGTCCAGTTTGTGCACCAATGGCAAATACAAGAAAGTAGACAGAACTCGCTGGATCAGAAATGTTCTGTCCGTCCTCTATCCACTTGAGAATGTCATGTTGGAGTTGTTCTTGGTCGAATAGTAGTAGCACACAATTAGTCGACTGCATGTACCACTTCAAGAGGTAGTTGACTTCCTGATCCGTTTGCTGTGAAGGCGGATTCTGAGCGCTAGATAGAATCCATCCTCGCCTTGTTTCAGGCGATGATTCGACAATTCCATGCCTCAATGGATCGTCGACGAGGGCACAGTCTCCTATGCTACGACGTACGATTCTCCGGATATTTTGTAAAAACGACAGTGTCGCAGAGTCGCCAATAAACATGTATTCACCTCTTGTATCCTGCACAAGACGTGACATCCGCGGAAGCCGTTCAGGTTGTGTATCCGACAGCAATTGCAGCGACGAGGAAGTCTGATCGTCAACATAGTTATCCTCTGTAGATGCCAATCCTGATCTGGACCCAACAGTGATACTACCAGCTGGAGTATGCTGTTCCGTGATATTACTCAATCTTTCAGGGTCTGGGCTAGGCAATGATGAAGCAACAATGCGTCGAGCCCCAAGACCCGAAACTGACGGGGACTCCCGACATTCATGGCCGAGACCTCGCTTGATGCAGCGAGCACAAGGGCGTCGACCATCGCATCTTTGCTTGCGACGTTTACAACTTTCGCAGGCTTCGGCGCAACGTCTCCTTTCGCAATCTCGGACCCTCCTGGTAGGCATTGGATTGATCGTGGGTTGACAGACTGATTGATTGAAGCCGCGGGCCGCCAACTGTCGGATATGGTCCAGTCTTTATTGGTTCGTGAACGGCCAAGATGGGGTAATTTTAGGTGTCCTGTCCGCTGACGTAAATTGGTCTAGGCTTACCATTCCGAAGGGTGGGACGCTGATAGCCGATGGAATGTCACCCACTGAGAGGCGGTGAGTACAGAACAGGCAGTGTGTTTATAGCACCATTTGTAAGAAGTTTGGACATATTGGAACAACAATATGGCATGGAGGAATATATACGATAGAATCATAGCAAATCGGACGAAACATTAAACAGCATATTGATGGTTTTTTACATTGCAAAAATGGTCTGACCCTAAGACAAATTGGAGATAAATTCCTCAATCTTTGCTCCTACCTCCTCTGGTGCCTCGATGCAATGCCAATGTCCTACTCCAGACAAAACATGGATATTCTTTGCCGAGCTATCACATCCCCATCTATCATAAATGTCAGTGACTGGTACAAGACTCTCAGTTGGGTAGTTTCAAAAGTAACTTACTCGTTTGTAATTTTCTGTGCATCAGGCACAGGACTTGTTTTGTCCTCCTCGCCAGCCAAGACCAGCAATGGGCAGTCAAGGCTGGAATACGCAGGTAGTTCCGCCTTTGCAATTGCCTGGCATAACGCATTGTACCCATCTGGCTTCTGAGATAGTAGGAGAGCTCTGATGAATGCTTTTTGAGTCAATGTTGCTTTTGAACCCGTCGCAGCGAAAGGGATGGTTTTGGCCATTGGCTCCATTCCGTCTATCACACGCCATTTTAGCAAGTCATTTCATTCTCATACTTCACTGAAATGACTGACCTTTCTTAACTGTCTCTATACGAGCATTGAAGATATCCGCCAAAGCAGGTTTAGGTAGCACAGGACCTATGAGAACAGCTCCGCGCAGACGGCACTTCGAGGCCAGCATTGGGACAATGATACCGCCCATCGAGTGTCCAGCAGCAACAACATTTCCAGAGGGAATGTTTAACCCTTTCAGTAACTCTTCGACATCACTAGCTATAGTTTCGAATGTGGGAGCTTCTGCCTCAGGTGATAATTCAGACTGGCCACTTCCTAAACGTTGTTCAGTGTCATGTTATGGCGAACGGGTGATCAGAGCTTCTCACCATAGACATCCAAAGCAACTGAGCTATATCCAGAGGCTGCAAGACTGTGCATCACAGGTATATAAAACGAATGGGACGATCCCAGGCCATGGATAAATACCAGCACTGGACCAGAGTTCTTTGACTCTGTCTCAGCGTCTACGCGAGCGTAGAACAGCTTCTTGCCATTTACGTCAAGAAAAGGCATGATCTCTTCTGATCACAGAGAAAAGCAATGAAATAGTAAGAAGATCTCAACGTTAAGTCCTGGCTCACGATGTATTTTGCTGAGCTTGGGTACCATATGTCAACTGAAATGCCTCAAAATGTTCTAGCGTTACCACTCACTGTTAGGTCAGTTTTACTATCGGAAGTCGGGTCAGAGTTCCTCGGCAATGGGGTCAGCCGACCTCAACCTGAATTTAACTCTGTAAAATTATGGGGACTATGAGACAAAAGTCACTTATGACAGAACTATTCTTTCAACATTACAAACTCCAGTTCAAAAAACTACAGGATTGTAGTGAACAACGTTTTCATAAACTCATTGTTGGAAATTGAAACGTGTGTCCTTATATAAAAACGCCTCTCAGCAAGCACATCGCAAGTTTATCTGAAGCAGATATTCTGTATAGCCAATCACCGTTAAAACGCATCAACATGGGTAGCCTCGGCAATAACAGCTACTCCTCTGTCGAGGAGAGTAAGCGAATCTTTGACTATCTATGCGATCAATTCGACGATACAGCTCTACCGGCTGGTGTGAAGGAGCTTAGGGATAGCATTGAGTTTACCTCAAGCCGAGATGCACCGTACTTCCCTATCCCCTTCAAAGAGACGGAGACGACCGCGGCGTTAAAGGCAGTCGAGGGTGCCGTGGCTTGCTTGTTGGCAAGTTCAGTTACTGGCGAGTCTCAGACTAGGAAAATGAACATCAATTTGGAGAAGACGACGGCTTTCCTTTGCCAGGCCTACATGGCCAAAGTCGGTGGTCTTGGAAAGCTCGATCCTGGTGTCAAAGCTAAGCTCAAAGGTCAGTCAGTATATATGACAGAATCCTTGCGCTCCGAAAGAAAAGATGATTGACAAATACTAGATACCGACTTGCTACAAGCGCAATCTAACCCATATCGTCGCATGTCAGCAAATCTCTATGAGACTAAGAACCCTGGAGAGTACTATCACATCCATGGATCCCTAGAGGCTTCAACAACTTTGAAAATGATAGGTCTGGAGCCTTTTAGACCAGATCTGCAGTCCCATGAGAGCATAGTGGATGCTATCGAACCTGCTGTTCGAAAGTTTAGCGTGGAAGAGCTAGAGACCATGAATGCTGCTAATCGACAGGCTGGAGTGCCTGCTTTGAAGCATGAGGATTTTGTTGAAACACAGCATGTAAGTGCTTTCCACAACCCAACTTCTAAGACGACAAAGCTAATTTGCTGATCAGGGCAAAACAAATATGGCTCTTCCACCATGGTCAGTGGAAAATCTCGAGTCCGAGACACCCAAGTGCCCTTTGACCCAAACCTCAGAGCAGCCTACAAGGATCCTGTCAGGTATCAAAGTTCTTGAGCTCTGTCGTATCATTGCCGGACCTATCATAACGCGTATACTCGGCGAGTATGGCGCTGATGTCCTCAAGATCACAAGCCCTAACCTCAGTGACGTGCCCTTCTTCCAGGTAGATGGAAACATGGGCAAGCACGCCGCAGAGCTCGATCTGAAGTCACCTGATGGAAGAGCTCAGTTCGAGCGTCTCCTTGCTGAAGCAGATGTTGTTGTCGATGGGTATCGTCCTGGCGCTTTGGAGAAGCTTGGTTATGGAGCAACTGCATTGACGAAACTCGCTAAAGAGCGCGGTAAGGGTTTCGTCTATGTAAATGAGAATTGCTTTGGTTATCAGGGCGAGTGGGCTGGCCGTCCTGGCTGGCAGCAAATTGCTGATTGTGTAAGTCTTTCACAACGAAGGTTTTTCATAGAGGAGGACTAACGTCGCTACAGGTCACTGGAATAGCCTGGGAACAAGGCCGCTTCATGGGCATGTCTGAACCCATGGTTCCTCCTTTCCCCATTTCAGATTATGGAACAGGGTGCATCGGTGCTATCACAGCATTGATAGGCCTCTACCACCGAGCAACCAAGGGCGGATCATGGCACGGAAAGGCATCACTTCTTCACTACGATCTCCTGCTTTTCAAAGTCGGGCAGTATCCCGAGGACATAAAGGAAAAATTAAGAAAGGAAATTGGCCCAGACTTCCTGGCTTTGCGACATGCTCACAGCGTTGATCAGATTTCAGGAACAGCGCTGTTGAGGATGAGGGACATATATCCGGAGCTCTTTTCAAGCGATAAATATGTCGAGAAGTGGTACTCTAACGCCTACAATGCGGAGGTAGAGGCCGTGCCCCCTGTGGTAGAAATTGAAGGTGTGGATGTTGGATTTAGGAGAGCAAGTCGTCCAAATGGTGCAGACGAGCCAACATGGGATTTTGGTCATGAGCCGGATCACAAGCTGTCGAAGTAGCATTCGACAGTTAATTAGCTATTCAGTATTGAGTTTGACGGTTACAATATACACGTATTTTATATATTAGACTATCTATTTCCCTCTGCCACAAAGTATTGTAATATGACAGCCTGGTTTTGCAGCCATGGCTCAAGAATGGACTTGACCGCAACGATTTGGGTCTACAGCGCTAAAGATTAGCGACCACAGCGGCAGCATCCACTAAAAGTTCTAGTTAACCCGGCATCGGCATCAGGGTCCGTTGTCGTCCTTCACTTGGTACATCCGATCCGAAGGCCCCGGCATCCGAAAGGATGTGACACCATGACCGTCCGCCTCATTCTCTGCCGAGAGAGGTAAATGCAATCATCAAGTTTCTGGTTGGTCAAGAAATGAACCCCGCAAACTCAATGCAACAGCTCACGATAGTCAGCCGAGGGTCCCTTAGCCGCACCTTGTTTGTCTATATCCGAATCGAACCATAGGAAGGTTCCGTAAGCTGACTGTGAATTGCGGGGTCAAGTCATCCGCTTGACACCATCTCCTATCTCGATTCCAATCCCTAAGCCTTGACTAGAAGCTCTTTATTAAAGCCTCGACTAGGAAATTCATTTCTTCATCACAACCATCCACATTTTCTCTGCATATTCATAGACACACAATCCAGTCTCGTCTTTATTACGCAACATAACACATTAGTCTTTTCTCGTATTTACACAGGAGAACATAGCAAAGATGTCCCCATCAGCAGAGGCAACCGGCGGAAATGCCAGCGGTGCTCCTAAAGAAGAGGGCCTTGGTCAAGCCTTCACAAAGCAAGTCATTGACTCTTTCGGCCCCAAGACTGATCCAAGGCTCCGGGAGGTCATGTCCTCGTTCATCCAGCACATGCACGACTTTGCCCGCGAAACACAACTCACTTGCGATGAGTGGATGGAGGCAGTTAACATGATCAACTGGGCTGGTCAAATGAGCACAGATAAGAGAAATGAGGGACAATTGATGTGCGACGTTATTGGTCTTGAAAGGTACCTTTATCTATTCTCCTGTCCTACAATTCAACGACTAACTGTTTAAAGTCTCGTGGACGATATCACACACCGTCAGGCAGCGAAGAACGGTCTATCAGGAACTGAAACCGCTATTCTGGGACCATTCTGGCGCCAGGATACACCCATTCGTGAGAATGGTACCACCATCACATTCGACACTCCCAGTGATGGCAAGGTAGCTTACCTATACGGTACTGTGACATCAGCAGCAACTGGAAAGCCCATCCCCAACGCCTCTGTCGATGTTTGGCAAGCGTCCACCAACGGTACGTGACCAATTTACAAGTGCATCAACTCATGCTGATATCCTCTAGGCCTGTACGAGCAGCAAGATGATAAGCAGGTTGAGCACAACCTGCGTGGAAAGTTCATCACCGATGACCAGGGTCGTTACTCGTTCTACTGTCTGCGCCCTACTCCTTATCCTGTAAGTGATATCTTGAAGATCTGTTCTTCAATACCCGCGTGCTAATCATGTTTTAAAGGTTCCCGAGGATGGCCCAGCAGGCAAGCTCCTTCATCTCCTAGACCGCCACGTCTACCGTCCTGCCCACTTGCACTTCATGGTAAGTCTAAATGTGATCCAGAACCAAGAGTTATGACACTAACATTCCACAGGTTCTTGCAAAGGACTACAAGTCCGTTGTGACTCAAATCTTTGACGCTGACTCTGGTTATCTTGACAATGACAGTGTCTTTGCCGTTAAGGATAACCTAACAGTGACTTTTGTGCCTCGAAAGGGAGATCCTAAAGCAGAGTGGGAGTTGGAATATAACATGAGCCTCGCTACAGAGTAGTCATATTGTGTTAGTCTGTGTTTTATATAGTCATAGCGTTATTCATTGAATTTTGTTTTTCCAAAGAATCTTTTACGTATCATCCCATATTGACATAGGGATGAACAAGACTTGACTATACGAGTGTCTGAGTCACTGTACCCTTGAACAGCTAAAATCCGCATAGTGTTTGCATATATTGCATCCAGAGTTGAAGATTCGAGGAGTAAACAGCAGATAAATAGTATGACTGCACAGAGACCAAAGTTATCGCCCTCAACTTCACACATTACAGATATATAATTAATATTGCATCCTTCTTTATCTATGGATGATCGGAACTTTTGGCCCTGTGTACTCGACCTCCTGACATACTATGGAATGCTGAGGTTCAGCCTACGGACCGGTTCAAACTTTGAACTTTGTATATCCCTAAGCAAGAGTTTGAAATACAGGATTTGTGCAATAGCCAGTGTAGTTACTGTAGAGAAATATTCAGGAGGATCCCATAATATTGTAATACTTTGGCAACGTGAAGCGGTTTCTAGAGTGTATCTTGTCTACGAAGCTTTACCAGAAAATTATCTTTCATATGAAATTAAACTTGCTAAAGAAAGAACTGAAAGACTAGTATATTCAAACTACCATTTTCGTAGTGATTGGAAACATTAGTATAGCGCTATTTTTACTTTATGATATTTTATCTCAACGTTATATAATGGGCGATCTTTGACGGTTTTCATGTGATAGATTCTACCTAGCCCGATCATGACAGTTGGCTTTAGAAGGTTTTACGTTGAATCCACTCTTGGTTCGTAGAGAAGAAATAAGCAGCGACCGCTATCTAGTGACTCACTGATATTAGAATTATTGTTAAAAAAAATTACTGTGCCAACGTAATATTATTACCTTGTTTTCGCCTTGTCTGTGCTTAGGAACAGGGTAGGTACCCTACAATTTTAACTCTGACTAAAGATTCAGTGACTATGCAACCCGCAATTACCAATTAAAACAGCAACAACACCAAATACCGAGCAATAACGTAATGGTAATGGTGTTTTGATGCAACTAGGTAACTGTACCTTGGATGTTTTTGGAAGGCGTGTTGGATTCGGGAAAGTGTACCGGAAGACTTCGGTCTGGGGAACAAGAGATTGATTGGCGAATCGACCCGACACGTGACCGGTTGCCGGATCACCGTCCGACCCACCGACGGCGCTCAGTCCGGGGCTCAAGACGTGGGATACATGATTGGCTGGGGAAAGGATATTCCGTTCCTAGATAAGAGATATGGCCAATAGCGGCCACCTTGTTGGCAATACGTGGTTCGTCCACTTGGTCTTGGCTGATATGGTATTGATATCTATAACATCCAACACACCGCAGCACAAGACACAAAGACGAACTTTTACATTCTCCAGCACCTGCAATGAGTCGGGCTGGGTTCAAGCAGCTTTCGCTGCTTCGGGCGTCAAGACAATGCTTATCGACCCGATCCCTGGCAACTGCTGTAAAGCACAATGCCATTGCGCGGTCAGCACCTGTTTCTGCAACGAAGTTGAGAGCTCGACCTTTCAGCACAACACGACCCCGACGAACCCAAGATGAGATGGAGGATGAGTCAAGCTCATACAGTGAAGCTGATCATGAACATGCTGTCATCTCCACATTTGACCTGTTCTCCATCGGCATTGGCCCTTCATCATCTCACACCGTGGGGCCAATGCGAGCGGGCAACATTTTTGTCAATGATCTTATTGAGGCCAATCTACTCCCCAAAGTCAACAAAATCCGTGTTGCTATTTATGGAAGCCTTGCCCTTACAGGCGAAGGTCACATGACACCTTCAGCTCTGCTGCTGGGTCTCGAAGGCGCTGATGTGGAAACCGTTGACACTGGATACGTGCCCACTCGCTTCAATGATATCAAAGCTAGCAAGAAGATCTATCTTGCCCGCGGTCTAGCAGCCGATGGATCCAAGGGTAAGGAAATCGACTTTGACTACGACAAGGAGTTCATTTGGGAGTGGGGACGCAAGCTGCCTCAGCATAGCAACGGTATGCGTTTCACCGTCTACGACAAAGATGGCTACGTCCTCGCAACCAACGACATGTTCAGTGTCGGAGGTGGTTTCGTCGTCAATGGTGCTCTTAGCATAGCGCCCCAACAAACGCTTTCTCCAAATGACCCCGCACAGCTTGAGGATCCCGATTTGGAGTCGGCGGCCCATCCGGCTGATTTGGCCGAAAACTTGTACTACAAGGAGATTCGGCGCTCCGATGCCGCAGGAGATCGTAGGACAGGTTCCGAGGTCAAGGTTCTGGACGAAGCCAATACAGGACCAACAGCTCTCCTCGGAGACTCACCTGAACCAACCGGACTCTCTACCGACGTCAAGTCAGAGACCAAGAGCACCAGCTCATCGCCACATCCGCGGTACGCATTCCGAGATGCCGCTAGTTTGCTCTCTCTATGCCGCAAGCACAACCTCACCATTGCTCAGCTAGTCTATGAGAACGAGAAGAGTCTGGGTTACACAGATGAGGACATTTACCGCAAGATCTTCAAGATCTGGGGCGTCATGGATGCCAGTATCCTTGAAAGTGTCCAGGCACCCCCTGGGACAAAGCTGCCTGGCTCTTTGAAGTTACATCGACGAGCCCCAGCGCTTTATCGTCGTTTGACTCGAGGACTGTACCCTTCATCTACTGCGGATACATCCGCTGCTCAACTTGAGCACAAGTTCTCATCGCCTGACCCCAACATTGACGAGGATGGTGCTTCGTCTCAGCCTGGCGCCCTTACTTCGCCATCAGGTAAATTGAGCGCTTCGGTCCCGGACAAGTTCATGCCTGGAGGTCTCCGAAAGCGTGGACCGCCACGGATACACGGATCTTTGAACCATCCTATTGCCCCCGCTCCATCGCGCCGAACAACGTTCCCAACCATGGATTACCTCTCTGTTTATGCCATTGCCGTCAACGAAACTAACGCTGGCGGTGGACGAATCGTGACTGCGCCTACAAACGGTGCTGCGGGTATCATCCCTGCCGTACTAAAGTACACGACCGAGTTCATCAGTGATGATCCCGAGCGAGATATTCCCACCTTCCTGCTCACAGCTGCTGCCATTGGTATGCTTTACAAGCGAGGTGCTACTATCTCTGCTGCCGAAGGAGGGTGTATGGCTGAAGTAGGCGTTGCCTGCTCCATGGCTGCCGGAGCTTTCGCGGCCTGTATGGGTGCCAGCCCTGAGACCATCGAGCAAGCTGCCGAGATTGGTATCGAGCACAACCTCGGACTCACTTGCGATCCCATCGGCGGTCTTGTCCAAGCCCCTTGCATTGAGAGAAACGCGCTGGGCGCTACAAAGGCCATCTCCAGTGCCAACTTGGCCCTGAGCAGCGAGACAGGTACTCAGCGTGTGAGGCTGGATGATGCTATCCGTGCGATGCGTCTGACAGCCAAGGGCATGAGAAACGAGTTCAAGGAGACGAGTTTGAGTGGATTAGCTACGAGTGTTCACATTAATATCCCAGTCAGTGTTCCTGACTGTTAGACGAAATCTGTATTTAGCAAGCGAAATCATCAAACAAAAAATAGGTACAGGGATTTTAGAATAGAAAGATGACTTTTTGCATTAACTAGCCAAGTGGATATCACGTGCTAAATGTAAGCTGCACAATGCGGAACAATCCCCTCATGTAAAAACGCGACTTCATGCAGCCATCATGGACAATCACGAGAATCATACTAGCAGGCTTGGCAAGGGCAAGGATACGGAACATTCATCAGTTGTTTGCTCATGCTGTTTCAGCCTCAACGCTGCTCTCATAGATCCAGCCAGTGATGACGTCAAGCTTGATCAGAATGAATTCGTATTGTCAATACGTCGCAATGATGCACAACTCAGGCGAGCAGCGGCTAGAGGTTGTGAAAGTTGTGTTGTCATGATTAAAGCTCTTGAGTAAGTCCGCCGAAATATACTTGTACACATCAACAACCATAGACCGGATATCTAATGCGCGAAATAGATACTACAGCCTGATACCCTCAGAGCCATCCCCTGTTGCTCTCAACGCAACTGAAAACTCCAACCTTCTAGGTCAAAGTAACAATGCGAGTGTCCGACTGAAACTACGACTTCCAATAAGTCAGGGAAACCCAGAAATATCGCTTAGCAGTCCTGATCTACCACGAAGTTTTCTTCAGTTCTACACCGACGAGGGTACGTAGTCTCGACTCTTTTTCTACTACGTGTCTAACATACAACAGCTCAAGGACGATCATGGAAGACAATCATGCCTATGCCGGATATTTGCAATGATCACCTATCTAGACAAGGACTTGTTTTCATTAACGCTTGTTTGCGGCTGTGCCAAGAGCATCATATGCACTGTAAACAAGAAGACCACAGTATGCCAACGCGTGTTTTGGATATCGGAACTAGTGACGATACTCACATGCGCTTGGTCGAGACACAATACATCAAAACCGCAAAGTACACAGCATTAAGTTATTGTTGGGGGAACGATCCTTCCATCAAGACCCTAACTGAGAACCTGGAGGATGTAAAGTCCGGTATTGCGCTTGAGAAGCTACCTGCAGCATATGTGGACGCAATAGCACTGACCAGACAGCTTGATGTGAGGTACATCTGGATAGACGCGTTGTGCATAATCCAGGACTCAAAGAGAGACTGGGAGATAGAATGCTCCAGAATGGCTGACACCTACACAAACGCCTATGTCACCATTGGCGCTGCATCTTCGTCATCTGTGACGAACCATTTCCTAAAACCTCAGCTCCGTCCGCCACCACAGATGTCACACAGAAAACGGGAAATCTTCAAAGTGGTTTTGTCAAGCAGCCGTGGCAAGGAGCAGGTCTCAGTTAAGGCGAGGCTTATGCAGGCGACCGGTGCCCACTGGCTGTGGCAAGACACCGGCAACGATGAGCAGCCCTTGATAGAACCTCTCACTCAACGAGGCTGGACTTTGCAGGAGAAAGTCCTTTCAACACGGTTTCTTTCACTCTCTTCTATGGAAATGGTCTGGACCTGTAAAGAACAGATATTCTGCGAGTGCGGGTCAAGATTGAATCATCAACGCGAGTTCGGTCGTACCCCGCTGAGTCAGATTTCTCAACGCGATGAAGCCTTCAACTTTTGGCATAAGATTGTCGAAAACTACTCCAAGAGGAAGCTTACGAAATCTGATGATAGACTCCCCGCAATATCTGCTATAGCGGCCATAGTGCAGAAGAGGATAGGTTCAAAGTATATCGCCGGACTATGGGCCGATAATATTGAGCTTGATCTTTTGTGGCGTCGAGCAGAACCAACACGGGCGTGTGCAGCCAGCTCATGTTACATTGCGCCAAGCTTCAGCTGGGCTTCAATTACGGGTGAAATTGACTACATGTGTTTTAGGAATGGAAAATGGCCTTACGAGAAAGCCACAATGGTTATTGAGGTCACTTCAGAAACCGGACCTGATGCGCCGCTTGGGAGAGTCACAAAAAGCAAGCTTGTCATGCATGGTCCAATAGGGATGGGATATGTCGAGCGACAAGATTCACATGGTTGGTTGATCGTACGTATTGGAACTGCGCGTATGTCTTTTCGCCCAGACACTACACTTTCAACAATGATGGCGGAGGGTAGATCGGAAATGTCAGTATGCAGAAGGACCCGTGAGCACCATAGGGAAGATCTTGGACGTGCACTGAGGAAACTAGACCAGAAGCGGGAATATGAATATGAATCTGAGTCTAAAGAGATCAAGATTCATTGCTGGATGCTGAGACTTGGTTCATATTCTATCGGAAGACGTGGAGAAAAAGAGCATGAGTGGTTGGTGCTGGGTAGGTCAGGAATTGAAACAGGATGCTTTGAGAGGGTTGGATGGGGTATGGTAAAAAACCGTGACGAAAAGCAGGTGTTTGCACAAGAGAGAATGGAAACTATAACATTGGTATGATTAATAGTATAAAGTATATAGTCCGTTAAAATAAATAAAAAAACACGTTATATAGGCTATCTGTTCTATCGCTATAATAAAGCTCGGAGTATTCGGGGTGACGGACCAGGTAGTTGGAAATACAGACCCTCCACCGTATGAATAGAAGAGAAGCAACTATCTAGTCGAATAAGCACCCGCCACCCGCTCAGATTGTTATCACTAAAGTGGGCCATCATGCATAGGTTGACAGGGGAGAGGAGCCCTGGTCGAGAGGCCCAGGCTAAACCCAAGTCACAATGACATGAGGACATGCAGGCATGGGTAAGAATGGCGATCGTGGACCAATTGACAAAAAGAGTTACCGGCGACATTTTTGGGGCTTGCATAGATACTTTTAATGGGAGCTGAAACTGAACTAGGGTGGATGGGAAGGGGAGGGGGGGACAGCCACAGGACTGATTAAAGAAGCCGACAGTGACAAGAGACAGAGAGAGAGGACAGGGTAGGTAAACTGGGTACCTAATAAAATGACTGGAAAAGTGTCCACTTTTTACAGTCTATGCCTTGTTGATCGGAAACTTGAGCCAAGCCAAGCCAACAGCCAACTTTACTACGGTATACGTACTACCCAAGTCAAGTCAAGCCAAGTCAGGTCAGGTCAAGAAACAGAAAAAGGAGACGGGAAGGGAGAATTCACCAACACAACAACAGCCAAAACTCATGTCTCAGTCAAATTCCATGCGGGGTTACCTAGTTAAACCAGCTACATATTTATGTCTAACATTTTTTATCGTTTTTCTTTTGCTTTTTATTTTATTTTATTTTTTATTTTTTTAGTCAATCACTTTCCTTATCCTTCCTTGTCCAAGATTTAACCTTTTCTAGGTACTTGTAATTAATTATCGACTCCCCCTACTAATGGTACACTGTGCTGTGCCATACCTCTGCTTTTTGTTTGCTGCTGTCAGATCTCTTTCTCTCTCCTTTCTCTCTAGGTCCGCCCCAATTACCTAGGCTACCTAAACCTACCCTATCCAGGATCTTGTATTCCGTCGCTTCGCTTATTGTCTCTTTATTTAATTGTTGTCTTGTTTGTTCTTTTGTGGCAATAGATGACTACTGACTCTCTTTTATTTCAGCTGTTGGTTACACTATTCATTTCGTAAATATTTTTTTTTTTTCCTTTTTCAATCTCATTTCATTCCCTTCTGTCCACGGGAAGAAGAGACCTTCAAGGTAAAAACATTCTTGTCCTTTCCCACCCTTCCCTTTCATTCCCCTGTAGTTCGTCTTGTCTTACCCTCCTCACAAGATCATCCATCCATCCTCCACTGACCAAAAACAAAGTCAAGCGAGGCTTGAGATGACTGTTTTTCTTGCCCGTCACATCGTGTCCAAGTCCGTCCAGTCACTAATTGGTTTTAGCTCGGCTGCTATTTTCTTTAGTCCGAGATTAAGGTCAATTCATATAGAGCCCACGGTCAGTCAGTCATAGTCTGGACCTTGACTTCCCTCGATCGCATCCCATCCAGTAGGAGCTAAATGCTTGGGAGCGGAGCCTTCCCAATCCACCAGCGCCCGAGGATAGCACCGTCATCAAAAAAGAAAAAAAAGGGTAGCTACCTGATCCAATCTACCCTTCTTTTCGTTAATCAGCACACCATAATCGGATCTGGCCAAGTATTCTTTCAACTGGTTTTATCGAGGGCGCTCTCATCTCATCTCAACTCATCCCCTCCCCTACCAAAAGACAGGACAGGGCAAATTGAATGCGATTACCAAGCCCGAGCCCAAGCCCACAAAGCCACGTGCAGGGATAAGTCAAGTGGCGTACACGCGCCATGTCAACTGCGCAGCAAATTCTCTCATTAACACACTCGAGATCATCATCCTCTTTAGCCGCTCGGGGCTGAAAAAACAAAAAGACAAAGCGACATGAAGTCAACGGAGACCTCCATCGACGACGTTGATGTTTTTGATCTCACCGCCGACACGGATGACGACTCAACCCAATTCTTGCCGCCCATTCCGGATTCCATTCCTAATTCCATTTCACTACCGCGCAGGTACAGGCAAGGGGGCGCAACTTTCACGGCTAATCCCCAGGGTTATTTTGAGGTTCGAAATGCTGACGTGGTCCCAACCTTGTTCATTCCTCCCCATGCTAACTCTTGTTACCTTTTAGCGGACGCGTAAGAGGAAGAGTAGCGATATTATCAGACCCGGCCAGAAGCAGGCCCGCTTAGAGAGTACGCGAAGATCAATACACTACGACGCGGTCTATCAAAACCAGAGGGCTGTCAAGAAACACATTATCGTGCGCAGAACCACAAACACTTCAGAACACGCCAAATTCTACATCGTACGATGTGATGAACATGACATCAGCTTTGATGACAATCCGCTCCAGGACGCCTTGAAACATCTGCGCGCTAAACATGGCATCTTAACAGCGAACCATGACACCGTTATGGAGCGTCTCGCCATTGAAGTTATAGAATGTGATGATCAGAAGTTTGAGCAGAACAACGCCATCGCTCGGAAGGCTCTGGAAAATGAGACTAACGCCTTGGCCAGAGACACTATCAGAGTGAAGGATGACTCAAATCGGTCAGAGTTACCTAACCCCAAGAGGATTCGCCCAGACTTTCCAACACCAAAACAAAATCCCAGCCGAAAGCCGACACGACCACGTCAGCGACACAGCCATTATGATAACGAGGATATCTCACTCAACTTGGTCCCCGGCAACGTCTACATCATCTGGTGGTTTGAAACAAAACAGTGGTTCGGTGGCCTTCTTATTCCTCCCCAGAATCTGGAATCCGTGGGTATCCATAAACCACTCGAAATGCTCGATATTTTCAACACTCTGCCGGTCTGTTATCAGTACGACACTTCAAGTAAATCGCTCTCATGGGCTAAGGATTATGAGGAGGGTGGACCAAAATTCTCAGAACGATATTACCCATTCATCTTTTTCGAAGGCTTCAAGTTTCCCGACAAATGTCATCAGGCATGGATCCAGATAGATAACATCCTGCCCTGGGATGACGACAAGGCAGCTCATATCGAACACAAAGAACAGGCTATCAATTTCCTGAGAAAACAGAAGGGGCGAAAGAAACGGGGGAGACAAAGATCGGAGACCGAGGCCGAAAAACCAGATTCCATGGATGGCGGATGCAGAGATTCGGACCGCGACGAAAATTCTGACGTTCACGAATTTGAGCGTTCTTCACCCTTGGCCGAATCCTCAACCGACAATCAAGCAGCACCAGAGATTAATATTGCTACACCTGATACCATCGATGAGCCAGAAGTCGCAGCGGAGCTCGAGCAAGTTTCAAAGAAAGCCGCAGTTGATCCTGCGCAGGACACCGAGCTACCTGAGCAGTCAGACGATAGCGACCAGGAGATGATAGATGCTCATGACGATATCGAAGACCCTCCGGCGCCTGAATCAGAGCAGACCACACAAACACCAGATTCGCAAATCCAATTTGATAATGAGATGGACCTAGGCTCGATCGGAGACATGGGCGAACCTGAACAGGAGGAGGAGATGCACCCATCTGAGGATACTCTAGAGGAGTCACAAGTGACGACGACGGCAGGGGAGGTGCCGCACAGTGAAAATGACATGGCACAAAAAGATACTCTTATAACAAAGTCACGTCAGGATGATTCAACAACAAAAACCCCCGAAAGGATAATCATCGAGATTCAAGATGACTTCATCGAGGAGGCGCCACCTACTAACACACCTAGAACTGATATGCAATCAATCGTCGACTCAGAGGACGACGTTGCGTCGCAGCAACCTGACCTAGCAGCCCAATCCGATATAAACCGTCGGGCCGAGTTAAACGAGAAGACGCAGTCAACTTCAGCACGTCAAGATGATCAAAATCGTTGGACAACTGAAGATATGCGAAAAACAATGGATGGTGTTTCGTCTAAGAAGGATACCGCTGAAAGGAGTTCTTCTGAGATTCCGGAGACGACGGAGACGACCCTGGTACAACGGCTAGCTGTGGCAAAGCAATCGGCCTCGATTCAGCTGCCAGGACAAGACATTGACCTCAACAGTTTGTTAGAAGAAGGCGAAAGCCTCGAATTGCACATGTCGCAAGCTGAGAACACGGCGCAACAACAAGCGGCATATTGCGAACCCAGCCCGACCTCCTCTGACGATGATCGTCTTGCACACGATATTTTCGATGCCCTCATGTCTGAGGATCGTCAACCAACTATTCCCACGAGCCCGCCCCGTATGTTGCACTCTAACAGTGACACCTTTCGACCACGTGCTTCATTTGCTGGCGTGGGTGGACGATATCCTGCGTCGTCTCCGATGAGCGAAGAACATTCCCAACCGTCTCCATATGCTCAAATGGGTAAACCAGCATCTGTACACTCGCGACCTGTGTCCAAGGGCAGCGATATGCGACAATCGTCGTATGAGGAAACAGGTACACCAGCTTCTGCCACGCGCCGTTTGTCAGCTACTAGCAACGCAAGGCGGCGTTACTCTAATGCTGAGATGGATCAACGGACTCCCGTGTCTTCTAGACCATTTACGAAGAATGGCGATATCTCTCAGCAACATTCACATACCAAAGAGGGTTTGAACCACGAGCCTCATTTACAAAACGTCACACCTGGTAGCATGGATCAAACTGAACCTCGCCTATTAACTCGGGAGCATGAGCAATCATCACCTGTAACTGAAACAGCGATACAACAATGCCCAGTGAAGCCTCATGGCGAAACTTGTTCAACGGCAGACACCGCACCAGTGCAGATGCCACTTCGTAGCGCCGCAACTCATGAAAATCTTCCAGTGAACCCAAGTAACGGGTCGCAGCAGGTGACCATGTCACCACCAGAGTCACACACAGAGATATCTCAGGCTACCCCCATGCCTTCTGGCATACAAGCGACAGCCCCATCGCAACCGTCAGCTAATGTCCCTCTACCGGGTTCCGGGGCACCCATATATCCGCACATACCGCCCATTGTTGAGTTAGACTCTTCACAGTCAATGTCAACATCTGATCGATACGAAAGATCAGTTGATTCATCTTCTTGTCAGCCGCCTATCGCCAACCCGCCATCTAGTTCTGCGGCAACACACTTTCCTGTGTCACAATTAACATCATCGGCGCAACAATCAGCACGAGAGGTCTTACGGTTCCTCGAAGCGACTGAGTCATCTTTTCAACAACCAGGCTATGATGCTCTCTTGCCACCTTCTGGAGGCAATCTCGGTCCAGACGCCTCTTCACGACTCGGCCAACAGGGGTACTCGGCGATTTTCAAGACTCCTACCATTGGAAACAGTCATGCGTCCAAAGAAGCAATGCGATCGCCGCGCCAGTCCGATATACATAGCCTCCCAGTCCCTTACAGTAATACTGCTGTGCTGCAAGCCATACCGTCGCCAAGACCTTCTGTTTCGAGCATCTCCCGATCAAGCTCTTTGTCTCAAGGCTATACGGTACCTCCTCTCCAGCCACTGCCATCTACTTACCAGTTGGTGGGTGAGGTGCCTAGGGCTGTATCTAACACTCAAGACTTTCGTGTTTACCCTTCGCCTCAACAACCCACTAGAGAGCTCTCGATATCCCACACTGCGGCGTACGGCCAATCCAGACCATACATAGCAGCTTCCTCACCACATACAACTACGATCCTACCCCCGCCAGGTACTCTTGCTCAGGGTCCACCTTCGTCGCAAGTGAGTGCTTCACCACAGCTGCAACCGATGGAGATCTCTCGTCCCAACTCAGCCATGCACGAGAGTAGGGCCCCGACTTCCCCTCGACAGTATGCAATGAGATTTTCACAACCTGGACCTACTGTTCATAGAGCACCGGTGGATCCAGCTTCTTCGCCTCGCATCCCTCTCATGGGTACATTCCGGCCGGGATCCTTCATTCAAGGACAACCTTCATCAGCGAGCGCGTCACCTCAGTTGACCACTAGAGAGATTTCACAATCTAGCTCTACTGCCTATTGGCAACGTACACAACCAGCGATGTCCTCGCCGCGACAGATTCCAGCTGCCATGTCCCAGTCGGTGCCTCCGGCACGTGGATATGTACAACAGCCACCTTTGCACGCATCTCCTCGATTACCAACAGCTCAGCCCTTTCGACACAATACTACGGGCTACGGCAAATTGGGACCTCAGGCTGTGCCATCGCCAGAACAGTCAACGATAAACAGCTCTCAACTCGGCTCGGGGGGGCCACCATCTCCTGCAGTAGTATCACCTCATTTCACAGGAGCAAATATCCATCGTCCGGTGTCTGTTCATGGTACGAAAGTCCAAACGTCACATTCTGTCTCTTCACGCTCAGGAGTACCGATGGAACCTTGTAGACCTGGGTCTCGAGAACACCACAGCGACTCTTCAAATGGGCCCTTACCTCCACCACATCTTCGAAGAGGGAACTACGTTCCCACTACAGCAATACAGCAAAGCCACTCTTCCCCTACTCAGGCACACAATAATCATATGAACCATTCTCACAGGCACTCCCTCACCGCTAGCCAGTTATACTCTTGCGGGAATAGTACCGAAACTCCCAACTCGACACCGAGATCTCACGCCTCACCATACCAAGTTCCAGTCCAGCCACCAAATCCAGTTCTACACCCGGCCCCCCTTCATACTTATCTCCCTCAGCACATCGCTGAAGCGCTGATAGAGCGAACTGGGGTAAGGAGGGGTAACGATCTCCAACCTGGCGACTTCCTTAACTCCATGAATACGTATCAATGTCCGTTTTGTCGAGCAGGAGTGCCCGAGCAGGCCGTTTTTGTTCAGCATCTACAAAGGCTTTGTCCTTATGCCCAAAAATTAATCCAAGCAGGAAATGAGACGGAAATCCATCGTTGATTTGCCTTGGCAACTTTCCAAGTTGTGTATATATCAGTGCTCATTGGAATACGCCATACAAAACGTGGTGTTTGTTTGGGATTGCAAGGAGGAACAATATGTTAAGGAATTGTGTGCAAGACACAGTTTGACCTGATCGTGGAACGTCGTATCGATTCTCTCAGTATCAGTGGCTCTTTCAGGAGTATACGACATCGAACAGGATACAACTGACAATATACCATAATAAGATAAAATAATCACTCAAATAACCATATTACATTACATATTTGTGTGCCAGGACAAGTGGATCATCCAATTCTTATCAGTACTATCTCACTTTATCATGTTATCATCATACCTATCCATGCCTCACGGTATCAGAGAAACTGACCGCTGGAAACATAAGAGACGAAATTAGTAGGTCACTTTATGCTCCTTAGAGTATAGTTCTTAGACTACTTATTTTTATACCTTAAGACTCAAAGGGTCATTCTTTCTGCTACCCACTATCTAGCCATGATCACTGTGCTACATGAGGCTAGTCCCGTGGGTTTAAAATGCATAAACTTGGCATGTTGCAGTACCCGATTGAAAAGGCTCATACTGCTCCCTTTGTACTGGAATATGCAGAGCAGATCAGGAGTTCTATATAACGTCACTTCACTTGTCCTCAGTCTTGGAGTCACTGGCTACCCTGCCTTCGATATCAGTCGTATCGAGGCCCATTTGAGCCGTGTCCCAGCCCTGTCTTTGTAAATATTCGCGAAACTTTTGGTCTTCAACGGTGATTGTATCTTGGCCGATATGCGGGATGCAGAAAAAGACAATCAGTGCGGAAAGAATGCAAAGACTGGATGACACCCAGAAGGGATACTGTGCGCTTTGTGTTTTGTTTCCTCCGGCAGCCTGGATGTACGGAAACACGTATGTTCCAACAAAAGCGCCAATTTTACCAACTGCGGCAGCGATGCCGTAATATCGGCCTCGCACTCCAGTGGCACATGTCTTTGCTGCCAGGAGACCGATGTTGTTTCCTGGTCCCAGCTCACCAAGAGCTTGGAAAATGCCGAACACGACTGCGAATGCAGCGACCTGGCTCGAAATCTTATCATAAACGCCAGCCATGATGAAACCAACAATGGCCTGAAGTGTTACACCGAGGATGAGAGTATATCGGGGGCCAATCCAGTCACTGACAAAAGCACCGATCAAGGTACCTGGAAGATAAAACATGTTGACGACAGTGTTCCAGCCGAAGACGGTTGTAAGGGGTGCATCGTCGCCATAGATTCCGGAGAGAATAGAGGAAGAGTATATGCCAAAAGCGTATGAAGAAAACTATACATGTCAGCCTGTGGATATAACGGGAGTTTACAGTAGACTTACGTTGTAGAGGAACCATACCATGCTGACACTGAGGAGTCTGAACCAGTAGTACCGCAAGACCAACCAGTACGGTGTTTGACGCCTCATCGACTGCTTTGTAAATTCTTCAGGCTCCTTGAGCCTCAGTCGTAGGATGAATAGCACAAGAGGGAATATAACTCCAATACCAAGACTTGTTCTCCAAATAGTGCCGAAGTTGGCATTGTGAGCTGCAGCGGCAACGACATCTATGAGGTGTTAGTATGAGGCTTGTGAAAGACATCGGGAGACTAACAAGGGACGAAGGCGCCAATGACAAAGCCAAAGTCAATCATTGAGTTTGTGAAGAGAATGAACCATCTGTTTCTGGTGCCTTTCTTCATTTGACCACTAGACTCTGCGCATCCAACGCTACCTGCTGGGTATTCACCTGGGACAGTCAACATCACATTTCTTTTTTGCAATTAGCATAAATGAGCCTACCTCCGATTCCAATACCAACAAAGAATCGCCAGGCGGTAAGCATGTTGAACATTCCAACGGGTTGTCCATGCCAGTACGATCCAGCTGCCAAGGCAGTGAAGATGATAAGAATAACAGTAGACACCATGAGCGTGTTGGTGCGCGACCAATGATCAGCAAGGAAACCGAAAACTAGTTGGCCAACAACAGTGCCTGCAAAGGCAATATCGGACACATATTTGAAGGCATTCGAGTTGACGTAGACATCTCCGTATTGCCTTCTCAGTGTGGTGTTGACGGAACCGATCACCTAATCACGTTAGGAAACACAAAATCAAGATGAACATACTGGGTCTCACATTGTTGATATAGCCGTCTGAGAAAAGACCGGCACCACAAGCGAACACGGGGAGGGCAGTTTCAGTCCAAGGTCGTTGAGGGATATCATCTTGCGACGTGTGTGCTTCATCGTTGTGGTGAACTTCATCAGAAGCGTTAGTGTCGGGTTTCTTCCCAAAGCCTAACATCATGTTATGTGCACAGACACTGGGTCAATCGCAGGAGAGGTGGTAGGGATATCGTGTGTTTGGAAGAAGGAAATGTGCCAGCCGAGTCACAGTTATACAAAGTGGAGGAGCAAAGCAGGGTCACGCTGCACGGTTGAGGAAGGAACAAGTGATGCCTCGGGTAGTAGAGGGGGACTGACACGGTGTCACAGGATTGCTGCCAGTTAAATACAGAAGGATCATATCTGTGAGGTAATGAGGAAGATAAGCTTGCAAAAAGAACCAGCATACTGAGGATGCAGCCAACAACAGCTCCACTGTCCCAAGTCCTTTTCAGCAGCTGGTAAGACAAGCTCTGCGAATCATTACGTACACGAGACAGGTGCATTGGAAAACAGGGTAAGTACCGTATCAAATGTTCAGCGCTGGAGTGATCCGAGTGCCGAGTTCACTCGGCGGGTCCGTCAATTGACTTTAGCGATGCACATGGGATTCCCTTCCATGAAGCGTTGATTTATTACCGAGTTGGGCGTCGTGTGGCTTGCTGCTCGGCTCAAAAATGCCGGTAATTACGCCGCCATGTAATTATGTAGCGCCTGTCAGAGTCTACGCTACGACGAATGTGTAAGGTGTTTGGTCTTCAACTGATATCAGCTGGTATTCTTCGATGTGCTGGTATAACATTGGTCCCAGAAATTAAGATGAGAATTTATTTGTGGGTTGGTAGCTTGGTCAAACGGTTGGAGAAGCGTCTTTTGCCCAACCTGTTCCAGGGGTCAGTTGGGTTCTAAGGATGGCACGCTGTAGGTTGGCGGAGTCTCCTTCACTACGAGTTGATGGAAATATGCCGGGCACACGACCACCTCCTGTAAAGGGTTTTGCTGCTGGGTGGTGAAGTGCATGGAAGAAGCCGATGTAACGTTGTTTTTCGGACTCATTTTGATCTTGGCATATATACACAAAAGTTCTAACCTACGTCATCAAAAGCCTCTATAGCTCAGTGGTAGAGCGTCGCACTCGTAATGCGAAGGTCCATCGTTCAATCCGGTGTCGAGGCATGATTAATTTCTTTTTGTCGAATCAGTGTCAAGATCGCTATATCGGTTTTCATTTCCAGCTGAATTGTCTGTATCTTTTCCCCCCAGATATTTACCTTTCTAGATTACAATTATGCCTACAAACAAATTAGTTATTATCATCATACTGAATCTTGTGTTAACCCTGAACAAAGTTGTGCAGACTACAAGTAGCCACACACCTTACCGGCTTTGAACCCATGGACATTCTAATATCTTCTCGAACTCGGTTCCGCCTCAACCAATATATATATTTGAGAGTAAACCACTGAGCAGTCTCACGACTGTTTCTCTATCTTAAACTCGTCTGGCATAGGCGGAGTTTTAGAGCCCTTGACAAACCTAATTTACTTTTCACTTCAATGGAATTGGCACAGTCGCACCCGACGTTTGGCCCGGTTTATACAACTCTCAAGAGCATACTTCGACTTCTGTTCAATATAACAACACAGGCTGTTGACTCTATAACGATAACGGGTGATTCAGCCATAAAATAAAAAAGATGGTATTTCAAGAGCAACAGTTATCAATAAACTCTGAATACACCTCCGTTTCAACCTTCCTTGGTAGCAATGGCAACACATCCCGCAAATCGCATGATAGCCTCGCCCTTTTCGTTCTTGGAAATCCCATCGCTATGAACAAGCTGTTCCACGATATCATCAAGTGCCTCCTCCCACTTTTCCTCATCTTCTTGAAGCCATCCTGACGGCAAAACGCCCAAGTAGCTCCACGCCAACTGTGCCCATCGCCTTATGTCTGGAATGACAATAGAAGCATCCTTATGGTAAGTCTTTGTCTTATTGGGATCGAACCCAGCATCATTTAATGCCTTCTTCATTTGGTCCTCCTCAAAGGAAATGTCTTGAAGCAGCATCGGGAGAGGGGCATCCTCTCCACGTGTCCGACGGTTGGCATGCTTGAGGGCGTCTATGTGTGGCATTTCATTCCACGCGGATACCATAGCAATGCCCCCAGGCTTTAGGGTTCGGTGTACTTCCTTCAAACCATGACTAGCAACGTCCATAGAGTGGAAAGCGAAGTTGTTGAAAGAGTGAGAGAAATGGTTGTTAGAGAAATCAAGATCCTAGGCCATAATTAGCACAACATCTTTGAGCACGACCAAGTTGGAACTCACGCGGGCATCCATTGTGTGCGCCTCCAAAGGCCATTTGTTCAGTTTCGCCATTTGTTCGCAGGCCATCACGAATTGGGGGTTGATATCAGTTGCCTGAATCCGCAGTCCTCCGGCAGATGGTGGAATCTTTCCCAAAATAGCCTGGGACACAACTCCAGCACCACATGCATTGTCGTGGACAAGATCAGTGGACTGAAATGGAGGAATTAGGTCAAGAGAAAAGTCAATGATGGTCTCGCTGACATTTCCCATCAGCTCGACTAAGTGCGATGCCTCATATTGAGTCACTTGCTTTGGGTGGTAGGAGGAAGACATTTTCGATGGGAATGATGCACCAGATATGGAACAAGGTTTACATCTATCATATGCGTGGGAAACAGCCAGTTATATAAATTCTCTAGATAACCTGCAAGAGTGACGCGGACAGCGATAATGACAGCAAAGCAAGTCGATGAAAAGCAAAGCAAAGCGGGGCAAGTCTGTACAAAAAAGGATGCTATAGGCCATTTGGTCTGTTTCAGCTGCCAAGCATCACTGAGCAATTCATGTCAATTCTCTTGATATTCAGAGACTTTTGAGACCAGACTGTAAGCTGATGTCAGGCTTTGAGAACAAGATGGACCATCAATCCAGTGCATTTGGCTTATGTAGACCAGTCCTTGCTTCATTTGTTAATCGATACAGTATAGCCTGCTTACTGTATTTTTCTCGGAGACTTACCTGGCGTGATAAGCTCAGTTCTGACTCTGTCTGATCCATTGGCGATGGTGAAAGGTATTACGGCTCTAGCAACCTGTTAGATCGCTCTTTAACCGAGCTTATTCTGTTTATCCAAGATGATGAACCTGCTATACTACCAACAGATATACCACGCATCATCTTGGGCATATGCTGCCACCTGGGATCGGAAGGCATGAACTTGGCTTGTTCTATCGATATGGAGGTGTGTGAGATGGTTTGTTAACGCCGCAGCTCAAACTTACTGGAGTCTGGAACATCGCATTAACACGTCTCAATTCGCTTGATCGAGAATTGTGGATATAGTTTCGAAAGTCTCTCAACTAAGACCCAAAGATTTTGATAGCTAATCAGAAGGTTTCTGTGTGCGGCCAATCGTAGCTAACACCATTGGCTCTGTACTAAGGAGGTTGCTTGGTATGACTTCGCTTAATAGCAAAATTCGCCGGTTCCCGATTTCCATCTTGCAGCAGAAAGTATGTAAAAGGAGATATTCAGGGCCTAATATTCATGGAATATCACAGCCCCAGTGGAGCCCGTCCATATTTTCGCAGCAATGGAATTGTTATCGTAGTTTCTTTGATAATATCATGCGAGATATTGGTGCAAGAATCTTTCTCCGAGTGGTTAGCGCTGACATCAACTCCGCGCACTTGTTGCTCACCGTAAAAAAGTAAATTTACTTCAATGTTTTCCTTTTGCCAATTTTGTTTTCGCCAAGAGGTCTCTCCACAATACCAGCTTTGCTGTATCTGGTTGTTAAAAATCAACCCATTATGAACGCCTCTTCCGAGCTCTTTGTCAGACTTCCCAATCGGGTACGTATATGTTACCAGACGTTTGGTGATCCTTCAGACCCGGCCGTCATTCTTATTCCTGGTAAAGATAAGACCTTTCTTCTTTGGTGGCTACCTGTTGCTTTCTAACCACTCCCCAGGTAACGCGAGCTCCATGTTGTCCTGGCCCGAACCGCTGATTGAGAAGCTACAATCAAGCGAAGAAGGCAAGAGATATTTTGTTGTACGCTATGACCCAAGAGACACTGGTCTGTCACAAGAGTTTCCAGTCCCGGCAGGATACTCGATCGGGGACATGGCGGAGGATGTGGAACTTCTTGCCGACCATCTGAACCTCACTAATCCGGGCAAAGGCTTCCACCTCGTGGGTGTTAGCAAAGGAGGTCCAGTAGCCTATACTGTTTCTGCACGTAAACCTCAGAAAGTCAAAAGCCTCACACTCATGTTTACATCTCCGGGTGTCAGTCCTGAGCTACCCATCAAAGGTGGACTTGACCTGGGATTCCAACCCATGCTTGCAGGTTTTTTGAACGTGAAAGAGGCTGCTATCCAATCAGGAATGAAGATGTATGACGCTCTCACTACCCAGCCAGACGAATCAGAAAGAAGGGAGGTCGAGGATCTAGTTACCCGAACCGTGGAGCGGGAGTACAAGCATGGCACACTATTCAGCAAGGGGCCGAATCATGGTTCTGCATCACACGAGAAAGACGGCTGGCCAGGAGTAGATACGCTCAAACAGGTCAAGTGCCCGACAACCGTTGTACAGGCTGGAAAGGACCAGACATTTGGGGAGATTCACGGTAAGGCCCTTGTTCAAGCTATACCTTGTGATGTGGAGTATGTACTGTGGGAGGACGTGGGCCATGAACTGCCAAGACGAATTTGGGACCGGATGGCTGCGCTTGTTCATAAGACCTGGGAGAGAGGTGAATGCACTTAGGGGACCATGGTGACACAGGAGAGAGTTGGAGCGGCTGGCAGCCACGGTTTAGTTGAGCCGATTGACCTCGAAGCGCCGAAGTCTTTTGACGAAGGATTTTGATGTGTAAAAGTCCTGTTTCAATAGCTTGTACGTGTCTCAGAACAGTGCTGTTATTGAATATCTACAAGAATTGTGTCCAGAATAAGCACTGGAGAGGAGTTACTCCTCTGTCTTGTCGTGACTCACGCTATTTCCCCGTGAAGAAACAGCCCCATCAGTCGTTATTGTTTATTCAATAGGCTATGCACGGGGTAGGGATCTGAGCACTTGTATGGACTCGTATTCTTAGATCCATCCGCTTTCGCTCAGGCCTTCTCAATTTTATTAAAATCTTCAACAAGAAGGTTAATCTTTCCGCGCAGATTGTTCAAAAAGACTAGGCTTCCCAAATGCAAATGTGACAGGGCGGCTGCCTGAAATCTAACTTGCATCGACTTAATTCTGCAGCGTCAGTGATTCACCGGGACTATGATCCTAGAATCTTACTCTCCTTGCCTTCTTCCCCATCATAAGAGCCTATATAGATCAGTATTTTTGCATTCAACTTTGACTTCAATTCTCTACCTACCACCTCCGCATCATTCTTTGAACCCTACACTGGCCTCTCAATATGCGCTTCAGCATCATTGTCGCAGCCTTGCTGCCTCTTGCCTTTAGCAAGGCAACCTACAACAACTGGAAGGGGTATTCCATTGACACTTCCGATGTGTCCCACGAGCATGTCATCAACGTTCTCGGCGGCATCGATCACGTTCCTCTCGGCGAGCACAAGGACGCAATTGAAGTTGCAGTTCACCCGACCAGCATCCACACCTTTGAAGGCCTTGCCTTGAACTCCATTCTTTTCATCGAGGACATGGCTGAAGAACTTGCCAAGGAAGGAAATTTCGAGAAGCTCAGCCGTTAGACGCCCTTCACTGCCAGACTGACGACAAGCTAATGATTAATAGCGGCGCATACCCATGGTCACATCAAGCTTGTCCAGCCCGACAAAGCCTACTTCAAGTCCTACCACAGCTTTGAACAGCACACCCAGTTTTTGAAAGATCTCCAATCCTCTTTTCCCAAGAACTCCGAAGTATTCTCTACTGGCAAAAGCGTAGAGGGTAGAGACATTCAGGGCATCCATCTCTGGGGAAAGTCCGGAAAGGGCAAGAACCCTGCCATTATCTGGCACGGAAATGTGCATGCTCGCGAATGGATTAGTAGTATGGTAAGTGGCTCTAATTCCCCATTGCGACTATGATTATTTCTAATGTTTTCTCAAAGACAGTCGAGTACTTGGCATGGAAGCTCGTTCAAGGTTATCATGATAAGAACAAGGTTTCTCGATCTATCATTGACAGCCATGACTTTTATATCCTGCCAATCGTCAATCCTGACGGTAAGTTCAAACGGCTTCGGCACAAACGTTCAACGACCTAACTGTATTGTCTAGGCTTTGTCTACACCACCAGGTCTGATCGCTTATGGCGTAAGAACCGCCAGAAGGGCGCTCACAAGACATGCGTGGGCACCGACATCAATCGAAATTGGCCTTACAAGTGGGATATCCCTGGTGGCTCATCCACGGATCCTTGCAACGAGACATACCGAGGTCGTAAGTCCGGAGACACTCCAGAGATCAAGGCTTTGACAAACCACACCATGGCGATTGCACAGAAGACGGGAATTCGATCCTACATTGACTGGCACTCTTACAGTCAGCTCATCCTGTTGCCCTACGGCTACACCTGCAACCACAACGCGACCAACACAAACTACCAAATGGAACTGGCAGGGGAGGTTGCGACCGCAATTGAAGATTATGGAGGAACATACTTTGACTACGGCCCTACTTGTCAGACTATCTACCAAACCTCAGGTGGTAGTAGCGATTGGGTTTATGATATTGCTGAGGCCGAACTTGCCTGGGGAATTGAGCTTCGGCCTGGAAGATTGAGGGGCGATGGGTTCGTCCTTCCACCCAAAAACATCATCAAGTCTGGTGAGGAGATTTGGGCTGGCATAAAGGTATTGTTCACGAGACTCGTACAGAAGGACGAATGAGAGAGAGAAAGGATGTAAAGGAGAGCATCGGAACGGCTTATTGCAGAAATTCTATCGTTTGGGAGAAAGCTACGACTGAGAAGAATCGGGACTCGGGTCTTACTGCCATCGGTAGTCAATAGAATTAGTCTCTTGACCTCTAACGAAGTTGGTGATACCGTTGCAGAGAATATAGTGTCTTCTCTCTGCTTTGTCAGCAAGCAAATCGGTGAGATGGCCGAGTTGGTTATGGCGCCAGGTTAAGGTTAACCTTAACACCAATTTCCTGGTGGAGCAATCCTCCTGGGTTCGAGTCCCAGTCTCATCAGACATTTTCTTTTTTTGCCGTTTTCTGTTTAAACAGCATCCTTGGATGCCACCACTCTTTCTGCGAATTTCAAAACATGGTGACTCTACTCGAGTTACCCCAGGAATCGCTGAGCGTAAAGTGCTCCAACGCACAAGACAGAGGGTAACACAGGAGGTTGGTAAGGGCGGTCATGTCTCACTTTGTTGTGGACAAATGTGCCAAGCCAGATCAACCAACCACCCAAATTCTTGGCCCTCTGGTTTGATCTCACAGCCGACAAACACGATTCAGCTCCTGCAAGGCCTGGCGGGCATGCCGTAGCTGAACAGAAAATGAGCCCACCAATATTCAGTCAGCATGCAATTAACAGTAGTGCTGATGCATCGCAGCTCAACTGACACTTTTACTTGATGATGCGATTTGAATCAGAGAGCTTGTCAATTCATTCTCTCATGGACTGGTTGCCCCAATGCCTCGCACAACCAGGTGATAGACCTAAACTCACAGCATTACAGGGGGCACAGTGTGCAAGCATCAATGTCGGCCTCAATGTCACACCCGGGACTGAGACAAGTGGGAGCGGGATGCGATAATAATCCTGGCTGGCACTTCGGGGACCTTTTTTTCTCAGCTGAAAAGCAATGGCTGTCATATCACAAACCCATGGCAACTGCTCTGACCTTGCTGATCTCCAACTGCTTCATGGTCTCATTTGCTGACCATCCTGCTTAGGCCCGTATTATCCTTGCATTAGCGACTAAAACACTGTGCTCACTTGGCCCAATACTGCTTTGACCGCCTGAAAGATAGTGGAGGTTGCTGCAGATCCCAGCTCACTCAAATGAGACACAACAGACAAACAACCACATGTAAGATCCTTGGCTGTACAGAGCACATAACGTATTTATTATATAAAGCCTTGACTTGACCAGTGACCTTTGTAAACAATAATTGATTCTCACGCATACTTCTCTACGATTATTATAAAAGACAATTGTCAAAATGCTTCCTTCATTTCTTCTCTCCTCATTGCTGTGTCTTTCCACGGTCTCAGCTCTCCCCAACCCAATTCTGGCAGAGCGTGCGGCCTGTGACTGCACTGGCACACGTAATGGTGGTTCCAACTCCAAGGACTACATCTGCCGTGATGCCAGACTCGGTCCTTTAAAGCTTCCCAGAAAGTTGCCGTTAAGCACCTTTGTCGAGAGCTACAATCGATTTGGTGGCCTAACACCAGCCCAGTTTCTTTTGACATGGACCGATGAGAAGGGAAGCTACAGGTACCCTCCACAGAACGTAAGTCAATCATTGCCTCCCTGCCAAGCTATTAACTAACAGCGGCAGGGTTTCCAACTTGATGCTGACGGCAATGCCATCAACGGAAGTATGATTCTTCCTGTCGGAACACTTGTAGACCGATTTGGAAGCGAATATGGTGAGTCAACTGCCTCAAGCTAGTCATCCTGCATATTCTAACTCAATTCCAGGATCATTCATCTCTGCAGCTGCTGCTCCCTATTCACAGAGGGCTCTGCCTCCTTCAAATCTGGCCACAAACCCTGATACACCCGACTTCCCTTACAACTACCACGTGTATCGTGTAATCAAGCCGCTTCCAGTCGTGGGAGGACCCATTGCGCCGTGGTTTGGTCAACCTGGTCTCGGAGCACAGTTTTTCACAGGAGACTTGGGCAACGTCAAATTTTTGCTTGAGCAGAGCTACATCCAGGCTGAGGATCCCAAGACTCTTGTGCACAAGTCTGATGGTTGCGCATGATACTGAAGCCTACCTGCGAGTTCCTGTCAGATGGCCTTGTCGGGAATATTATTTCAATTTGGTTCACATCATATAATTTGGCAATATCAGTTTACAAACATTGAATTATATTATTTGTCACCTTTACCTGGAAAATTACATTTTTACCTTGTCTATGATAGATGACGACGTTATCCTTGTAGAAGTGAGATCAAGGTTCCAACAATCTGTTAGAAATTAGAGCTTTGCAATAGTTTAAAACGGGCTCTGAGTATGACAATTACAGCATAGACTATTTCATTAACTTGTACAGAACTGTGGCGTAACTATCCTCAGCTAAAAGAGATCATTTTTAACTCTTGACAGAAATATCGCCTTCTCCATAACAAAACTTTGAACAGCAAATGACAACCATGCATCTATCTCCGCCACTTTAATCATCTCCGACCACTAACCACATGGAGCGATGCGATCCGTTCTATGGGGCGATAATGTTAACCATCAGACGCTAGCAACGTTTAAAACAGCGATCTACCTATCATGAAGCACTCAAACGGTTACACGGCATCTGTACTGCAGCATTGAAGAATAAAACCCCTCGTCGTATGAGAAATTTGAGCCTCTTAATTCAACATCTCACTTTCTCCTTGTTTTTTTTACAACCGACTTTTCCAAGATGGCCTCAAATCCGGATCCAGCGTCGGCAAACCCCAAAGATATATACGATGGTCCTGTCAAGCAGGATGTTAGCGCAGGCGTTGTGATGCCCGCTTTGGCAGAGGGTGATACGCCCACGACTTCCAAGTGGGAAATCTGGAGTTGGTATGCCTACTACATCGGTGCCAATGGACTCGCCCTTTTCAACTTTGGACCAACTGCCTTTCAAAACTTGCTCGATCAGGCGGCGCCAAAAGATACCGGCCTTTTATCTTTTGCCGGTCGGGAACGAGATGTCAACAGTATCGTTCTACTTGCCAATGGCATATCTTTTGCTCTGCAAGCCGTTCTCTTCCTCATCATCGGAGCATATGCAGACTTTGGCACTGGACGACGATGGATTTTGGTGGTCTGGTCAATTGTGGCTTACGGAATCGGTTTTGGCTGGCTGGGAGTTCACGATCCCAGTCAATGGCAGACGGCGACAGGCTTGTACATCGTCGGCCTAATCGCGTACCAGATGACTCTCACATACTGGACAGCGGCATTTCCATCCCTTGCGCGAAATACACCTCAGTTGAAAGAAGCAGCGCTACAATTCGAGTCGGGTGACATCACACAACAAGAAATGGATCGAAAGGACGAAATGGAGAGGAGTAGGCTCAGCAACGTCGCTTTTTACATCCAATCCGTTGGTGAAGTCGTCATTTTGGCTATGATTGTGGGTGTCATGTTTGGCGTCAAAGTTGACAAGAGTCCAGAGAATAATAACTGGGGGCTTTCTGTGCTGATAGCATTTGCAACTGCTTGTTGGCTTGTACTCTCGGTCCCCTGGTTCATCCTCGAGAAGAAACGTCCTGGCATGAAAGTTCCGGATCACTTGAATATTATTACAGTTGGGTTTTGGCAGCTTTGGGAGGCTCTCACTCAGATTTGGCACTTGAAGCAGAGCTTGATTTACCTTGTTGGTTATTTCCTCTTGGGAGACTCGCTCAACACCACTGTGACAGTCATTGGCACACTACAGAATCAGGTTGTCAGTTATGAAACATTGACTCTGACCTACCTTCTCATCGTCGGCATTGTTGCTCAAGCTGTCGGAATTGGTGCTTTTTGGCTGATTCAGAAGAAGTTCAACCTTAGCGTCAAAGCCATGTTCAACGCTGTCATGGTCTTCATCATTCTATTAGATGGATGGGGCATGATTGGAAACTGGACTGACAAGTTCGGATTCAAGAATGTCTGGGAGATCTGGCTGTATCAAGCTTTTTACGGACTCTTTGTTTGTCCATGGTACAGCTACTCTCAAATCATGATCAGCTCTGTTACGCCTCGAGGCCACGAATTCCTTTTCTTCTCTCTGTTCAACATCATTGGCAAATCGTCCAGCTTCATCGGACCTTTTATCAGCAGTGCTATTATCGATGCGACTCCGGGAGGCACCAACAATAGCGCCCCCTTCTATTTCTTGTTTGCTCTGAGCTTAGTTAGCGCAATTGGAATCTGGTCCTTCTTAGATTTGGAGAAGAGTGCGAGAGAACAAGAAGCTTTTATTGTGGAAGAGAAAATCCGCATGGGCGAGGACTCGGATACCAGCAAAACTGTCTAGATGTTCGTGTCGGGTTACTAGATAGTTCAAATTAAGAATATGAACGTATGCCTGTTTTCTTTGCGGCGAAGCAACCGCGCTCCATTCCCCCACGGTATTAGTGCACCATCAGTGGGGTTGTGTTGCGGAAGGACACTAAAGCAGGGGATGAATTTACCCCGTTCCAGGGCAACTTGGCTCAAAAGACACCTGTCCTACTCCGCGACATCAAAAGAGCTACTCTACGACAGCACCTTGATTGTCAACATTTGACATCGAGGCGCGTAATTCGTTCTAATTCTTTCTTTCTACTATAGTTCATAGTAGAATATTCTTTAAAATATCTTCACTTTCTTCTGTACCTTTATCTTACGTCGTTTAGTCACTATCTATCTATGGTGAAATTCCTCATTCAGGTCGACAACACTATTGCAAACGCAAAGCAGATAAACATGGCGATTCGCCCACCATTGACCTGGGAGCCCATCAACACATCCTGCAACAGTTAGATATATAGCGACGGCATCACTGGTGTCATTGTCAGCGATTATCAAGATGTAGTCGACAGTACATGGAGAAGCAACGGAACCCTGACGATGGACGATCTAAGGATTGTTACGAGATTTTCTCTCATCAAAAGCATCGGTCGCGTGGCCCAATGGCAAGGCGTCTGACTACGAATCAGAAGATTCTGGGTTCGATCCCCAGCGTGATCAATTTTTCCTCGCCCCTCCACAGTATCTGTGTGCAATATTATCTCAACTCTTTTTTGTCTCATTCACACACAATGATAATTGCATCAGCCATTCGTTTTGGATGAGAGACTCTTTGTTGGCTTCTCTGTGTCATCTTCGTCTATTATGTAATTCTATGAAACGCCTGATCCCTCTTATGTGAATTATTCCTATCGTCTCAAAAGTTGAACCTTCATCTTCTTTAATCGCCTGCCCTCAAACGCCTTTGTGACCCTCCAGTTACTGACAATCATGACAAAAACAATCAAGAAAATAAAAACCGCTCCTATCAACGGCACGATCAACGCAAACACGGTTAAGAAATAGCTGGCATTCTGGAATGCTGGCTCTTCAAGCAAACCATCGACGCCTAGTCCTACTTGCATTGCTGTGAGCGCAATGACAACGTAAGCCAGGATACCTGCCAACACTGAAAAGTTGTCTCGGATGAGATCGCCATAAACAGTATGAGATGCAACTCTTGAGTAACCGCGCAGCAGGAAACCTTTTCGAAATGCGTAGATCTTGTTGAGTCGGCTCAATCGAAGCTCCCCGTACCAATAGCGTGGATTCACGCGATCATATCGATGGTTCTCAAGAACCTGAGCGGCAAAAGCCTTCCAGCCTTCCCAAGTCACTTCTTCCGGAAGCAAGCCATACTCTTTAGCGATGCGGAAGTCGCTTTTGTACGCGATTAGTGCGGTGTACGAGAAGAGAAATCCTCGAGCAGAAGCATCAAGATTGCACTGCGTCGCGTCATCGAGATGTGCTGTGTGGATGATGTTGGCAGCCCAGAAGTTTGGGTCGAGTAAGTATTTTGGCATGGGTTTAAGGAAGATGCGGTCCCTCCACCAAACCATGTGGAGCTCAGCCTGCTCGCTGATGATGATGTTTCGAGAGATGAGCCTCTGGTGATGAAGTTGTCGAGGCGGCATCAGACGTCCGCATATCCAGAGCCATTCTTGGACGTCGGTCAGTCGCGAAACAGATAATTCCCGTTCTAGGAAGTTGGGATCCGACGTCGGAGTCACAATGTCATCGTTGAAGCGAGCGCTCGCCGGCAGAAGGCTGCCAAAGTCCTCTTTCGAGGAGGAATTGGCGGTACCAAGGAAGTCCCTCTCCAAGATACAGACTGTAAATGGTGGAGTTGGGCTAGCCATGTCAATGTTATGTCCAGGCTGACTTGCGAGGATAGAGTATGGCGTGAGATTTAAGATTCCTAGAAAGACGGAAATAGAGAGGAATAACCCGTTCCCTCTTTCTACAGATGGCAAGAAGTGTTGATGTCAACACTTTTAGCTCGCCTGAGCAAAAAGCAATGGATGGCAAGGTGGAAATTAAAAAGCATCCTTACCAAGCAGGGGTTACAAGGCTGGGTAAGCAATCACCCTGAGCGGTTAAATCGGCTCAATGAGGCTATGATTGGCTTAACTACGCTGAAGGATCTCTTGGTTGCACGCGGAAAAGAGGGTTGTCCCGCAATCCGTGCAGCCCTTTCATCCAGCGTACTGGAAGAAGAGTTGGCTGTAGTCCGTCAATTGAATAGCATTTAGCAAGTTGTCGTTATAGATACTACTATATATGAGAGTCTGAGTCATCTGTCATCTATTACAGCCATTTGTAATCCTATCTTGGACACTTCTCGTAGAGACAAGGAAAAGATGGTGAGTGGGTATAGGTACGGGTACAGTATCCAGATGACCTCCTAATTTCAGCCAGAATTTGGGGGCTGAGATTGAAACAAGCCCAGCCTTTAGAGGGTAGAATAACGCGGCCAGCTTACGGGCTGATAAGGCATTCGATTTGTCGAGTTATTTTTACACCCTGAATTTAGAAGTTGATCCGTTTGCTGACTCCCTGTCTAGCAGCCTTATGGTGCCACTCAGCCACCATACTAAAAACTGCCTAGCAGCAGTCTGGCTTCCTGCTCCTCTATCTCTAGACTGTCAGCAAAACACCAAATGTTGTGGCATTCATTCTCTCGAACAACGCAAACAGAACCACGGAAATGTCCATTCGTCGATCCGCAACAAGGCGTGGCCCCCCTCCGGTGGCCACTCCTAGACCGAAAAAGGGCTATGGGAATGTTGAGCAGGGTCTCGAGCAGATTTACCCCAGCCCCTCTTCTGACAAGAAGACGGATATGGAGTAAGTAGCCTTTTGACGATAAATATCTTTAATTGACATGAAAATAGTATCGTCTTTGTCTCGGGACTCGGCGCCCATCCAGTAAGGAGCTTCGAGCACGGTGACACTGGTTTTAATTGGGTAAAAGATGAGGATGGCATCGCTCGCGAGTTCCAAAATGCCCGTATTCTTCTTTACCATTCAGAGTCTTCATGGACCGGGCCCATCAAAGTGAAGCAGTTTCTTTCAAACCTGGCACAGACTTTACTTGAAAGTCTGCACGCGAAGAGAGAGGTAAGTTTATAAACTAGAATATACGATGCAGAGGTTAACGATGGTCAGAATGCCGCCTCGCTCAGGCCTATCACATTTATTGGGCATAGTATGGGCGGACTTGTCATTGCTAAGGTTTGAATCCCATTCCAAGTTACGTCTTCACTTTTCTCACAATCAATAGGCCGTCTGTTTGGCCTTCTCTAAATCAGACCTTTACCCAGGCATGTTTGAAAATATAGCTGGCTGCGTATTCTTTGGAACTCCTTTTCATGGCGCTCAAGCTGCATCTTGGGCTTGCATGCTTGAGAATGCCAAGGAAACGGTTTCACACGCTGCAGACAAGGGGGGCGCTTCAACAACTTCCGCACTGCTAGAGCTTATGAGACCCAGTGATGAGTCCCTGAAAGAACTGAGGAAAGAGTTCATCCGGCTCGCAGTCAAAGAGCCTAAAATCGATTTATGTGGCTTCTGGGAACAACATCCCACAACGATCAGAGATCTGAGCGGCATGCCTGAGTTTCTTCGAGCTCTTAATATTCCACTTCCTAAAAGCATTGGGAACTTTGTCACGCCAGAATCGGCCGTCCTAGATGGTGTGATGGAGCCGGCGGTTGGCCTATCTGCTAACCACAGGGACTTGGTCAAGTTCAAGAGCTCAAAGGATGAACGGTACTTGCTGGTTCGCGGTCCTCTAAGACGTTCTATCAACGGGTCAGGTCTTCGCATTAAAGGTCGACACAACGCCACACGGCGTGTGGATCAGGCAATCATTGATAAGGCAAGAAGAGAAATGGAAGGTGCATCAGTCAAGAACAAGAGAGACGCTATCGCGCGCAATACTACGACTTCACCCTGGTTCTCCAAAGAGCCTGAGTTCATAGGCTGGTTTTCGAAACCCCTCGAGGTAGAGGAAGCCTCCCTTGTCAAAACATGCGATTGCTTATGGGTACGTGGGCGTGATGGCCGTGGTAAAACGAGTGCAGCCTTGTCCGCAGTTGAGCAGATTGAAGAATGGGAGGAAAAAGAGACGCCTGGCCAATCGTCACAGGTCTATCTTGCTTATTTCTTCTGCGACAAGACACCAGAGTACGGTACGGCTGAAGAGCTATTGAAATCTCTGATCCATCAGATCATTTCTAAGCAACCACTGGCTTCGGTGCACGTCAAGTTTTTGTTCAACAAGAATGGCCGTGATAAAGGCCGCGAGAAAGCAGCTTTGCTGACTGTGGAAAATCTTTGGCAGGTGCTCCAGGATATTCTTTCTGATGATATATTTCTTGGGGCACGCATGTACTTTGTCATCAACAATCTGGAAACCATCTCTCCTGACGCTGTATCCACCGCCACTTTACTGAGTCTTCTAGGCTCGGAAGTTCAGCATGATGGCACCGGCAGACGTTCACTTGTACGGTGGATGTTCACCAGTGGCCAGTCTTGGGACATTGACCAGGCGCTGCGAAAACCCCTGGTCCGCCTCGTAGATCTTGAAGACGCGAAGTACGGTGACCAAGTCCAGTTGGAGCTTCGAAAGCACGCACAGAAGAAGGTGAAGGAACTGGTACAGCACAAGAGGTATAGCAAGGCCCTTATGTACTTCACCAGCAGCGTCATCGGACAGCGAGCTCAGAACACACAATGGATAGACATCACATGCGATTCCCTTGAAGATCTACCCCAGCATGAGAACGATGTTCAAGTCCGCCGCCTGCTTGAAAAAGTCCCGCAAGAGCTGGATTCTCTTCTTAATGCTGCATGGCAGGATGTTTTTGAGAAGAATCGATCCAAAGCTGGTGAGATCAAGGAGATGCTGCGTGTGCTGGTTCTCACGTACAGAGACCCAACTGAGGCAGAGCTTGGCCTTCTGGCTGGTCTACAGTCTTCGAACGAGCAAGTGTCGGAGCTTCATGACCTGATCCTCAAGTGCAGACCGCTGATAGTACTCAAGACAAACGATGAGGATGAGCCCACAGTCTGTTTCGCCTTTCCAGTGGTCAAGGTTCATCTTCTGGAGAACGCTTACAAGTTGCTGGGCCTCACAGAAGGTGACATCAAGTTGCAGCACGGAATCCTCGGATTCCGTGCGTTCAGTCATATCATGGAGACCTTTGGCGAACTTGCTGATGAGGTTGAGGGTGCACCACAAGGAAACGTTGACCAAGAAGGCGAGGATGAAGTCGAAGGTAACGCGGAATCAGTCTCTGACCAGCAGGAGATTGAATCCAACCAAGAGAATGAAGCAACTGACACCATTGATTCACATGAGAACAATGCGGACAGCACTTCTGAAACATCTAATGATGACGAAGAAGAGAACGAAGAATATCAGGATGAAGATGACGAAGCACCCCGGCTCAAAGACATCGCTTTAGCCTACGCGGTCATATATTGGCTCGACCATGCTGGCCAAGCCACAGCCGACATCGCAGAAGCACTTAGCTTGGAAAAGGAGTTCTGGGAGGGTGGTTCCAAGACCCGACGTCGCTGGCTGACTGAGTACAATCGATTGACGGGGGTTTTTGATTACTTTGCACGTGCTAAGCTCACAGGACTACACGTTGCTGCTGCAATTGGCTTTAGGGATCTTGTCTCCGCACTGCTGGAGAATGACTACGCTGATGATATGAACACGTACGATGATCTTGATAACCAGCCGCTTCATTTCGCAGCCCATAATGGAAAGTCCGAGATCGTCGAGGAGCTACTTAACAGAGGAGCTGATATCGACGCGGGGAAGGAGCGGCGTGCTATCACTCCTCTGGGGATGGCAGCACAATCAGGAGATGTCAAGATTATGACCCAGCTTCTACAACGAGGGGCGGATCCAAATGCCATTGATTCCGAATCTGGAGCCGTAATCTGCGCAGCCATTCAGTCTGGAAACACTGAGGCTGTGAAGCTTTTGGTCGCTCACAACGTCTCGCTAGTGAGCCCTAAAGAGGACGAGGATGATTCTGGGTCTGTAAAAGAAGATGGCGAGAAGGACGAGAAAGATGGGGACGAGGATGGAGACGAGGATGAGGATGAGGATGAGGAAAGCGAGGACGAAGAAGATGATGATGATGACGATGACGAGGAAGGCATCAAATCTCCTCTGGCTTTAGCAGCTATGAGAGCTGACTTGTCAGTCTTTGAGTTTCTCATAAGAGAATATTCTGAAAAACTGCCTCCCTCAGAATTCGGAGTTGCACTTGTCGCAGCCGCAGAATGGGGCCGAACAGAAGCATTCACACGACTATTCAACGACTTCGAACAATCCCAGGAGGACATACAGAAAGCTCTATATGAAGCAACAAGATCTGCAGATGGCCACTGGGATATTGTCACAATGATCCTTGAAAAGTACCCTGGCTTGAATTGTGACAAAGCCTTCCTCTTTACAGCACAGGGAGCTGATGGCGATGATGAGATACGCATCCTTGAAGCTATGTGGGAATATACTGGAGGCAGCATCTCTCCAGAGTCTCTAGATGAGTCTTTATACGAAGCGACGGATCGTGAGAGTAAGAGGACGATCGAACTTCTACTGCGATATGGAGCCAGCGCCAACGCAACTGGCGAGGTGTAAGTATTAGAGGAGATATTTACAATGCATAGAGTGCTGACCAGGTGTTCTGATAGGTATGGAGACGCTCTTACAGCTGCAGCCTTCGACGGTACCATCGATATCGTCACGATGCTTCTTGATGCTGGTGCTGACATTAACTCCGACAATGGCTTTGCTCTCCAAACCGCTGCCGAGCATGGTCATATGGATGTGGTGAAACTCCTTTTGGAGCGCGGAGCTGACATCAACAAACTAGCGACTCACGATAATATGCCTGAAGGAACAGCACTGCAAGCAGCTGTCGAGTATGGCAATGATGAAATCGTCGACGTGCTACTTGAATACGGAGCCGATCCCAACCTCGGAGGAGGCAGTAACAAGTATCCCATCATTGGCGCAGCAAAGAAAATGGAAGAGGACATTTTCGAGAAGCTCATCAACGCCAAAGCCGACGTCAACGTCGTAGGTGGCTCCGATGACACGACTCCCCTGGTAGAAGCGGCCTATTATCTCTCCGATGACTCTCTGAAGCTCGTTTTGGATGCCGGAGCCGATATCAACCATAAAGACATTTATGGCAACACAGCTCTGATGTGGGCCGCCGGGAAAGGAGAGGACGCGTCAGTAGAGCTCCTGCTTGAGCGCGGCGCAGATGTCTTGGCCGTGAATGAAGACGGCGACAATGCATTGCAGAAAGCCTTCCATTCAAATGACTACCTGACAACCTTGGCAGTGGTTGACCATGTTTCTAAGTTGATGGATGCCATGAGGGTCGCTATGGAATCTGGTGATGCTGGTGTTTCTGCAGTGGTTCGAAGTGTGCAAAGCCAGGGACAGGAACTTGATTACGATGATCCGCCTGCGCCGGTTTCGCCGGTCAAAGACGAAAGCAGAAGAAGCTCCGTGTATGGAGGACTCCCACCAGATACACCGCTTGTAACAACCAATCCTGCAGCAATCGACTTCCATGCTGAGAAGATCGTTGTCGAAGAACCACAAGTTGCTCCAGTTCATGGTTTTGCTGCGCAAGAACCTATAGGTAGGCCATTTTTCCCGCCTGTTGAGAACTTGTACAGTCCCGCCACAGGCATCCTTGACTTTGCTCACGATCCACTGCTCAGGCGCCAGTCGGAACTTGGGCCAATTTCACCAGCGCAGTCACCAGGACCGATCAAAAGGAAGCCAATTTCGGGTCCCATGTACAGACCATATCAGCCTGGAACCGGAGACAACGTGCGGCACTCAACTCCACCTGGATCGTTGGTGAATGCTTTCCAAGCTTATCAGCCAGGCCAGCAACAGACGCCACTTCATGAAGTACAGTCTTCATCGCCGCCGCCGCCAGAGGGTTTTACGCCGCCAAGTCAGACTTCACCTGAACCTGGGTTTGTTCCATACGCGCCAGGTGTTCCGGGACAGCCTAGGCCAGAACCAGGCCGAAAGTCGTCGCGCACGTCGTTTATGGGCATGAAAGTTCCTTGGTCGGACCATCGATTTAACTGAGATGCAAAGTTTGAAATGATGCCAATTTTTTGGAGACAATAGAATGTATCTGATACATCAAGTCATGGTAGCCTTCCGGTTGGCGATGTATGAGGATGGCCCTTCACATTTGTTTTTTTAAGCACAACCGGTAGTTACAAGTATTGAGTTTTAAATTGACTGAGAAATACCTGATACGTTATCTTGCGCCGCTGAACTCTCACGTACTTGTTCTGACAGAAGTTGAAAAGCGTCTTAATCAGGAAATTGATGTTGGTGGTGAGAACTGTTTGTCAGCACTGAAGGATGGTTGGTTTACAAGGTCCCAGACCCGAGAGACTGACCGTTTTCGCATTTCGGGCTTTGGCAAGGCCGAGGTGCGCATCTTCGGACTACGGCACGTAGGTACTGCAGTCAAAGATGAAGCGACAGATGAATGAGTCACTTTTTGGGTACTATGGAGAAAAGAAGTCATATAATTAATTTCAGATTGGAAGGAGGAATATTACCATGACTCACTCTGCCGACGCTGGGAAAATGATGAAGATGCGAAAGTGTGGATTATTAATTGTGGTTAGTCTGCAGGGTAATCAATCTCTCAGACAGTCAGTCTCAATGAAGGAGGTTCCATGTTTGCAGAATTGAACGGCATGCGTATTATGTTGTAACGTTAATGATAAAACTGGGCAGTTCTTGCCAATTTATGAGATCTATTTGTTTCGCCAAAATTGTAGGAGCTGTCACAAGAGACATTGTCAGCTTGATGGATTTGTAACCTCTACGGCACGGAATAGGTGCTTAGAAATAATAAACATGAAGCCCTGTCAAACAAGAACCCTCCAATGCAACCAACCCTGCATGGGCTGACTCTGAGTGAATAACTACTAGTTACACGAAAGATTACAAAGGCATTTGCTGACAACCGAAGACCGAGAGCACTTGATAAGATTGAAGAATGGTATGGTATAAGCAGGATGCTGGATGATCGGTATATATATTAAAGAATCATGCCCAGGCGACAAGTAGAATAGCACCAGTCCAGCACTAGAAACAATATTGCAAAGCTCACTATTATCGCTCAAAGAAACTCAATTATATAGACACAACTCAAGTCAAGATGCGACACTCAAAGAAGATGCAGATCACTGAAAGCGATGGTAAGGCTCGCTAAACTTGAACATTCTAGCGCTCATCCCCACTAACAAATACAGGTCTGGATAAGCACCAACACGTACCCAGCAAAAAGTCACAGAGCTCGAGAAGAAGCAATGGATCGTCCGGAAAACAACTACAGCAACTTTCCATACTCTACCAAGATGCGATGGACCTTTACAACCAATCTTCTCTAGCAGAGACAATTCAAGATATGCTGCGGACGAAGAACCGACCACGCATAACCAGGATTGTTTCACTGGGTTTAGGGAGTTTGCTTGACGCTAAGGATCAACAGCGTCGCATCAAACAGCTGGTCATGTTGATGGCCATTGCATCACATCTCACACTTCCCAAGAACGCTCTTCAGATCTACGCCCAGGACCCGACATTCACGGAAGTTGATGAGACTTTTCTGGCGAGCCTTGGAATCGTCGTGTTAAAAACACCATCAATTGCCGATCTGGGTGAGGCCGGGCAAATGATGGACGAAGAAACCCTTGTCTACAGCCCTTTCCTCACCCTTGAGACATACAAATTATTGTTATCTTCATCGCAAACTTCTGATGTCCCAGTCAACGTGCCCATGTTGATAAGCGATGACTTTAATGCGCTCAGATTGAAATGGGACAAGCGAACTTCGGAGAGAAAAGATGTTGAAGGGTTGATCCAAGGTACAAGAGCCGGCAATTATCGCCGACGCGCAGTCAATGGTGAAGGGTTCTGGACAGACTTGGACAGACCATTTCCTCTAGCATTGTACCTCAGACAATCGACACCTGCTCGAAACGCAGATACAAGAAAGAAGACAAGGGTGTTTTCGCAGTTTGAGCAATCGTCGATTCCGATATATGCTTAATTTTATCTCTGAACAAAGCTTGCAGTACTTACAGCAAGGGAGACTGTTAAACTTCTTCCTTGCATGGGACGGAATGATCTGGGCGGTCAGGAATGCAGGGCATTGAACTGGGAGCGAATGAATGCGTGCCAATTTAGCCTTATCTGAAAGTTTTATTAGCGATGTCTCACAGCAATAAAAGCCGATGTTGCTGCTTTTGTATAAACCCCTTGGCAGCTGAAAATCGTGTCTTTTTTTGTTCTTGGTAGCGATCATGACAAAGCCGAGGTGATAGCGATTGCATGCTCGGGATGAACATTGGAGTTGTCATCAGCTAGAAAGCAATTGTTGGTTTAAGTACCATGTGTACATGCTGTATCGACTTTGTTATCTGCCATCGCATCATAGTGTTTGTTGTAGGGCGAGATTGGCAAAGACAGAAAAAGAAAAGGGAAAAAAGAAGCATCGAATTTGATCCAGAGTGATCTGCAGTGCAGCTAACCCCGAGCGTGAGCCTGTTAGTGGCATTGGCAAGCCTGCCAAAATCACGCTGCCGACGCATGCATTATTGAGCACACCATTTGTGCCAACACATCCGACTTTGCATTTTCTTTGGAAGGGGCTTTGAGGATTTTAGTAGTTGTTCAGACTTTTGGTTATCTTTCGAAAAATGCCTCGATATCTGATTGATCGACGTATTGGCGTCGTGGCTGTTTGACTACTAGGTTGACTTGTTGGTAAAACTTTCCCCTGCCAAGACGAAATTGAAGCTATGGTACCGACTAACGACCCTTTTCACTGGATCCCTAGACTCAATCAGCCACTGATAGACTCTGATTGTCTTGTTATCCTCGACCAACCATGTGCCAGTTTCAGTGCATCAAACCCTGGCGATATCTCCACAATGGGCTTGAACTATTGACAATTAGCGTTGTTCCAGACATTGCGACTAAAAATAAAAGACAGACTGGCATCGAAACGCAGTCCATTAGAGCACACATTATTTTGTAACCTTTTCAGCTCCATGCAAGGTGGAGTGGAATGTCTGTTGGTATTTTCCCACCCCTGAACGCCCCAGGAACAAACACTGTTAAGCACCTCAGAAAGCGATTTCCCTCTTCTACTGACTCTCATGTCAAAGCAGGGCACTCTAACTGTCATTAGCTTGTGGCAATCTGTATGGAGACGAGATACAGCAACAAAAGCAACCAATTGCCAAGTCCAAATCTGGTCAAGATGCCCCGCGCAAGGGCGAGTCAAAATTCCAGTGGCTTGGATCCCTTTTTAATGCAGTTTTTAGGGGTTCAGCGCCCGTATGATCCCCTGATATATGTATATCCTCCTCGCAGCTGAACCACTTGGCCATCCGCTCCAGTCTTTCTGTCTGTCAGCTCATTCATTCTTTTGAACACTCCTTCTCACCAAATCGCAGTGGTCTGGGTCTCAGCTGGTCAATTGAGTACCATCTGCCTGCCAGGTTAATCTGCTTCCATTCTCTACCACCATGACGAACAATCAGGAATCTGGCAGCTGGTGGAGCCAGATGTTTAACAACACCGGCTACCAGGAGCTGCCAACGACAATTGTGAAGGACAAGGCAGAGACAAAAGCCCAGGTCATGCCTAGAAGATGTTTCCGATTGTCGACCCGGGGTTTTTTGCTTGTGCTCGCAGCTATTCTTCTGGTCCCTACTTTCCTAGCTCTTGCAGCGCTTGAGGTACGTCAATTGCAGGTGGTGAAGTGACTCAACTGACTTTCAATTGCAGGGTCGACAATATCTTTCAGATGGAACAGCCGACGTCTTTGAGATGTCCGAAGGCCAAGATTCTGGCCCACAAATTGCCTCCGAAGTCGTCTCGGAGGTTCCTCAGGATTCAGTGCCTGTTGCTGACGCTGTCCCTGACATGCCTGAGGTCGACACGCCCGAGCTTGACACGCCCGAGGTCGACACACCTGAGGTTCCTGAGGTTCCTGAGGTCCCCGATACCGTCGAGGTCCCCGCTATTCCCGTTTCGCCTCATCCTCCAAAAATGCCGAAAACAATCTCCAACCGTCGCCTTGTCATCCTCCTCCCTGCCAACGCTCCCGGTGTCAACCTGTGTAAAGCCATGGTTACGGCAATCGCCCTTGGATACCCCACGCCCGTCATCATCAACTGGGGCAAGAGTGGTTCCCATCTTGCCAAGATCGGAGGTGTTCTCGACTACCTCGACTGGGCTGTGCGTCTCAAGTCCGGCCACAAAGATCACCTGGGCATGGACGATCTTATCATGGTGGCTGACAGTTCCGACTCGTGGTTCCAGCTTCCTCCCGATGTTCTGATCCAGCGTTACCACGACCTCAATGCCGAAGCCGATGCACGCCTGCAGAAGGAATGGACTGGTAGCTCCGAGATGCCCATGAAGCAGACCATCATGGTGTCGGCCCAAAAGAGGTGCTGGCCCCGAGCCAAGTCGGGCACAAACCTCCACTGCACTGACCTCCCCGAGAGCCCTCTTCGTGAGGATCTTTATGGACCAGACACAGACAAGGACCCTGAAATGCGCATGGTCGATGTTCGTCCCAAGTACATCAACAGTGGAGCCTTTATCGGACCTGTTGGAGACATGCGTCGATACTTCCGTCGTGCACAAGAGCGTTACGTGGCTGGCAAGGCCATTCAAGGAGACCACTTCTACAGTGACCAGGGTTTCTTTGGTGAGATTTGGGCAGAGCAAGAGATCTGGCGCACGTGGAGACGTGAGCTCGGCGATCAGATCGATCTTTACCAGAACGCCTCTATCATGGTCCGTGATCAGTTTGAGTACCACGTCGGCCTTGATTACTACCAAACCATCTCCATTCCCACTGTTTTTGAAGAAGATGACGGTGATATTGTCAATCTCAACAACCAGACTCAGATCGCTGAGCGATCCAAAGAGCTTGAGATTGAACCTGCTCGTCTTACTCGTGTCCCTGACGAGATTAGAAACGCCAAGAACCCTATCGCACGTCTTTTGAGCGAGGAAGAGCGACAAGGCCTTGACTGGGGCGACATGAATTTCTACGCCGACTTCTTCACCACGGCTATCCCTGTCAACATCCATCACAATGCGCATATTAACAACCTAAAGAGTCGTCGCGTCTTGTGGTGGCCTCGTATGTGGTTCTTCCCGTACCTGCGCGATCTCGTCATGGTTCAGCTCAAGCAGCGCAGACAGCAGCCTCTTGGACGGGTGCAGATTCCCGAGGGTAAGGCTGTGTACTGGGGACTCCAAGCTTATAAGGAGATCAGACGATACATGCACAACCAGAGGCAGATGGTGACGACGGACTTTGACACTATCTGCACGTCAAATTGGGCGAAGAAGGAAAAGCAGAACTGGTGGGATGTGGTATTTATGGATGAGAGGGGACCATTGGAACTATAAGCGTTAATTTTAGGGCTGCTGTTTGGGTTTGACTTTATGGGTGCTTTGCAATAGAAATAATCAATTACTGTTACATGTCCGAAACTGTTGAATCACTGCACCAAGTAATCCTGGTATAGTCATGTCTAACCAGGGCCATTGCGTATCTCGTCGCGATCTAATCGTGTCACTCTCCCTAAAGTAGACATCATAGTTAATGGATAATCTCGCATTTGTGGCTGTCTTGCTCTTGAGCACGACAAAGCATGAGCTCCGATACTTAATTGACTACACATAATGGAAACCAACACGCTGTATTACTACTCTGGTTTACTTAAATTCTGTCTGAAGGGTAATAGAGAAAAAAAAATCCGGCTTCCTGTTCCATGCATATATTCCTCTCAATTACTAGCCATGCCACCAGTTGCTAATTATCAACCGACGTGATGCTTCCTCCTGGTTGAGTCAAATTATTCATTACTATAAACTCCAATTAGAAACATCTGACAAAGCCGTTTCTATTGCCGATCATACATCAACTGGACTATCTTGACCAGGATTTGCTTCCTCGTAGTGCATCAACTTGACAAGCCGGAAGTAACCAGCAGCAAGCGCAGCGCCAAGTAGGGGTCCAACCCAATAAATCCAGTGGTAGCCGGGGAAGTCTCTGGAACCGACAGCACAGCCAAATGATCGGACAGGATTGGCCGATCCACCGGTCACGAAGACTCCTATAATACAACTAAATTAGTCTTCTTGCTGAGGCAAAAGGCTTCAGAGATGCTTACCTGGGATAAGTGCAACGAAAAGTGCCAGACCAATGCCAACAGGGGCCAAAAAGGTGTCGCGAGACTTCTCGGCAGCAAGCATCAGGACAACGAAGACCAACTGGGCGGTGAAGAACATTTCAAGAAAGACACCTTGAGCAATTGAAGTGTTGGGTCCGAGTGTCGTGTTTGCAATAGAGGCACTTCCGGGGAACATGGCATTGACCAGACCACCGGCACACATCGCAGCGATGATCTGGGATGGGAACAGAAATAGTGCGCGCATCCATGGTAGTTGATTAGAGAGACAGAGACCAAATGTGACCTGATATCGGTGTTAGCCTCTTCGACAAGTTGTTCCAAGAAATACCAACGTACAGCAGGGTTAAAGAGTCCACCGCTGATTCGGTAGAAAGCCCAAACGTTGACTAAAAGAGAGAATCCGTATGACATGGCGACATACATGACGGTGTTGTTGGCCAAGGTGCCGTTCGGTCCTGGGATAGGCTCTTGCAGAACGGCAACAATGTTTCCAGCATAGGCAAAATACAAGAATAGAAATGTGCCCACAAATTCCCCAGATGCCGCTACCATGTGCCTACCGAACTCGCTGAGGTGAGTCGTTCTTTGTTGCTTTTCCTGGTGGGCGTAAAGTCGATTTCGACCATTCATTGAATTACTGCGGCGATCCTTTACGTGGCCATTGTGGCCATTGTGACCGCTCATACCGTGGATGTCTGCCATGCTTGTAACTTTGAGAATGAGATGTGTGGCGAGATGACTGGCTGAATTCTGTATACGCTGTACCCAGAAAGGAACAGTGAACTGATGAAGATGTCTGGTGGGAGGTAGAAAACAGGGAAACCCAGAAGTAAAGTAAGGGAAGGGCTGTTTTAGTTTGGATGAATCGGGAAAGATGGAGAGGAATGCACAACGGCTGACGTCGCAACCATAACTGTCAAATAAATTTTCTGTCCTGTCCCTCCCTCGAAGCAAAGGCTCATCACATCACTCTTTCAATTCTTTGTCCTTCTCAGTGGCTGCGGGTATGACGCGCACACAAGCTGGCCTCTGTGAGACGGCAACGTATTCAAAACGTCAGAACTGCAGTGAATAATTGGGGCACTTGTTAGGAGGAAGTAGAGAGGCCGCAAACAAATTCCACACTGACATTAGAAAGAGTCCCCCCTTGTCTTGGCAGATATGTCTTGATCCCAAATTATTGAATTAGAGTCAAATATCAAAGCGATCCATTGGATTGGCGTTTCGCTAGCCCGGACATGACGTCCGGGAATGAAGATCACGACTCCAAATGGGGAAAAGTGGCTGCACAGCTCCAGTCGTACTAAACCGTTTGAATCAGGCCATCGGTCGATTGCTTGTTGGTGTAATCATGCTGTGACCATGCATGCACCGAGCCGCGTTTGTCGACTGTGTAATTCCCTATAAAGCACAGGTAAAGCTCACCATGTCTGACACGGACTATGTATCACTCGATCGTCATTTTGCAATCCTCTTGGCGCTGCTGATCAGTTGGGCCTGTTCTCGGTAACTGGTGCCGTGCTGAACGAGCTGACATGTGCACGCTTCAATACGCTGAAAGAAAGGCTGGGCGGACGATAGTGGCTGCTTAGCTGCTTTATTGACTGCTATGACCTCAGCTTGACCGGGGATCATTTCGGGCTGACGCATACTACTACCGCCTATCACTCCGCACAACAGAGCATCACGATTGCTGTTCCAACTCAATTGTTGTCACACTAAAAGTCTTTGTCGTTCTAGATGCAAACATAGCGAATTGCCAAGAAAACAATAAACAATCAGATTACCGCGCCAAGTACAATTCCACAACAGCATCTTATTCTTTTCCATTCTACTCCAATATCCGAATGACAGATCGTTCCCTCGAAAACCAGAATTCAAGTACACCTTTCAATGAACTGCATTTCCAGCCGTCTGCATCATGGTCATGGTCATGGTGATCACTCGCGTTAACAACAAAGTTAAGTGAGAGTCGTCCTGCTCCCGCACCCTCATCTTGAGGCCCTCGATAACAGATCTGCGATGGATTCAAATACTTCTTCACACAATCCGTGCCCGGAAGATAATTCCCAACTCGGTAGTCCCCTAGCGCTCGTTGAGCCCCGTTGGAATATTCCAGTAGCATCCCATGACAATGTTGATCTTCATCCTCCCGAACCCACACGCGAATCACATTCTCCAAGGGCGCTGACGAAATGTTGGCATGATAATTGATAGGTGGGTTACTGAACCAGGGATGAGGAAACAATGGAGAAATACTGTTGCCGTGTTGTTTCCGAGGGTATGTTCCAAATACGGTTGCTGGCCCGACGTCTGAAGAACTATAAACGAACAATTTGGGGTTGGACTGGCCGAGGATAACATCTTTGTGCGCCCCCGAACGGTACGGGCCAACAGCGATATCGCCAGCCAGTTTGGTTCGAAACCATCACTGTTAATTTTATCCAGAATGAGATATGAGGACTAACCAAGAAGAATGGTTTCTGTGCTGTAGATTGTCCTCCTTCGAGCGAGCTTCTTAGTCTGATAATAATGGCTATAATCTCCTCACCTTTGGGAATCGGCAAATATACTGACACAGCATTCGCCCGTCGTGTATCGGAAAGACGCTCAAAGGTCGTAGTTGCATGTGGGCTCTTATGGGTATGCGCATGAACTGCGTAAAGCTTGCTGTGCGAGAAGAAGAACGTGAGGCCACTCACAGCATACAGGTTAATAGTCTTGAGCTGCATCGACTGTGACACGCGGCCATAAAACTCGCAGTCTTCAAGACGAGGGGGGCTGGGAGCATCCCAGACCTGGAAACCTCGTATATGGTTCGGGAGCTGGAGCCGCAAGACGTTGAACTACCTCTAGTTAGACCAATAACATCCAAATAAGGGATTCACAACCTCAAGTATCGCAACAACATCCTTGACCTCGCTTTCACATGTAAGAATAAATACTTCTCTGTTTGAGTAAGCTGGTTCATATGGCGGTCTTTCTTGAAGCCGTTCGATCTTGCGGATACCTCGATAGTCAAGGGTGAGTCGTATGTAAGGCGGATATTCATCAGAGCCCACAACAGCCGATTCTCCCCTTGCCCATGCCACAATATTACACAAAGGAACTGAAGGGCTCGGCATCGTCATGCATCGTTGCGACTGAGATAACTCCCGAGCCAGGCTCAGAGCTAAGATGCAGCGCCAAAATACCGCATCCTCGCTGTATTTGTATATCATGTGGGTGAGTTCTGCGGGAAGTCGGGCCAGCAGGGTGACACCATAAGACTCGGCTTTCTGACGAACAAGATCTATCTCGACCTCTGATTCTCGATCAAGTTGAAGACCTGGGGCGCCATTCCATAGGTTCTTTTGGCCTACTGTCGCCCATAGTCTATCGATAGAATCGACAGCTTTGCAGTGTTCCATGAAAACACCAAGACAGACTACATGAAGTCCTACTGCCTCCGGAGTTTTGGCGCATTGGTAGCAGTTAGATGCCCAGCAGAAACTTCTATCGTTAATATCAACACTAGTATGAGGATATCCCGGATATACTGCCTGGCCCAGGTAGCTTCCTGATCCAGTATTAGGATCATCACATAACACTGCATTCGATACATCAGCAAATATTTATCCTTGGTCGCGATGCCAAGTACGACTCACAAGGAGCGACGAAATCACCAGGCAACAATCCCTGACAACAGATACCGCATTGGGTGCGAAGATGATTATGCCGTAAACTTTTAACCATGGTGAAGATTATTACATTGGCATGATATACACGTCGGGAGGGGAACTAGACTAGATAGATAGTTGCTGACTGAAGTGTAACCTCGGTCGCGGATCATTAAAGAGCCGGTGAGTAGGTGTCAGCAATGTCATGGGTGATTGGTTAGGGAGTAACGTTGTTCTGACAAGGGGCTGAGATACCGGTGTTGATGATATGAAAATGAAATAATATGGGTAATGAGAGCTCAATACTGGATGAACTAGACAGAGCGGTGAAGGAAAATAATTGGAACGCAAGGTGCTGGCATCAACAAAACATACTATGTTGTTTAAAATGGCAAAATAATAAAGATGTCAGAAGATATATAGCGGATTATATGGCAAGTTACTCTTTGACATGAAACTATATTTCTGAAATCTTTTCTTTTCTTTTTATTATAATGGCAAGTTCGAACACACAGGAGTTGGTCCAGACTTGCCTTCGGGAGAATGGGGGGACCACTACACCATTGTCCCGGACACTGAGTATACATGTCAAAATTGTATTTGAACTGTCTCTCGTCTTTTGATTCAAGCAATAGAGTTTGTCTTATTGAAGTTTGTTTGAGTCTGGAGTTCACGTGCGGTACTACGACTTTGGGTTCAATCTCAGATCGGTTTCATTCGGGCCGACCACTTATTGACAACACGTACAGGTCAACCGACGATAGACACATGCAGGCTTTTGTGGTCCAAAACTCTAGATCAAGGATAGGGCAAGTTTTACTAGCCCTTTCAAGACCTTCTCCCGCTTTGCTCTGTCGCCTGAAACCGTCTTCAGGTATCTGTATCGTTCCTCGTGGACAGCCGTGGAACTAATCATTCCTATATGTATTTCACTAGGTACTGACCTCATGCAATATTCAATAATTGTTATAAAAAGAGCCCAGAGACGCCGACATGTCGTGTTGCCCTTTCGACAGTCACGTCATGGTTCATCAGGAGTGCTTCAGCTTTAAAAGAGGAAATAAATGCTATTAGCGTGTTTGATTGGCCTGTGACGTCGTTGTTTCCAATCACTAGCTCAATAACTGTCACTTGTCATAAACGGCGTCTCTTCCCTGTTACACCGTCATTTAGCTGAGCTCTCAGTGACGTCGACCAGAGGTCAGCCCACCAGGCGTAGGGTTCAGGTAATGGCGTGACGTGAGTTCTAGACTAATCTAATTCCTTTTCAAAGAGCCCTGTCCTGGATACCGCCTCGTGGTCTCGCCATTGAAGCAACGTCTGCGGAATTCGGTAGGCTCTGGTCCGTGAACCCAAATCGTTGATATAAGGCAGAACCCGACTTACTAGCATCCACATACACTGCAACCTCATCCCTATCCGCCAGATTACAGCCCCATCTCATAAGCAAAGAACCTGCCCCGCGCCGCTGGTAGTCTGGGTGAGTGACGAGGGTATCAAGGTCTAACGCAAATTAGCTGAGGCCGAGACCCAGACAGCTACGTAGGCAGTCAACCATTACTACTTACAGTAATGCCTTTCGTTATCCATGACTCGCAGTCTCTCTCGCTCTTCCTTGGCAATGAACTCGTCGCAGATTTGGTCAGGTTGGTCCCCAGTCCACGGCGGATATCGACGACCCCGCTCTTGTGGCATAGAAGTATCCCACTTGGCGAAAGCGGCTATACGTGGTTTACTCGTGACGTCGCGGGTTTCCGGGTCGACGACTTTAATGTAGTGTTGAAACGGTTTGTGAAGGAGATCGTGGTGGTTGGCGTCGGTCCACCATTTTCGGACAGCGGGAGTATCAGGCCAAACACGTCGTATTCCCGGGTCAGTAAATGCTGCAAACCAGATTTCGGTGAGTGTAGGAATATCGTCCTGAACCACCTTCTCGATTTTCAGAGTTCTCGAGTTTGGATTTGCCATCGTTTTGTACAGTTGCGGCTTTATGCAAAGTTGAAAGATAGATTTCTTTGATGGTGAGATTTTTACAGCTGTCCTGTCCATTATAATGAATGACCTTGTCGCTATTGGTTCGATAGACGAGTCTTTGTCATCGGGGTTCCTCCCCAGCGTTGCAGCCCAGGTTTTGCATCGCATGTCTTTGAAACTTATCAAGCGTCAATTTGGATATAGGTAATCTTATTGTTATATTATTATTTATCTTCATGATGATCTCATCTAAACATGGTACGTGTATAACCATGTTTGGGCCTGAAGCTATACAACTATATAGAGGCTACAAGAGCCTTGAGATTATTGAGAGGCTCGATATACGATTCAATAGGGCTGACCTGTCGTAATGTAGTTTCCAACAAATCTCGCAGGTCAATCGTTGAATCAATCATGTCAGCCTGTGACGTGTGACGCTGAGCGTAAAGAGCGAGCGTGTATAGGTAGGCGTTGACCATTAGCGTATTAGAAAGGTTCCTCCCCGACAATAAATCGTTAAGCGGAAGCCATAGCTGGTAATCTCGTAGCAGCCTGACGCGTTCAAACTGCTTCTCGGGTGATGATGAAGGGTCAAGCTTTGCCAAATCCTGAGCCAAGGCGATCAGCATTCGTAGTTTCCTCCACGTGTCGTCTTCAGGATTCTTTTCTCTCAAAAGAATCTGGAATCTGTACATCTCGATGATTAAATCTTGCAGTATCAACGATCTTTCAAATTCAGACATCGGGGCTATGCATCGGTCGGAAGCTGGTTGCCAGGCTTTGGCAAGCATAAGGTAAAATCCTGATCTGTGTCCCAATCTTTGGCAGGTTTGCAGTATCTAGAGTCTCGTTAGTCCAAATCTCCGTTCACTGTGGAGCCCAGAACTCACAGCAGTAATTCCTTCTGATATTTGACACCGGCTCGACCTAGAATCGTCAGGACGTTACTTATCAAACAGACGGTCTACCCACATATCCTCGCACAGCCATAAAAGTGACATGGAAGCCACAAGTGCTCCATCTGCATGCTCGGGGCTGAAGTTGGCAAGACATTTTCTAAGATCCTGGATCGCCAGCATCTGGTATTGGTATTCTTTTCGGCGGGCATGTTGGCAGTGGGTAACCGATGCGACTTGGTATGCGGATAGAGCAAGGACTCCGTTCATGGCTAATCGGGAGCTGGCAATAATTCGAAAGAAGCTACGCGACGATTGTCAGCAGTAAGAACTACAATGAATTTTGTCAACATACCTTGGTAAGTAAGAAGATATGATTGTAAGTTTGCTAACACCCATTGCTGTGAGTCTATGTTGGTTGCTTGCAGCCTGGTAGACAAAGCACAGATCATCCTCGGAATAGATTGTCGGCTGCAGGGTTATCCGTATACGTGCGTCCGGGATTGGCATAGATCCTGTTCTTCTCCACTGCCTCACTTCCGCCCTGGCTTTTGCCGACCAAGGCCTTCGGGATTTGGTAGTCGAGAATGGTTGCAATTTATTATCGATCGGTGATGTCTGGAGCAGGGTTTCTTCGTGCGATGGTGCGTCTTGGAATGCGCACTTGACTTTGTGCTTGGTGCAGTTTTGACTAGGGTTTTTATGAGCTATGGTTCTCTTTAGTATGCATAGGAGGACGTACCATTGAGGGTAGCTTTCGTCGCAACGGATATGGCGCCGCTTGCTGGACCAGAAAAAACACTGATTAGTATTTGGATCGACTAGTATCGATGTTCCAGTCCAACACACCATGTCAAGCAGCCAGTGCGAGATTTTGTATGGCTGTATATCGTCAATAACCGTGGAATTGAAGTCAATTTTAGCTTCTTACCTTCTTCGATTGTTATTTCTAGTGTGGTGGCTCATCGTGGACGAGATATATGATATGATGTAGGAAAAAGGTAAGTTAGTGGTTGACGAACGAGTAGCTTCGTATATCGAACGACGACAGCTAATCAACGGGGGTAGAGCGGGCGGAGAGCTAGCCGACTGGAAACAGGCCGGTTTTATGCATCTTTAAGTAACTGACGCTTAGACGTTGAACATTCCAACAAAATGGGTCTAGTCTGCTCCCTATGACTCGAGAGTTCCTCCCCTGAGTCTAGACCCGGACGCCACTGGAGACTCGCAAAATAAGCAGTACCTGACTACATAGTGCGAATGTAGAGAGAGGATCGCGATAGCTACGAGGTACCACTTGGAATACTGGACATCCTTTGCAGACCCGGCCGAGAACAATCCTTGGCCGCACAAGCTCCGGCCGTCATTCCTCGAAATGTGTTGGAGGCTTGTCAGGGTACGTTACCATGAACAGGGAAGCAGACGAATTGGAATGACCGGGGAACCAGGCAGGTGAAACATATAAACCTGGTGTATAATATGTGCATTATCAGCAGATCTAAGTCCACATAAGTCTCCAGGTTTAGTCCTGAGAAGGAAATTGTATAGCCTAGTCTACATAGTTGTGGTATTGTAGAGTAGTATCGGCCACGGTAGAAGGCAGATTGATACATGATGGATCCGGGGTGGGTCAGGTGACCCTGGAATGCCGCGCTGTTGCATACGTACGTAGCAATAAAATTAATGACAGGAGGCAAAAGCAGACAAAGTTTTCTTTTTCAACCCAATCCAATGCAGTCTTGCCATGATTTAGTGGAGGGAACGGAGATGTAGTTATCGGGTGAGGCTTCCGGGGATTCCCAAGAGTTGTTCTTTGCTGATTGGGGAAAGGTGTATATGCAGCATGTCTCAGAGAGTGTGTGTGTGATCAGACGAAACCAACATGGATATTCGCCTGCTGCATATTGTGGCGTCGATAACGGAAAATACCATATAGTAATCATGCTAGGTATGTAGATTAATGGGGAAGCATACAGCCGAATAAGCAGACAGAGTGTCTGCCAATACCAGTGGCAGTGTCCACCCTACCTACTACATCCATAGGCTAGTAAGCCCTCTTCGTATCATATCAAGAAAGAATAAAGGCAAGAAGGAAAAGACAGGACAACTCGATCCATAATCAGATTCCCTGTTTTGGGATAAGCTTGCGACGTCGCTTAGGACGCTTTGACGTTTTACGGACCGATACCAAAAAGAGACGTCGCTCGAGGTGAATATCCACCAATACTCGGTTTGCAATCTGACCTATTTGCTTACTCAGTCACCTCTTCAAGGTTTCCTCTGGGCTTGATTGGTCTTGGTTTCTGAAAAAACGACCAGCCATAAACTTCTCTCCACAAACAAGACAATCTTTCGATACACATACACGGGACGAACCTATCGTAGAGTGCCAACAGCCCATACAAGCTCCACTAACTCTACTGACTGCAGACCGCATCTCTAGTATTTTTCTATTTCCGTCCTGAGTGGCCAGGAAAAGCTTGCAATTTCTGGTCATGGTCTTCCCCGGCGCCCTCAGCAGGGGCTGCGACCGTTGCAGGAAGCGAAAGATCAAGGTACATTCTTTCCTTTCTTCTTCTTATTCTGCACCCATTTTCACATGCCCAAGATGCTAATCCGCTTATGTCTGTCAGTGCGATGGAAGACGTCCAGGATGCAGACGCTGTGAGCTATACAAAGCCTCATGCCCTGGCTATGATCGCCCACTAGCGTTCCGATTCCACGGAGAGCCTGGTCAAAGTCTTGTCCGTGGTGAGCCCATTGCCCGTCGTAAATCTGCGCAGACCCTCGTCTTGAGCAAGGGGTCAAGTCATGGGCTCACTCCCACAAGGTTCACCAGCATAGTGGTTGCTCGACAACCCCAGCCCTCATTCGAGGATGAGTCCCTTGCCTTCTTCCTGCACGAGTACTGCGTGCATCCGGCGCCAGGCGTCATTTTGGGCCATATGGAATTTCTCGAGGGCATGTACAGGGACTCGAGCCGATCCTCGTGTATACGTCCGGCCACTCTGGCTATAGCTTACATGGCACTTTCCCGGCACTACAAGTCCTCAACGCTGTATGTTGCGGCGCGAGGCCACTATGGAGCTGCCTTACGTACTGTCAATAGAGATCTTTCTGTATCAAAACGGCCCCTGAAAGACGAGACCTTGGCGTCGTTGATGCTCATGGGTATGATTGAGGTAATACGGTGAGCCCTGCATCCCGATGATCTACGCACATTGACGAGACTTCCAGGATATTGAGTGCCAAGGGCAAACAACAAAAGCCGTGCACATGGCAGGTATTTCCAAGCTCTTCGATCTTGTTGGCCATCGGGTTCTCACCAAGGTTGACGGGTCTTCGCTCCATTCGTGGATCTTCACGCAATTGGTTGGTACATCTTTATCTGATCCTGATATAGCTCGGGTACTGAGACAAAAACAAAGCAACTCCCTTCCCTCGTGTCCAAGGAAAGTATGCAATGCCTAGACATTCCTGACACACAACTGGATACCAAAAGGCATGTCGTACGCTTGGCACTGGTGGTGACTCGCATTGGGCAGTTTTACAGAGCCTCCAAGCAAATCACAGCTCCCGATTCAGCATTGACACCAATTGTGCAGCAAGCTCAGCTCGTGTCGCTCATCAAACAAGCCTTGGCAATCGCAGGGGAGCTAGCCATGATCCAAAAAGACGCCATGCCCACGAAACTCAGACCACAAGAAACGACGGACAAACGGCCCAAGAACCCAGCCAATCAGTCTCTCATCAGTTTCGATTCACGATGGACTGCTTCTAGGTGGAGTCAGTTTGCTTTGTACTTAATTCTCTTCTTTACGAGACTATCCAAGTGCTCGGACGCCCTGTTGCAGCTGGAAACTATAGGTGATGAGGAGACACAATTGGCCCGGACCGCCGGGGCCATCTCCGTAGGGCAGATCAAGACCATGATCCATAAGCTTTGCAGTGCCCTGCCTTATTTGATGGGTGAGGTCGACAAGCAGGGGCAGCCTCTCTCGGTGCCGGAACGGCAAAGCGTTATCATGTACCATCTCATTTGGCCGCTCTCTGCCGTCATTGTGAGTCCCCATAGCACCCCAGAGCAAGTGGAGGACGGGCAAACGAAGCTGAACGACATTCGGGATATGTACGGCATCAGGCTCGCTTATTTTGCCCCAGGTTTAGTGAGGGATTTGATGGCTTAGTGGCAGTCATGCACAGATAACAATGGCAAGAATAGATAAGCACAGACGATTAGTACGAGTACTATTAACGCTATAAGGATCTTCAGGGTTCCCGACAACCTAACACATCATTACCAAATGGTTCAAAGTAGTGGGATAATTGACTTTCAGGCAGTACATAATAGCTTGTGGCCATCTGCCTTCTCCTTCATTGAAGCCTGCACCCTTGCAATCTCGGCAGTAGCAAATTTTTATTGCGGTCCGCTTACTATGCATTGACTTACTGACCAATGTATGAGTAAACACATCGATAGGGGTAGAGATACCTGGGATCCAGATAAGGTGCCGCAAGACCATGGAGCAGGGAGTCTTGGCGTGTCTGTCATTGTGAGGGTTCCGGTAGCAGATCCCCCACAGCGGAATCATGATCAAACCTGGAAGGCTTCCCCATGCCAATTAACTTCTTTCTTTTGAAGAGTTCGTTCGGTATTGCTGTTCGGCGACTCCATCAACTCGAAACCAAGGAGTTAGAGGATTTTGCAAGTGTATTCTGATAGATCGTAAAAGCCCCAAAACCCGTGGGTAGCATTGAAGTCCGGTCTTTTTAGTATCCAAGACCGTCCTTAACGTTTTGGGCCCTAGTTTGCGACTTCACAGCTGGCTTCAATATCCACCTGTCAAGTCCACGGTTGATCTACATTGCGTGAACTCCATAATTACTTAGTCGACTCTAATTTGAAACTTGAGCAGGAAAAGCAATATGACCTGCAGATACAAATCTAGACACTTCAAGTGCCGCACAATTGCCGATGCCATCCCCAGGCGTTTCAGTTCGTGCATACGTTCTTCATCAAAAACAGTAATGCTTGCGAAATTCGTCATATTCCAATCACGAGGTGACATCCAATTCCGCAGAAGCCTATGTAGGGTAGCATGATCGGCAATCAGAAGTGTCAGGTATCAATCAACAACAGAAGAAAGGACAGGGCTAATAGCCGACTCGGGTTAGACCGCATCATGAACTGTCAGCTTCCCATGTCACTCCACTCTTCTTCAACGCTACCCACGTTCCAGTTAACGAACATGCGCGAACTTCCTCCTCCACCCCAAATAACGGCTTACCTAACTCCTCTCGGCTAGCCATGCGAACGTCTCTCCGAAGATCATGCAACGCCTGTGCAAAAGCGAAGCATAGTTGCGATCTTGGGACACCCAAGTGCTCTCGATGCGTCAAGAGAAAAGTCACGTGTGTTTACGCAAATGAGCCTTTATCTTCATCATTGTCGACGATACCGGAACCGTCGGTTCGAGGCAAATCTGTAGACAAAGCTGGAACGAGGCGATCCCCCCCGAAGGACCGCGACTATGATGCCTATCATCACAGTTCAATGGCGTTATCCACGCCGGTGAACGCGTCATTTGATCCATTTGACTCATACCCAACAACTAGACTACCTGGAGTTCATGTTCAGCGATTGATACAACATTGTAATATCAAACATCTGGACCCAAACCAAAGACCGATATCTGACTTTTTCCTAGTTCTCTCAAATATCTCCTTCCAATACTATCCTCTTGACCTCAATATGGCTTCCAATCCTTTCATCGTGTCGTGGTGGCCGCTTGCTTTAGCAGACCCAGCATTATTTCACGTGTCGATACAAACGGCATCACTGGATGAGGAACGTCGGGCTGAAAGAGGCTTCCCAGTATCGGAGCTTCTCATGGCTGATTCTGTATCGTTGATACGAAATAAGATCGGCAGTGGCTTGTTGGCAATCCAAGATGAGACTTTGAATTCTGTGGTTACCTTGGCTGCTATCGAGGTGAGTGATTTGAGTCGAGCAGCTACTCTTGATTACTAACCTTCATTTTAGCACGGAAAAGGCAACATCAGTGCCAGCAGAGCTCATATAGAGGGTGCTAAACGTATTGTTGGAATCCGTGGGGGACTTGATCAAGTCAAACAGGCAAGCCCGTTGACGGCTAGGATGATAGCTTGGTGCGTGGTACCGTCTCTCATGATTGACGAAGTGCTAACATAATCTCCTAAGGGTATCATTACTGGTCACAGGATCTCCCCAATACCAAACTCAGAATGAAGATGGCACGGGGGACGGAGTCAGCCCAACGCTTCAATGGCTCTTATCGTCGTCATTTTTGGAGACGCCAGACCCGGTTGTGCAGGCTCTTGATCTGCAACCCGAGATAGCGGGCGTGTTTACTCGTCTGCGCGGTATTCTACATCAACCAGATGCTTCAAGTCTGCTAGGCACAGAGCTTCATGATCTGACGTGTTTCGTCGTCCATAAGCTCCTACTCATGCCACCATACAGGACTTCGCCGCATTCCGAATGTCTACGATGCGCAATGACACTCTACATGCTAATAATTCACGGTACAACATATTACACGCATACAGAGCTTTCCAACAACATTGTTCAGCTGCTTAAAGACCATCTCCAGCCTCTGGCAGGAAAGACTGGGGGCATCCTCTTTGGCTCTCTACAAATCTGGGTTCTTTCCGTCGCCATTGTCTCAGCTACAGACCCAACAGAAATCCAGTGGCTAACTTACGCAGCCAGGATTGCCTCGAATGCCTTGGGACTACAAACATGGGATCATGTCGTCATTCACTTGAAGAATATTCTATGGCTGGAAACTGAGAGGGTAGACGTGTTTCGTCAACAGTGGGCAGGTATTTTAACATGAACGCACATAATATTCCTCAATTCACATCATACGTGCAACGCTTTTTGCCCTGCTTTTACTTGTCATCTGACTCAACCGCCTCCCTTCAAAAATGCACGACACGTCGATTCGTCAATCGTGCATCGCGTATTCGGATTCATGTCTTGGATCGGAGACTAGACCAACAATGTATTAGTCTCCGCTTGGTTGAAGATGCCATCAGGGGGTATCAGAAAAGGTGGCTGCTGGAAGGACAAGAGACGAAATTAGTAGGCCAATTTATACTACTTAAACCATACTTTTTAGACTATTTATTTTTGCACCCTAAAGCACAAATGTCAACGTTTTTGCTACCCACTAGAATGCCTAAGCGGCATTGTGAATTGAGGCAATAAAGAGGATCACAATCAGGCTATTTCCGGAACAACCCAGCAAAAACATTCAGATCAAACACTGAATAGATAACGGATACAAGCAATGATATTAGTTGATCTATGCTTGGGGTATTTCTCCGAGCTCACGATACTCGAGATCACCACATTGTGCATAATGCGAGACCGAGCGAGCCAGCCAGCGGTTTCATCAATAGGGTACTCGCTTCACGTACAATTCTTGGGATTACGATGCATTGACGAATAAGACAGATCTGACCCGACATTTCATCAGTCGTCTTCCCCACCTCAGACATCGGAGTCTAGTCCATAACCGGACATCTCGAAGTTGCAGATATCAGTCCACCACAGCTCACCCCTAAATAAGCAGGCATATTGGCGTGACTTGGCAGATAATTCTGGACTTTTACCATTACTAGTTACTATCTCTGTAGACAGCATGTTTCGTATTCTTGTTCTTAGAACCGATCCGTCCTGACTGCTCAATTGGCCGGTCGCTTGGGGCCTTCCTTCTTTGGACTTGGAATGTATTTAAGAACTCTGCCCTCACCTAAGTTTATGATAGTGTCAACCATACCTCTTTATTTTATAGCTACCTAGCCAACAATGGCTTCGATACTCGAGTATGGGGCCAGCCTGGCGTCCGCCAATGTGTCCTTCTCAACAGCAACTGACATATCCAAAGAGAATGGCCTCTTCTCCAGCTGGTTTGAAAGATACAGCAAGGCTGAGATAGCTGTCACCATCATTGCTGTCCTTATAGCATACGACCAGTGTATGTATCTTTGGCGGAAAGGTTCGATCGCCGGCCCAGCATTCAAAATTCCATTCATGGGACCATTCATTCAAGCACTTTATCCCAAGTTCGACGCCTACCTTGCCCAGTGGTCTAGTGGTCCTCTGAGTTGCGTATCTGTATTTCACAAGTAAGTTCAATATATCATTTTGCCACTACTCACACTCAACATACCATGTCAGGTTCGTTGTTCTCGCTTCTGATCGAGACATCGCACACAAAGTCTTCAAGTCCCCCACGTTCGCCAAACCATGCATCGTTCCCATGGCCGAGACCCTCCTACGGCCAAGCGCCTGGGTCTTCCTCCAGGGGAAAGCCCACACCGAGTATCGCCGAGGACTCAATGGCCTCTTCACGAACAAAGCTATCAGTACTTATCTCCCTGTCCAGGAGAAGGTATACGATGAGTACTTCGCGCGTTTCATCGTAGCAAGTGAAGCCAACAAGGGGAAGCCAATGGCTTTCATGCGTCTCTTCAGAGAGATCAACTGCGCTCTCTCTTGCCGGACTTTCTTCGGTGACTACATTTCGCAAGATGCTGTCGAAAAGATTGCCGAGGACTTCTATCAGGTCACTGCCGCTCTCGAGCTCGTTAATGTTCCACTGTCTGTATACATACCTTTCACCAAATGTTGGCGAGGCAAACGCACGGCAGATGCTGTTCTGGCAGAATTCGCGTCGTGTGCCGCTGCTTGCAAATCAAACATGGCCGCCGGTGGTGAGCCGAAATGTATTGTTGATCAATGGGTTCTTCATATGATGGAGTCTAAGAGGTACAACGATCGTATTGCCGCTGGTGAAGCGGATGTCGAGAAGCCCAGAAATCTCATTCGCGAGTTTACAGACGAGGAAATCGGACAAACCATGTTCACCTTCTTGTTCGCTTCGCAGGATGCTTCCAGTAGTGCTACCACTTGGTTGTTCCAAGTCCTTGCCCAACGGCCTGATGTGCTTGACCGTCTTCGAGACGAAAACTTCAGTGTCCGTGGCGGAAACAAGCAAAGGCCTTTCGAGCTACCAATGTTGGAGTCACTTCCCTATACCAATGCAGTCATCAAAGAACTCCTTCGATATCGTCCTCCCGTCATCTTTGTGCCCTACGAGGCCACCAAGACATTCCCCGTCACGCCCAACTATACGATATCAAAAGGTTCCATGATCGTACCTTCTTGCTACCCCGCCCTTCATGATCCCCAAGTGTACCCGAATCCCGAAACCTTTGACCCTGAGCGATGGATCACAGGTGATGCTGAGACCAAGACCAAAAATTGGCTTGTCTTTGGAGCTGGTCCCCACGATTGTCTAGCTCGCAAGTATGTTCCTCTGACTATGACCGCCATGATTGGGAAGGCGTCTTTGGAACTCGATTGGGTCCACCATGCAACTAGTCAGTCTGAGGAGATCAGAGTGTTTGCTACTTTGTTTCCAGAGGTATGTACAAGTATCCCCCTAACGATGCAATGCTGACAAGTTCCGCTTTTAGGACGAATGCCAGCTGGTATTTACACGCCGAGAGTAAAGGGCTACAGTGGCTGTGCATATTTTCAGCACAAGCATCAGCTATCGGAAGATTTAAAATGGCACCCTGTCAATATTCTCGATTTTTGTTCGGTATTTAGATTATAGTTAACTCGGCGACATATCTATCAATTGAGAAATATGCACAGTTTGATGTGTCGGGCAAAAGAAAATATACTTTTACATACGTTCTTTTAACTCTGAACCAAAGCGCAGTCCTTCTCAATTTACTAAATATGTATTATAAGTGATAATGCTAATACGTCAGTATAGATCTAACACTTGATAAAACAATAATAAGGTTCTTCCAAAATTGACTAAAGTTTCTAATAAATACATAATAGAGCCGCTGTATAGGTTAGTGCAGCAACGGTTCAACCATATGATATAGGTAATTAGGCAATGAAAGAAGCTTCTGTCGAGCTGTGCGGATGGCAGCCAGCTCTCCCTCTAAAAGGAACATATCATAGCGTGTCAGAATATAATGCTACTAAGTGCCGAGTATGTATCCATGCAAGGACCATTTTGATGAAGTGATATCATTCGTTTTTGGATGCGTTATCATAAAAGGTTTTTCAGAGTCTATTTATGAATACAAGGTGCCAGATTACCCTAGTCTATCTGAAAAACATGTCTCTGGGTGGAAGACAGAACAAGGCCCATTACACATTATATCTGGTCAATATGCTATAGCGCTTACGACTTTTGTTTAAGCGAAAACATCCTCGAGGAGGAAAGAAATCTCCTTCTTATGTGTGTCGTCAACGGCAGTGTAGGTAAGCCCAGTCTTGTTAACGTCAAAGACAATGTTGAGAGGGTCCTCGAGTGAGTACTGAGGCCAGGCGACATGCGCAGGGGCAGTCTCAACAGTGTTGGGGGTAATGTCGTGCATAAAGGCAACCCACATCTTGCTCATGAGGTCAGCGAGCTGAACAAAAGTTTCAGGCTTGCCCTCAAAGGGGTTAGCACCATAGCCAACACCCTTGACGTTGTTGAAAACGAAAGCAACCTCCTGGAAGTGAGTGGCTCCGAGAATAGGAGGGAGGCCGTTGACGTAAACGTTCCAGAGGTAAGTGAAGACGGGGATGTCGGCAGCAGAGAAGGTTTCGGCCAAGAGACGACGGCCAGCGTGTTGCTGGAAGTCACCAGCGAAAGAGGCAGATCGCTTCCACTGGAGACCATACTCGTTCTGAGGTCGGCCGACGAAAGAGGTGGGAATACCTTTCTCAGGGTCGTCGGGGTAGAGCTCGGTAGCAGTAGCGACAGCATCCTTATCAAGGCCGAGGCTAGAGATCCAAGTTTGGAACTGCTCTGTAGTGTTGATGCCCTTCTTTCCGTAGGCAGTGCCCTCATCAAAGTTGTTACCCATCAGGAGAGGAACGTGTGCGAATTTGCCAGAGCGGAGGAGCTCAGGAGCCTGAGCAGTCATGAAGTCCCCGTCAACGACAGCAGTCAGAGGAGGGGTAGGGACGCTGAGGGCAGTGGTGCTGTTGAAGATGTTGTTGAGGGTCTCCCAAGGGACCTCACGGAGGCAGTCGAGGGTGTTGGAGGAAGAGGCACATCCAGTCTTCTTGACAAGGGCGTCGTAGTAGTCCTGCCAAGAGGCAGCGTTCCCGAAAAGAGCAACAGGGCTACCAGACTCGAGGATGGCGGCACGGAAAAGATCGTCATGCTGACCGTCGTACGCAACAAGTTGCATACCGAGGGATCGAGCACCAGCAGACTCTCCCCAGACTGTGACCTTGTCGGGGCTTCCGCCAAAGGCAGCGACGTTGTCGTGGAGCCACTTGAGGGCCATGCGTTGGTCCTTGAACGCAAGGTTGCCAGCGTTCTCCTTTTGCATCTCGTCACTGAAGAGGAAGCCCCATTGGGAGACGCGGTAGTTGATGGAGGCAGCAATGATGGGCTTACCCTCCTTAACTGACTGGTCCACAATCCAGCTGAGATTGTACCTGGGGTCACGAGAACCACCGTTGGTGTAGCTCTATCATACGTGTTAGTAATAGCTCAAAGTTAAAACTTGTCAAGGTCAGGACTTACACCACCGTGGACCCAAAGGCCAACAGGAAGCTCGTCTCCAGCATCAACGCCTGAGGGACGAACGATGTTGATCGTCAAGCAGTCCTCATTAACAGGGCTACCAAGGGACTGGGTATCGGAACCGTAACCGATGCACATCCATCCGAACTCCTTAGCATCTCGGTGACCAGTCCAGGCCTCATCGAGAGCCTTGGGGGAGGAGAAACGGAGAGAGCCTACAGGAGGCTGGGCATATGGCATACCAAGGAAGAGATCATGGTTAAACTCATCACTGTGCTTGCCATGGTAGGTACCGTTGCGAAGTTGGACAGCAGGGACACCGGGAGGAGGAGGGGGAGGAGGATGAGCACCAGGAGGGCCAGGGGGGCCAGGGGGGGGAGGACCTCTAGGCCCAGAATGACCATGAGGACCAACACCAGGAGGGCCAGGAGGGCCAGGAGGTCCTGCACGAGGATGAAGCGGGAGAACAGATGCCTCTGAGAGCGTCAAGCCTGAGACAGCAGCCAGGAACAGGTTTAGCGTGTTTGGATGCATGTTGTAGCGTGCTGTGGAAAGGACAGGGTGCTTTTGTCTTGGAGGGTGAAAAGCTGGGCTTCTAGAATGAGGTTCTCGAAGGGGAAGGAGAAGAAGAAGCTCGTGGAAGACAGACTTGCATCAGTGGCTTGATGTGCAATAAGACATGTCGATCACATCGGCTCAGCGGTTCTTTAAGAGCAAACGCCTAGTGGGCCAGTCGTCGCATAATGCTCGGAGCTTTACCCATGCGAAAGGCAAAGACGGCCAACATGGCTGCTCTGAATGCCTGTTGTAATTTGCCGATTGTCTTGGGGTGACCCATGAAGGATAACTAGATCCGAAGGACATCCCCTGGCCTCCGCCTGGAAAACTGGGCTCGTGAGTCTGTCATTGGGATAGTGGGAGACGAACAGGAGCGAAAACACTCTCAGAGGAATATACTTTGACTAGGCCTGTCGATCCCTTCCACATTTCCATGACTGCACCGAACAAAGTGTGCCGATTCAGGTCAGCTCCCCCACCTTGAATCGGCATGTTCGAGTCATTCAAACGGCTGAACAGATTTGTTGGAGATCTCCTTCTTTCTAAAATCTCGTTGCTCCGTTTGTTAGCTATAACTACTGTGGTTGATATCCATTTACCGTCTGCCCGCGGTCTTTAGACCAGATCCTTCAACGCTAGGTCCAACAGATAGCCCAAAACCTTGTCACGGATCCCTTTATTTCCGAAATGGTTTGAAGGAAGGAAGGAAGGAAAAGGTGTTGGGAGGGACCCTTCGACATTAAAGCAGAGTGAAAAGGGACCAACAAGTGTCGCAACAGCAACTACGTTGGGTTTAGCTCCAGCCGGTGAGCGCTAGGAGATGTCTCAAACTGTACTAAGAATCGGCCGACATTTGACCCATAAGAACCCAACATGTCATGGCTCGCTTGGAGACGTTGCGTGATTAAGGTATAGAAAGGGCATGAATCCTATAATAGTGACATCTCCAGTATAATAAACAGTAGCCGGGAGCGCGGATATTTCTCCGCTGTCTGCTGGTGGATAAGTCGACAAGAGATTTCCATTTAGCACGGCTTGGCACTTCGGGCATTTGCTCGGTTACCGCGGGTTTTCCCCGTCTTAGGTTATTCGTAAGTTAGTGAGGGAGCTAGAGGGACAACAGTTTGTCACCAGCTTCCTTCGCGTCACACTTTGGTGGGCTTGCAATCAGCTACCGTTTGTCTGTGCAATACAACCCGCGGCCGCTGTCAACGGATTTTGCATGGACAGAAGAGAAGGAACGAGAGTCCAACGTACGAGAATTAGGGACCTAGTAAGCAAGGTTAAATTTCGTGTCCACATTCTCCATATGATTTGCCTCTTAGCTTCGTGGGAGACCACGAAATCACCCTTTTAGTGTTACACTCGGCTACACGATTCCCCCACCAGTAATGTTGAAGACAAAGACAATGTAACCTTGTCTCTGTAATTTCTCAGTTTCCAACAGATAGATTTCCAAACCCGCGGTTCATGCGTGTGTGCGTTCCTGCCGAGGAGCCGGATCTTCATAATTTTTTCTCTCTTATCTGCCAACGAAGACGAGTACAGTAATGATCATCCTTCTGACCCTTCATCCCCACGTGGATTTGCACCTGCAACAGCAAGGATTTATCGTTATGCATCTTGTCGTTTCACCATGTCCATTGTTCACAGAGAGCGAAGGATCCTGAATTTGTTGTTAAAATCTCCGTGGCTTCGGCGGCGCGTTTGACCCTAGCATGCATCTCCTGGCTCAGCTGTCCAAGCCAAAGGGGTATTTATGTTGTAAAATAAGCATGTTCACTAAATCAATTGGCCACAGTCTTTCTCATCACTATGAAATATACGAGTCACCTCAGCCACAAGCGTCGAGCTAATTACACTTGCAAAGCTAGTGGCGTTAGAAGTCGTTAGCTTCCAATCAATGATGGATTGCATCGAAGCAGAAAGGGGTTCCGTCATTAGCTGAACTCTGTCCTGCTTTAGCTGCAGCCGTAGCCCGGCTCTCCGGGTGGATGCGCGATCAATGCGCCGGCCCAAAAGTCCCCAGTTGTCGGCGGTTTTGCCAATCTTTACCACAACTACTGTTGATGGCCTGAGGGACCTCGGTGTCGGAACCTCCATTCCAAGGTTACTCCTGGCCTGACGCTAACAGATGACTGGCGCACAGCACGATGATATATATCTACCGGGACCCAGGGATCTGCCACTGTAACCAGGATTCGTAATGGAATTCAGATCGGCGTTGGTTTCAACAGTTCTTGCACTCCATTGAACCCAATGATCTGAGTTTTCTGTTTCTTTACTTTGTCTCTTCTTAAGTCTTTGATAGCTCCCACTGTGACAGGGTCGCAATGGAGGATGAGCGAGGAACTCGCTTGCTTGCGTCCATTTGGACGTTGGCGCTTCTAAGTCTTATCCTATTGTTTCTGCGTGTCTACTGCAAGCGATGGCGAGGCAAAGGATTGTGGTACGATGACTGGTTCCTCATCGCGGCTCAGGTTAGTTGGAGCTCTACCTACTTAATCAACAACATCGAAGCTGTTGGTGCTGACCAGTGGATCTGTCCCGCCTTCTAGGTAACACTAATGATCTCTGTCGCCATCAACACGTATTTGGTCTCTCTGGGGTTCGGCCGGCACAAGGCAACCATCAGCGACGAAAACTTGAAAACGATCAACCTCAACACTATCGTCGGAGCTGCTTTCGGCATCATCGCAACGACGACTAGCAAAACGTCCTTCGCTATCACCTTGTACCGAATCGCCACCAACGTATGGATGAAATACTTCCTAATCTTCGTCATCATAACCATCAATGTCTCCATGAACTTGGTCTGGATCTTTGGTCTTGCCAAATGTTCTCCTCTTGCCCGAGTCTTCGATAAATCGGTACCCGGTACTTGCTGGGACCCAAAGGCGCTACTTCAGTTCCAATTATTTGCTGCCTGTGAGTTTTGGTGAAGAATTAACAAGGTGGTTGCCCTGTTGACTAATTCTGTCCAGACTATTCGGCCGTTCTCGACTTTGTCTTGGCACTCCTCCCCTGGGCCATCTTGATGCGAATGACTATGCGACGACGAGAGCGACTTGGAGTAGCTGTTGCAATGAGTTTGGGTGCTATGTAAGTTTGGTTCGCTTCCTAAAGTACTTATCCTTGTGAGCTAACGTCTTTTTCAGTGCTGGTATCACCGGTATCGTCAAGTCTGTCCTTGTGGTCAGCATGAAGAGTGACGATATCACCTACGACCGCGTTGACCTCACGATCTGGACCCTGACTGAACCTGCCGCCTCTATCATGGCCATCTGTATTCCCGTTCTGTATGTTTCGTGCCCTTACTATTTTTTTATTTGAATTGGTTGGAACTAACCCAAGACAGGCGAATGCTTTACCACGAACTGAAGTCAAGCTCGAGAAGTTACAATAAGAACAAAACCGGTACAAATCCCAACGATCACGAAACGAGAAATACAGTCCCATCTTCAACTCTCAGAGCATCCAGAAGATATGGTCCCAACTCGCGATACGGCCGAAATTCCGTGGTTATTATGTCAGGCTGGCAAGAGTCGCAAGAACATCTCCAGGATTCCGACGAAAGCATTAGCGGGTTGAAGGTATCCGCGAATGCTGGCGGAGTTCTGAAGACTGAGGAGGTCAGGGTTCAACACGAGCGCCTGAGCACCTTCAGCGACGAAAACTCGATAGAGTTGAGGAACTTGCCGCAAGCTCAGGTCAAAGGTGGTTATCAAAGCCATGATCGAGCACCTTCTTTCTAAAACAAAAATCCTTTTTTCTCCCATTCATATTATTTACTATGTATTTATGATACCCTCTTACAACAGACAACATCCATTTGCTTGCCCAGTGGAATTTAATTTTGCCAAGTCATGCAGTCAGGTCCACACGCGCAAAGGCACTCGAGTCATCGAGTGTTGTCTAAGTGACGTACCTACTCAGATCTCGACCATCGATCACGGTCCGTTCCGTCTTAGATCCAGACTGGAATTTTGTCAGGTACCATTTGCTGTTTCAGGGACCTATATTTAGCATTACGTGCCTACCTAGTTTTGAAATCGATAGTGTGACAACACTAGGCGCGCCACCATGTCAATGGCAGATAGCTTTTGCACCAAATTATCGAGAATGTCAATCGGTAGACGTAAAATGACGCTTATCATAGCACCGCTTCACTCAAGAGCCACAATTAATACCTGGGAGAGCAGAGTTAAAAAAGAACATGTCTTTCAAACGCTTTTAACTCAGATTTGCCTCATGTAGCCTCCCACTACTCACTCATTCAACTCATGCTGCAATATCTGCAATTGCATACGCTCGTTTCAACAGTTATTTTTCAGCACAACAAAATGACTCGCACGTCCCTCCTTAACTTTGTGGCTATCACTGGCCCCCTTCTCGAAGCGAAAGCCGGCCCCTGCCGGCCAACAACCACAACCATGACAAGCCTCGCTGAGACCTCATCGGCGGCTGCCCCCGATTCTGCGACTACTCGGTTCGGTATTGCTACTGTTACGGCTCTCGCGGATGCTACCACTATGACTAAAACGGGTTCCATGACTTCTACTGCAGCATTAGCCTGCCTCGAAACTTAGCTGCTCATTAACCTAGGACTCGATGATAAAACTGACAATATCTCACCCTGGACTATTGGTAATCTCGACATAACCCAACGAGAACCTCATGCTGGAGTTAACGCTGTATACGCTATACAAGTTGCATTCAGAAAGACGTGATTTATGTAAGCTTATAAGTTGATACTTGTTACAGTAATGAGTAGTTTCTCGATTTGGCTGCATCAGCGGCTATACGTGCTAAGGAAACGTAACCGCAAATAAGTACAACTCAGCCAGGCCTCAATCCCATATTATGCCCTCCAACAATGCATACATCATGTGAGCTTTTCTAGCCGACTTACTTGTTGCTCTTGGACGACCAGATTGAAGTAGCGCCACCGTTCTTGTACAAAACGAGGTTTCCATCATCCTGGACAGCAACGAATGTCTTGTTGTCGCCGCTTAGGGCAGCAGTGTTGGTATGCCAAGTGGATTTACCATTCTTGTCACTACAGGAAAAGTGCGGTCAGCAATATTGCAACGGACCCTCGGTGAAGAAATACTCGACTTACTAGATACAGAAATTACCGTCACCTTGCATAACGGCACCCTTTGCGTTGCCGACCTGCTGGTCGGTGCTCTGCCAAGCGCAGCGATTGTTGTAGTAAATGGCGAGCTTACCGTCGTCTTGCATACGGAGCTCAACGGAGCGATCTTTGCTGAAGATGCTCATGCCGACCATGAGCCAGTCGCCGTTGTCAAGAGTGCCGTAGCCCATTTTGAGTGATTGGAGATGAGTAGTTGATCGAGAAAGAAGTGCTGAGTGATGATGAGCAGAATTAAGAGTTTTTGATCGGGGTGAGGGAGGTATTAAAGGCTTTTATAGACACAAAGACCTCGAGTATCATTCGGTAAGGACGAAGAGAGTACCTTCTATATCGTTGTACCTACAGAGGTGTTTGCCTGTCTCACTATAGCCCTTACAAGCCGTCCAATACATCCAATCATGTTTAACCTGGCTACCTTACGGTACCGTGCATAATGCAGTCACACGTATCAGTCTTCCTTTATAGGCCTCTGGCATGGTGTTTACTCCCCCAGTCTGTCGGCACATTGACTCATCGAGTTCCGACGAGCGATTTGGACACAGTATGGCAACAACCAAGCGGTAAGTGGCTTTCTCCGAGTCAAATTTGCTGTGTATTTGAGAGAAGAGAAATCATCGTCTCCTTCCACTGGCTGGCCTGCCTTATCGACCCTGGTTACAAAGTCATCACCATTAGTCCAGGAAACACCATTCTACGTATTATCTTACCGCTGGCGGTTGTTTCTCCTACGTATCTTATTTTCGACAATCGAAGCAAGTTTATGCATTGTGACCCTTCTCCATGAGTTCCTGCTGCGGGAACTGATGTCTTGGGAGAGAAACTCTCGTGCTTAAGAAGATTAATTATTAACTGGAGTTTACCCATAGTGCCGTCTACATTATATGCCTTGTTCAAACTGACTGCCCCGCCAAATAGGACCCACCCATCACGACCAGCAACTTCCCCGAGGAGTCAGGCCTCTCGGGCGACGTACCTGCAAACGGTGAGGCCATCCCTACAATGGAAGCAATCTAAAATAGCTCCTCTCGATTCTCAAGGGAAATAGGATGTTGGCGTTTTGACTTATGAGGTAAGATATGTGCATTTGGGTGTCAAAAAGCCATTCGATGATGTATTTGATCGTATAGAGAGCATAACAAGAAGGCTAGAGAGGATGACATAGTGGAAGCTGTTGCGTTGGGCATATATATATTACTAAGACGAGGGATAGCTAGAACAAAGACATGTAATCCTTATTTAATATGGCAAAGCTTAGCTACCGATTGGTCGGTTGAGGCTTTGACTTCTCTCTGATGTTGATCCTCCTACTACCGACAGAAATAAAGGGCGAGATCTGGAAACTGTTGCCCTAAGGCCTACAGTATCTCGTTTTTATCAATCATTGGTTGAAACAAGTCTCATAGTTAGGCCACAGAACTGCTAGCCACACATATAATATGTAAGGTTATCAATAGAAAAAACAGAGCTAGTCAAGTAAAATTGTCATAAAGCCAGTTGGAGTACCTATTACCGCCAACGACCATCTTACGCTCTTCCTCAGTTGGCTCAGTCGCAACGCCACAGTCCAAAAGCTCCGTTCGGTGCGCAGTAATATTCACGCGACCAAGCTGCCCCGCCTTGCCACCGGTGAGAGAGTTCATAACTGTCAGTGAAGTCTCAAATCCAGACCCGGCTTGAGCGCTGTTGAGAACAAGAACAGATCGACTGGTATCCCCATAGCTCAGTGACCAGCAGGAGCCGCAGAATGGAGAGTCGGGTTTATCAATCTCCTCATAACCCGCTATTTGATACGTGACATCGCCTAGCGTCGCCCAATCTTGACCTTCGACGATTCGGCTGTCTTTCCAGCACGCCAACTCAGTGAGTGGGAGAGTATCATCATCGTAGAATCCGATATATGTGACTATATAAATTAGCAATGAACACAAAACATTTGATTTAGATCTCTTACCAGTGATTGCAGTACTCAAAGAGACGCAGGAAGTAATGGTAGCCAGTCGAGATATGTACATTTTCAAACCAAGACGAAAAAGTCAGATAGAAAACTACAGAAAGGGTGATTAAATTTGATTTTTGGAGAGACAAGTAGCACAGGAACAATAAAGCACCACTTCAAATTTATTCTGCTTCTTCCACTGCTGGCATGGGATTATGGCTGTTGGTTGTTGGTTGTTGGTTACGTGACGTGACTGCATTTGCTCAAGGGTCTCAACATACTGGACTCATGAGACATAAATAGCGAGCCTATTGACTTCACTCGGTAACTCAGGCGAGCTCGCTACGGGTTTCACGTACATAATTGGGGCGATCTAGACTATCACGGACCCTTGATGGCTTTGGCCACGTCTGAATACCTCGCATAGGCTTAAGCGCCTTCTGATCGTGACTCCGACATCAATGAATAGAACCCCCTCAAAGCCCCCAGATGTACAATTGGGAACTTTAATTAACTCTAAATTAATTTCTGGATATGGTCCATCATGAAAAGCCTTAACCACACACTTATGCTAAAGCTTGAACGATAAACCTTACTCAGTTTAAACATCACTTTTGGACTTTGACCTTGCTAATATTTCTTGTTCTGCAAGATTTTTAAAGCCTAATACTGGCTTTGTCCTTCAATTCGTAGCTAAGAGTCATACTAGATAAATTTCACGAAGAACCCTATTAACTTCATTCCTAGGTATAAATATCCCAACCCTCCACCATCAGTAGCTTCTGGTTGTTTTTTTAAATCATTAACCAACGCCAACTAACATCATGGCGTCCAGCAACCCTTTCGAGAAGCTTCCAGCAGAACTCATAACCATTATCCTAGGTTCCTTTGAGTGCGTCAAAGATGTGCAATCCATGATATGCGCCGACCCTCACATTTTACGTGTCTTCCTGCGAAATCATTCTCTTGTCCTCCGGCCGCTTTCACAAGCTCTTTATCATCACTTTCCAGGTAAAAGTCTTACGCAAGCAGTCATCGCAAGTCGCCTACAGCAGATCGAGAATAAGTTACATTGTCAAAATCCGGTTCAAGCTAAAGAGTTGGTCGAACCAATCCTAACATCATCACCAAACCCGTTTTCACTGACGCGGTTTAATCTAGGAGCCCTTTTAGAACTATATCAACTCCATCGCGAAGCAGACACTTGCGTGGCTCATTATTCGAAGACCGCTTGGAAAATGCCACAACATATGGCAGCTAGACAGAATGAAGACAATTCTGTGCCGCTGTCAGAAACAGAAATTCAACAGATGCAAAATGCATATCTACTCTTTAATACATGTCGGCATACTCTGTTTTTCAGCACCTCCCTTTTGCAAGATTATGGTGATGATGATGATGATAATGAATACTTATTCCATCTATAAGGACAAGCTACTTTGCATCAGGGCCTTCCAGGCAGTCTTCGTGTTCTTGCTTAAAGAATACGAGAGCCTCTCAAATCGGGTTCATGGGCGAATTTCTAGCCCAACCTATCCAACATCGCTTCAATCTTTGGAGATCAAGCGGCGAATACAAAGACGGCAATTTCTACAAAGAGGCCCTTGCAATGGTCTCCAGTTCCCAGCCTATATTTGCTCTTAAGGTTACCGCCAGCACCTCAGTTACCAAGATGTAGACAACATATCACAGGACGGAAGTATTCTGTCCTTGTACATGCAATACCTTGAGCTCCAAGCTGACCGCCGCACTTGCCCAATGGTCGTGGGTCCTAATCTGGAACATCCACTCAAGACACTTTGTTATAGTACTGATACATCGCATAAGTTCTGGGCAAGAGCATTTATGCTAGATATGGACAGCGATGAAAGATGGGCATGGCTTGAATATGAATACTTCTAGCGACATCTCTCTTCGGTCATGGGTGCATACTTCGCTATCAAGTTATCTACACTTATGCCCAAGAGACGTGTTCGGAATGTAAGTAAGCTCCCATTGAAACTAAACTCCTGAGAATATTCAAGTTTAAAGATGCGACAGTATTTCGAACATCATTCTGCATAGTGTCTGGACCGCAAACGTATACGCCAAGCGAGTTAGTAGATGTCATCTCAATTGCCACCCTTTTCACAACTCCTGGCAAGTCGGGTCGACCGTGGAGTTCGTCGAATGCTACCGGAATTTCGGTCCCCTTTTCGATTCCTGATTCTTCCGGTCTGGAAACTGAGCTTCTGTTCAATGGGATGATTGATACAGGTGAGGCTCCGCCGGTATGATAGAGTTGCACATGCAATCTCGAGACCACCTTGTCTGTGTACTTGAGCAAGGTTTCACTCACAACTTATCGATACCAATTACAGCTCTCGACATCTCGGCATGCTAATATCACATGAAGTGGTGAAAATGGGCATCTGTTCGTTTGATATCCTCTGCAGTCTTCGTTGTCCTCGGCTGTGTGGGCTGCGATATACTGTTCGATAAAAGGCAAAGTCCATCCAGCTCCAGAACTTCCTGCGATGACAACGAGATGGTTGTGGTTCAGGAATAGTTGTGTGTTGATACCCCCGTATGGTCCACCCACCAGCACTGAGACCTGAGCTCCTATGTTTTGTAAGGCGTGCTCATACAACTTTGCTGTAAAACCTTTATGTCTCTTGAGATAGAAAACAAGGACCGACTGGTCAGCTGGAGACGTGGATGGTAAGGAGCAAATCGTAAATGGATGCGATGACAAGGCTTCTGAAAGCCCAAAGCCAGTAAAGCGTAGGAAGCAGTGCTGTCCTATTTCCCATGTGAAGTTTGCAGGAATAGTGACACGGACGAAACCGTTGTCCTCTACTGTGACATGAGCCTTTGTTTGAACACGATGCTCATACAAGGTTCGTAGCCAGGGATAGATACAGCAGGGTACATATACCGCGGCAGTACCTATGAAGTAGTGCCTGTAAGGAAGCGACAGTGTCAGTGCTTGACAAGGTGGAAATGAAAAGCAGCTTTACCAGGATGTTAGGGTATAGTCACAGTGCCAAAAGAAAGTGATCATGAATATAACAACAGCAAAGAAGTGCGTTGCCTTGAAGAATTCATATCCCAACAGTTTTCTTGTTTCCATGTAAGCTAGTAGTTATAGGCAAGATATCCAGATACACTTACCGAATGGCACTATGAGATGCAAACGTAAGCCAGGCTTGGAAGATCAAAGCGACGATACCTGTCCAATAAAACAAAAGGTTCATCTTGAAATGCATTTTCATATCGTGAAATCTGATATGATAAACAATAAACGGGAATGTGTGCAAGAGCGCAAGTATAAAAAAGACGTAAGCTATCTATCGATGGAACACTTGGAGCCTCTCGTGCGAGACGCCTGTCAGTAAGGTAATCCAGTTCGTTTTTGTTGCAGTAGCACCATTACTGTTAAGTAATGATTGAGGAGGTTATAGTAGGCATTGCAAGACTAACAATACAAATGGCATGCACCCCAAAGCCAACCATCCGGATCTTGTTTCTAATGGTGGTGAGCCGCCAAAGTCTAGCGAAGGCCAATAGTACGGCTGAGGGATTAGATCCATACCTATCACACATTAATAATCGTTCGCCTTGTGGCTATTTGACTCACTCACAAAAAAAGAAAATTGTTCCAGCAAGTCCCAGTAACAACACTCCAACGGGAGCCGAGTTAAATCCAAGTGATGTAACATGGAACCCACGATATAAAAAATATCTTATGATGGCAATTAAAATGCGCCAGGGTCTAGATCCACGGAATGTCGGAAATGCAAGACCAAGAATGTAGTAGGATACTAAGTGACCGATTGCAAAGAGTCCAATGCCACTCATGAAGAAGGCTACTGTAGGCAAAGAGTATAGCAATGTACCTTTTCTACGTTAAATGGGACTTTGTGTGAGAGGTTTATTAATTTGGTAAATTTTCAGCTTATCAGAAATGCCATCTTTTCATATACCAGGCGCATTGCGCTTCTGTGAAGCCATCGCAAGTAAATGCACGGCTCCCAGTCAACTGAATTGGGGGCGTGAGCCATGCCGCTGACTCCATAGATGAGAAGAGATCACCGCTGATGAGTAAATCGAAGAATAAACGCTCGAGGCGATATCTGTGAAAGACTGTTGGGGTGGGATGCTTATGTCACAATCTTGACAGTACAGGCTACCGTCCTCGAGCTTAACATGTGTGATTTTGAAAAGGTCAGAAGGGGTGACGATGACCCAGAGAAGTTTATAAACAGAAAAGAAAGTAAGAAATGGCAATTCATCGATTGGATTTCCGACTAGATACAAAGCAATGTAAGTATGTTTTCTCCTTGACCAAGTAGGTAAGTAACTGTCTTATAACTACCCAGCAAGGGTCTTATGCCGAGTTCCGTAGGCATTACCTATGATAAGTCGAAGTATTAATCAATCATCATTCGACCTGGAGTATGTTTCCGCTCCATCATCGCATAAACGGCACTTAAGTAAGTTTGAGCAAGTTTATCAGCGACGATAAGACTATTCCTTATCCTGTAACACGACGATATAAACTTGGGTAAGTAATGGTCGGTATACACCTGTGATTATACCTAAGTTAATATTTGGTGGTTTTCCACGATTTGCAAAGTCTGATATAAACAAGTTACTATACAACCCCGTTTCAAGTTCGATGGAAATGGACATGACTACGTCGGGCAGGTCAATGCCCATGTCAACTCCCAATGCCAACACCATGGATACGGATATGAACATGGAGCAAATGAACATGGCTTTCTTCACTTCTACCACGATACAACTCTGGACAAAGCCCTTCGCCCCAACGACCACGGGACAATATGCAGGTGTTTGCATTTTCCTCGTTGCCTTGACCACCATATTCCGCATACTGCTTGCTATACGGGTCAACGTTTACAGCATCAGGGATGGTCTCAGGCAGAGGCGTACCAAAGGCCTGCTGACGGAGCACCCAGCCATTGAGATTGGACAGCGCCCATGGAGAGCGAATGAAGCTGCAATGCTGGGAGCAATAGATGTCGTGATTGCAGGCGTCAGCTATCTATTGTGAGTGTTCTTACCTAATATTAGATCACTAATTAAAGAGATTGACTAGTGTTCTGTCAACCTAGAATGCTTGCTGTTATGACAATGAATGTTGGCTATTTTCTCGCGGTATTAGCTGGGGTATTTCTCGGAAGTGTTATTTGTAGTCGATATTCGGCAAATTCTAGTCTACATTGACAAAGCGCGAGATACTCCTCTCGCACGTAGAACCAGGTTGTCTCTTCTGAAACCATTAAGAACACCTATATAGAATCCATCGCTAAGAGCTTATGGACTTCAAGAATCTCCTATCGCAGGCAACAATTACGGAATACATATAAGTTCTTTGGTGTTTTACAGGCATACCTTTGGGACTGACGGGCGTGGACAGGAGAGACTAGGTTATGCAAGGAAAACGATCGCGTCGAAGTAGTGTAGCCGAACGATGGGAGTGAGAACAAGATTTTGAGGTGGTGGGTAGGTATTTCGTTGTTTCTGGTGTTCCGGACACCCCCGGTCTATAACAAGTTTCCCAATGTCACATGAATTCTCAAATATGAGTCAGATGTGAGAAGTATTGCAAGGCGTTCTGTCCCTTGAAAATCACTGTCGTTATCAGATTTGTATACATCTTATTTGGTGCGAACGGCCCTGCACTGTTGGTAAGACACTGTAGTAGGAAGCCCATCAACATCAAGTAGCATCGGTCACTGGACGACTTCAAGAGGAACTTGTTTATATAAGAATTGCGTATGTATGCATAAGTTTGTACGGTCATATAAGAGTAGATACATGAATCACACAGCTCTGCTGCGTATGAAAATTTGAACCGACTAGCGGTACCCGAATAATATCAGAGCGAAGGGCTGCCCATTGCCCTGCTCCTTGGTCCCAAACACAGTCTGGAGACTAGAAACCACTTGTCTCAATCCTCGTGAAAACATTTTAGATTCTCTGGACAGCAGGACCAGGAATCTGGTAAGAGCTGAAGGATGCGTAGAGGTTGAAGAGAATGCCAGGGTCCGAGGCGGAGTAGAACTTGGTGAAGTCACCACCACCGCTGAGAGCCTGAGAGCCACTACCAGTGACCTTGAGGTTGATGCACTGGGGGTAGGCTTGGGCACCGTTCTGCTGGCCAGCAGAGTGAAGGCCAATGATCTCGTGTCGGAGAACGTAGTTACCGGCCTTAAGGTTTCGGGGCACGGTGAACTTCCAGGCGAAACCATCACGAATGAGCTCGTCAGATGCCCAGTTGCCAGGGTTGCTACCAGAGACGTAGCCCCTCTCAGCGACCTTGGTCCATCGAAGGCTTCCCTTGTTGATGCTGGCAAAGTCTCCGCTGACAGGAGCGAGGTACTCGGTGACGGGGCCGTGGTGAGACTCGGGCCAGGTGTCCCACTTCAGGGTGATGACATCACCAGCAGCGACGGTGACAGCGTTGCTGACGGGTCGGGCGCTCTTGTGGCAGATGATGTCGGCAGTGCCAAAAGCAGCGGGCTCAACGAAGCCGTTGTCCTGGTTTCCGGCAGCCCAGCCAACAGCGTTGGAGGGAGCACCGTGGGGAATACCACCAGTGTACTCCTGGCCGCCAGCGACAACCTTGGCAACGTGACCGTGAGCGTTGACCGAGCTGGCGAGAAGAGCCACGGCGGCAAGGGAGAGAGTGTTGCAGTGCATGTTGGTGGTTTAGAGACTGGAGGGCTTGTTGGGCAAGGTTGTATGGCTGGAAAGACAATGAGAGACTTGTTTGGAAGGCTGTGATGATATTGACTTGAGGAGATTCAACAATGGTTTATATATCTAAATCCTATCAACTCGACGTATCGTTCGTTTCATCAAAATGAGTCTATACACAAAACGAATTGTCCCGTTTTGTCGACGGAACCTAAATCGACCTAGACCAATTCGTGACATGCACAAAGGAGATGTAACGTCCGTGATTACCAAACTGAGCCATGATCGTCATCGACAACAACGAAAAAAGCGATATTAAAGGAGGGTTTCCCTACGTAGCAGCCAAGCAAACTCAAGTGGTCACTGGTATGAATTTGGTTTACTCATGGGCCAACCATAACCCGGCAATTGTCGGCCATCGGACAGAGAAGCCGGCAGTCGATTCGCTGTGGACATGTTTCAGGAACAGTTACTGACCAAGGTAATTCGGAATTAGAACCCGTTTTTCCCGCCATGTAAGCCAGTCATACCTTGGCAAGATCCGCTCTGAAACGAGAATGGCGACAGCATCTACAGAAAGCTTCAGGTTTATAGTTCAATAAGGTCCCTTGGTAAAACGGGTAGTTGGAATATCATTCGTGGAAATAAAGAGCTTAATTAACTTGCATCTGTTGAATCGCAAGGGACGTCCCGCATACAAGTGTCCTTTCGCTGTGGATCGCATGCCGCTCTAAACTTTGTTTTCCGAGACGTTGGTTAAGCATGAATTGTAATGCAGGATTTGGAATCACTCCGAGAACTTGGGATGAACAGTATTTGCGGCGCAGATTTCTGCAAGTCAGATGGCAGAAGCACTCAACAATACCTACTTCCGGAGCTTCTTGTGCGGTTATCCTGGGGTTGTGTTGAGACAAGAGGCACGAGATACAGAACCGCCACATGCACATGAGACAATCGAGGAAACAGATCGAGAGTTCATGGATGAGGGATCCAGATGTGATCGAGTCATGATCCAATCGCAGTGGAGAAGGAAAAGAGGCTCCAGCCAACTTGGGATAACTTTTCCCGTATCCCTGTTTCAATTTTGTCAGTTTCACGGCCCGATGTTTCCACGCATGAAGTTTAATTAACAGGAGACAAGCAGCCAAGGGACTCGGTTTTTCTTTCTACTTGTTGTTGTTTCTCTCACTCGGAAAGACGGGACGAGATGGATTGTTTGAAACAAGACATCCCACTGAGGTTGTTGATATCTCACAATTACTAGGAAGTCATCTGACTCTGTCGGTAGTTCATTAGAGTTTGTCTTTACTTTCAGGCCGAATCTAATGGCTTGCGGTTTATTTTTAGCTCTTTCGATCATCCTTGTCATTTCGATCGAATGTGGTAACACATAGGCTAGCGTCTGATGAGTCTCGACAGACTATTCGATATAGGTCATCTTCAGAAAATCGATTAGCACATACGACCAAAGGTAGTGGAAAATACGGGATCCCGTCCGCTCTCCCATAGTCAAGCCACTAACCGGCGGATTAGTAGTTGGGTCGGTGACGACCAGCGAATCCCCGCTGTTGTATGTTTTTTGCCTTTTGTCATTTCCCAAGAAATGAGAAATTCTCAGACCCTCTATTTTTGGCTTGGCTGACCAATTGAGAAGAGCATATGGGTCGGTAGATCGGTAGATCTCCTTCCGTCACCAAATTTGACAGCAATCAATCGCTGGATGTAACGCTATCTTACCCTACATGTTTATTGTCAGTTTGCATTGGGAGGCTGCTCATGTTCAAACAATGATCACGGTCTCTCAGGGCCATCTGGATACTTTCACTGATTTATTAGGAAAGAAACGTTTCTTTCTAGCTCCATCACGTTGGTTCTATTGTGTTGTGGTGTTGAAATGTTGCCATTACTTGTCAGATCAATTCTTTTGCCAATTGGGATCCGATCAAATCGAAGGATGTCCTGCCGTCATTGAACGAATCAGCTGTTGACATTTAATCTTGGGAAAATGAGTGTAGCAACCTTGGAAACTAGCTGAGACAGAGAATCCACTATGTAACGTGAGGAGTTTACTGCAGAAACTAACGTAACTTTGTGACAATGGCATGGTTGCATCGCGTCGGATGAACTTGGTGGCGTTTTGGTGTTTTTACCAACACGTGTATGGAAAGCATGATTTGACAAACTTCACTGACGATTGTCTGATAATTTCAGCGATTGCGCTCCGACACTCACCACTCCTTATCTGAGAGGCATTGATGTTATACTGGAATGTTACCATGCTGTATGTATCACAATACTACGTAGTATCATTTAGTAATCAAGCTCAACAAAGTATCGACGCGTACTTTGTTTCATGTAGTAACAAGTGCATTCGTTGTGAGTGCGCACATATGTTATCGCTTACTTGCAAGTAATATGGTTATAATCCATAGTGCAGAGATACCTCTTCTTCGCAGCCCAGGCAAGCCCAAGTAAGCAATGAAAAGGTTGAGCCCAAACAAGTGCGCGTTCGCGTCACCTAGAGGCAGTGTAATACTAGGGACACAGTGGGTAAAACCGTGTGCAAGCACAGAGGGAATTACCCGAGATCCAAAAATAGGAATAATCAATGTTGGTCTCCTTAGAGACCTTTCAGAGATTAAACTGAAAAGAACAGATACTACACTTGATCTAAGCCAAAAGGCAAAGAGAGCTAAGGAGAAAAGGAAAGAAGAAAACGTAGCTTGGACAGGCTATAAAAGATTTTTATAGAGGAAAATTAGGCGGTGAGAGATAGCCGAAGGCAGAATGACAGACAGTAAAACAGTAGTTGGTTGGTGATGAAATTCGGTGGTTGGGAAGCATTTCGCTTAGAACAAGCGACGCATCATTGACCAACAAAAGTCGAATGGTGGATGAGACCCGTTTACTCTTCATTTCCCTATCTTTTGATGTGGATATCAAACCGGCAACGCACTAGATAGGCATTCTCTGGACGCGCCTGTTCACGAAGTGTTCGTGTCTCATTACGACATCTACTACACGTAAAGAAAAGCACAGTTCTTTACGCGTCATTTCTCCATAGAGCCACGAGGTAATGGCGCGACTATTGATATGATTGTACTTCGTTCAAAACATGTTGCTAGCTAGTTACCTTAGCCACGGCATGCCGTTCTTGATCCAAAACATTACTCTCAGAGTCTTGATAAGCGGCGGTATCGCCTAAAGCAGTCTCGAAGTTATCTTCAGCATATTGCTCGGCATCAAATCCATGTATCCAATCCTCTCGTGGAAACCCAATGCTGCTAGGATCCTTCTTGGCTTTCTCCCAGTCAGTCTTGTGCCAGAGATCTCTAGTTGATTCGCCAGTCTTTTGAACCGCTCTGACGCGCTCGTATCTAGATGTCGTGTTAGTATAGTACCCATGTTGGTAAATGATGCGATTACAAACCTCAAATTTTGATGAGCCTTGAGCGCTTCTGGAACGTTCCCTTTGCCAGCGCGCTTGAGGCAGACAGCGATTGTCACACCATCCTCCATAGCTTGCGTCGCACCTTGAGCGCTTGTCGGAAGGAATGGATGAGCAGCATCTCCGAGTAACGCGATACGTCCTTTCTGGCTGACCCATGTGGGTAATGGGTCGCGATATACGAGCTTCCAATCCACGATTGACGGTGTCTTCTCGACAATTGCTCGGCAAGTAGGGTCCCAGTCCTTGAGAAGGTCCAAGACATCTTCGATCTTACCGGGAAATGACCACGACTCATCGATGTCATGGTCATCTTTATGGGTCAGAACCCAGCAGCAGTCTTTTCCACCCTTGAGGGTTGAGAACAAGAAGTGGACATCTTGCCCAATCCAGCCATTGAAGGTATCGCCATTCTCGCAGAACTCCTTTGTTCGAGGATCTTGTATCATGTCTTTGTTTGAGAACCTGGAGACCCTGATCAGCTGCCTTGCTATCTTTTGTTTAAGACCCATTACAAACCAAGCTCTCCAAATAGCATACCCACTACTCTTGGGCTTATCGACATAGCCCAGAACGAGTTCTCTCGCTTTGGACCTCACACCATCAGCGCCAATCACGACATCACCAAGGACCTAAGCCAAATTTTAGCTTAGTAGACATGTGCAGCTGGAAGATAAAAACCTTTTCTCCGCTCTTCAAAACGATACCTGCATTTGTCTCATTCTCAAAATACTCGGATACTCGCTGGCCAAGATGGATGGGAATGCCAAGCTCATCGCGTGCATAGTTGAAGATTATCTCGTGAAGCTCGCCTCTATGACCATTCAAGACTGGAGCCTCAGGGTTCGGCGGTGGTCGCTTTTGGTGATAGACAACCTCACCAGTGTCCCATTTGTGGATTCGGAAGCCGTAGTCCTGTATGTTGATGCACAATGGACGCAGTCTGGCTACGACTTCGCCATCAGACCATCGGTGAAAGATTCTACCGGCGTTCCCACCAAAGGATATGATGTCACCAAGAACTTTGAGCTCAGGGAAGGACTCATAGATCTCAACATCGTGGCCTTGCCGATGGCATTCGATGGCGGCTGTCAATCCGCCGAATCCAGCACCGACGATAATGACTTTGATACCTGACTTGCTCGCTGACATGATCTGGATGGAAATATGCTGATAAGACCTGCAGCTGTGAGAGCAACTTCATACACAACTTAAGTCATGGCCAATGTAAGTCGGATGCCATTGTCCTTGCCAGGTAAGCCGAGGTCTGTATATCCGGACTGTTCCCCGCACCCGTCGGATCAGATCTGCATTCGCAACCAGCATCCTTCGATGGCCAACAAGCCCAATTGGTCATACTATTGTAATAAAAACTAGACAATATCGGCATTGAAGTCTCATCTTCAGCTGTCAGAAAGCAAAATACCTTGGCACTTGAGATCTTCTGCAAGATTAATCATGGGATGGACGACTCCCGCAGTCTTGGCTGTCATGTAATTGCTTTGTCAGTCCTCGTCGGTGACAACGTACCGATGGAAATGATTGCGGCAAGTAGGTCGGCAATTGAGGTTGTAGCAGAGATCCTCCTCGCTTCTTGGCAAGGTCTTATTTGGCGAATAACAAGTTGGCACTGCATGCAACAAGGCCAGCCATATCGCGGAATTGAGCTGAAGATGGGGTGGAAGAGATGCTTGAGACAAAGTCTAGACCCGCCACGAGACTTGTTTGTTACGTGAAGAAACCTCATGCGTTTCTTTGTGATCAGGAGGCTGATTGACGAGTTACCGTATTCTCCCAAGGCACTGAGCGATAGTCGACTGGACTCAGACTCAAGCCTTCGCCAAGTAACACGACCAGCAAGTTTATCGGATATGTTTATCCCAACAAAGTCTCCGATATGAACCCCGCACCCCGCATATCGGTTAGGGGTGAAAGCGCCCGTCTATAGCTCTTCTAGTAAGGGATCTGCATATTGCGACGAATCTAGTATAGTGCAAGCCTCTGTATCATGTTCTCGAGGTTGAGATTTAGATATGAAGGCAAGGGTAGATGCAGGTCTCTTGAACTCGAGTTGATAACTTCTCCTGTGAAACTTTCAACATACACTTGGGAAAAATGACTGCTGCAGAGACAGACACCATTCGCGTACATTGGCGATGCTTCGTCGCCTGTGGAATCATCGTCCTGTCGCCTTTCCAGTATGGCCTCGATTTTGGTCTTATCGGCGGACTCCAAGCCATGCCTGGCTTTCTCCAGGTGAGTCTCAAAGAGACATACCATACAGGAATCGATTCGTGATAGACTGACGTGGACAGGTCTACGGCTACGAAGACCCGGAGACCGCAATCGGATGGAACATCTCGACCACTAGACAACAGCTCATCTCTTCGCTGATGACCCTTGGTGCTTTCATAAGCTCCAGTCTTGCTGGGTTCGTGGCGGCGAAACTTGGCCGGAAGATGTGTCTTTGGCTTGCCTGCATACTTTGTGCTGTTTCGAATGTCATTATGATGGCTACGACTGACATTGGCCCGCTATATCTTGGTAGACTACTCATCGGTTTGGCAAATGGGTACTTCATGACCTTTTCGCAGCTCTACATTCAAGAGACTAGCCCTGCCAAGTACAGAGGATTATTCTTGACTGCATTTCACTTATGCACAACCTTTGTAAGTATTGAAGACACTCGTTTGTAGGCTTGGTGGGCTAATTTCTGTTGTCAAGGGCACTCTTGTAGGTACGATCATCGACTGGACAACTGCCAAGCGCCCAGATCGATCGGCATATCTTATTCCGCTTGGAATGATTTACATTGTACCTATCGTCATATCCATTTCTTTTTGGTTCATCCCCGAGTCTCCACGATGGCTCATTCTTCAAGGACGTTACGATGATGGCCTCAAGTCACTAGGTTGGTTGAGGCCAAAAGGAGCAGATGTGGAAGCGGAGTTGGCTGAGATCCGACAAGCCATTGAAGCAGAGAAAACTATGACCAGTGGCGTCGGAGTACTGGACATGTTTAAAAGCCCGGTCGACAGAAGACGCACCATGATATCAGTTTGCGCAGTTCTTCTGCAAGCTGCCTCGGGTTCCATGTTTATTATTGGTGAGTGGTGTCCTGTAATTACTCCAACATGCTTCTGACCAGATTACAACAGCCTTCAAGGCCTACTTCTTCGCCATGGCAAAGGTAGAAGACCCTTTTGCCATGAGCAACGTCCTAAGCACGGCAGGCTTGACTGCGACCATCATCAACGCATTTATAGTTGTTCGGTATGGACGACGCCGCGTCCTCTTACTTAGCGGTCTTACTATCGCTGGCTTCTTCCAGCTCATCTTTGCGGTTGTTTACGACAGAAACCCAGGCCAGATTGTTACTGGCAAGATACTTGTTGCACTTTCGTGCTTGTATATGGCGGCATATAATGTAAATGATCTTGAACCAACGGGAACGACCCAATACTGATAGTCGATAATAGGGTATGATTGCTCCTTACTCATGGCTCGTTGCTGGAGAAATTCCGTCACAGCGCCTTCGAAGCTACACCTTCGGCCTTGCGGCAGCCGCCGGGTTTCTTGGAGCTTGGCTTATCACTTTCACGGCACCATATTTCATTAACCCGAGCGCACTAAACTGGGGTCCCAGATATGGATACATCTGGTTTCCTTCATGCATGGTTTGTGTTGTTTGGGTGTACTTCTTCCTACCAGAACTAAAGGGCCGTACTCTTGAGGAGATAGATGCCATGGTACGTTGTAAACATGCATTACACCTTGCCTATGGGTTGACTGACAATATTCGTCTTATAGTTCAACGAAAGACTTCCAGCAAGAAAATTCCGAACCTATCATGTACCACGGAATGTTGCTGGGGAAAATGTGGGAAAGTCAAGCATTGAGTTGAAAGTAGTTGAGTCAGAGAGGGTCTAGGAAGAGTTAAAATCAACGGAACTATGCCATTGTGGGTGTCAAATTGCAAATATTATTCACATCCACTTCTCTTGCTACACTAATCTGATGCTGAGAAGACTGGCACCACATATCTATATTGTTTAAATTTGTAGATTAACCATTCTGGAGAAATCAATACGGCTATAGTTTATACCTATAAGCGCAGCTCGGTCTCAGTACCATCCCTTGCAGTCGCACTCACGCTCCTCGGTACGAGTATGCCATCGAAGAACCCATCGAGTCCCAAGGCAAACTGGACATGGGCACGGATGTTCATCCCCATAATGTCTAGAGACCTCAATACAATAAGCGGTATAGCCAAACTCAGTACAGTGAGCCCAGCGGTTCGTACATTCTTCAAAAGTATGGTACGGTACCCCAATCCGGTACGTTCCTCTGCCTCGGCAATACTCACAGTTCGGGTTGAATCTCGCTTCTGCCTCAGGACTACCTCCTTGGGAGCTGACATCTAAGGAATCGGACATGTCGAGTCAAGAACAATGAAATATTAGTCGAGTCTGAGTTATTCTTTATTTAGCATGAGGAAAACCCTGACTTTTGCATAATGAGCAAATAAATTATCGAAAATTTGGACATTAAATGGATCAGGGCGCGTGTTATTCACGGGTCGTCATTTTCTACAAACTTATTTGCAGTCGAAATCGAATCGCTGTTAGAAAACGCTAGCTTCACACATCAGATATACAGACTTGATTTCTAAAGTTACGTGAATATTTCAGCTCCAGTCCGATTTCAAGGAAAGGCAGAAGTTTGCCACATCGCCACTCAATGCAATTACGAGAACACAATTGGATCGCCATAATGAACCAAGTACTATCCTAGCTCCTATACCAGTTACCCTTGTCCCTCATGATGGAAAAAATTGACCGTACATTTATCAGGGAAAGCTTCGCGTCAAACCAAACTTTGGTAACTGAAGTGATTGGGCATTATAAAATAGGCCCAGGTAAGTTTGTGATTGAAGCTGCAGCGACGGCTATTCAAAGATGACTATTTCACGAAAACAGGGTTTTCATATGAGCTGGCAGGTGTTTGTAAGTCAACAATACGAGGTAGAGATGAGAAAGAAATTCGAGTCTCGCCTTGTGAACGAAACGTTGCAATAGAATTACATATGCCGAGCATTCAGCCTCGTATATCTAGATCCTTCGAAATCTGTCGCACCTCATTTGTTCCTTACATCTTGGCATTCAGTCTTGTGCTCTTGACTGTGTCCCAACTCAAACTAGTTGATGAGCGGCTCAAATCTGACAGATGATGATGACCCAGAATACGAAGAACACTAGCTGGGTTGGATATACCATTGGTTGGTCGATTTGAGAGTTGCACCGTAAGCGAATATGATCGACGTGCATGCATTCATTGATACAGCCCAGAAGTAGTGACCGTAATTGGGATAGTTTGGTTGCATGATAGAAACGTAACAGGATCGAGCCAACAAGTGCTGACCGTCGATAATTGTGACGTTGAAAATTTCCCAGATTGGAAAAATGGACCGCGTGGCTGCTGAATCGACTTTATATAGGACACGAAGGCCGTGATGACCTAAAAATAAATAGAATACTCCCTGAATCTGGTCTGAGTTCAAATCAGGAGAACTTATAAAAGGCTCTGATGCTCCTTTCTAAGGAAGCAAGCCACTCGCAAACAACATCTTCAATCACTCAATCATACAGACTTATCAAACATTATACATACCATGCATTTCGCCAGCCTTTTCAGCACTGCCATATTCGCTCTTGCAGGTACTGCAGTTGCAGCTCCTGTTTCAGACACATACTTCGCAAAAGCCAGTGTCTTCGCGATCAACAAAGTGGAAAACGCCTACAAATCAGTCCAGGTTCCCTTGGGAAAGTTGACACACATGGAATATCAACTTACCAGCCTCGAGCTACGTGGCGTCGGGTTCCTTCTCCCTGACGATCAAAAAGTTGATCCTCAAGACATCACCTGTCAGATGTACAAGGATGAGTTCGGTACTCAGCCCGGAAGTGCTGCTTTCAACATGAAGACACCTGCATATGTCAGCCTTTTGAATCCTGTTGAGTTTGGATGGGTGTTGTGCTACGTTAATGTTAATGGCGCCTGAGATCTCGGTAGAGTCTGGGTACCCTAGTGCTGAACAACGGGATGGGTGATGCGCAAACACATTGCTCAAGGTCTCTTTAGTTTCATTTTTTTGTTGCTTTAATGGGAAGATGCATAGGATTTGCTCATTACAATTGAAACAAACATGTTGATCTGGATTAATTGGGAGTTAACTTGCTAAATTGTGTTATTCCGTCCTCAAAGTTTAGCTTTCACAACCACTCAAGCGCCTTTGACGCCTCTAGTCTCATTTCAGCTACGAGCCAAATAGGCTAGCAGCAGCTATGCCGCCCTTGCTTCACGCATGAAAAGCATGTCGGCAGTGTCAGTAATGGTTTACTTCTCCCTGACGAACATAGAGTGAATATCTTGGTACCCCCGTACAATGCGTCGATGGACAAAACCCCCCAGTCTTGTGCGAAGGGCTGGCTGGCTTTGTGTATGTTTTGTGTATTTTCTGCACTAATCACAACGAATAAGGACGAGTAATAAAAAAGATCGCTAGTGCTTTGAGCTGAAATTCTTTGTTACAAATGCAGAATGGCTGTCTTTAAGCTTGTATTAAAGTTATGCAAGCCACATCATGGCACAACTAACAGTCTGATACCCCTGCATTACCCCTGTCACAATTTGATGGTAGCGTCTTCCTGGTTTTCTCTGTCGCATAATCTCCGTTAGTAGACGGAAGATGGATTTACTAGATCAAGGCGCCTGGCTAACCAGCCCTAGCCGCTCGAAAATGGATCCCAATTTACAACTACCCAAGGCGCATGTTGGCTTCAATTTGAGATGGTTGAAAGACCAGCATGGTTACTGGAGATAGGCATGAATCGAAGTCGCTTTGATTCACCGTAGCAATGAAACTCATCGGCAACCTGCTTTAGAGGACCGTTTCATTGTCCAACATACAGAAGCCAGCCACAATTGTTTTACTTTTCTCAACTCACCGCATTGCAAGCGAAAAGATCCAGATCCGGTTGACAAGGCAGACTGCATCATCACAAGAAGCGTTAGTATCTTTCCTGGATTAGTTAGTCCAAGGAGAACGATGCTGCAAGGGTTAAAAATTAGCAGTCTGGAGTGGTCTCGTGGCGTCCAGAATTAAGGTTAAAAAGTAGCTTCGCTTAAAGAAGCAACTGTCAACAAATCAACAACCCTGTTTGGGACATCACAAGGCTCTGAATCCGGAATATGGAATGAATTAGTAGATGTGGCTTGGTTGGGCTGAAAGGTGACCATACCACCCTCATTATTGATATTTTCAGCTGAAAGACTTTATTCGAGCTATTTGATCAGGGGGCTTATCTTGCTCAGTGGTATATCAGCAATGAGAGCCCTGCTACGAGAGTTTCGCCTCTGTCTTCGAAAGCTGTCGACTTTCTGATGCCAGTCATGCGCTGTTACCATTCTCTCCCCTTTCTAGCTTCTGCGCTTGTAGCCCCAGCTTTTGCTGGACCTGGCCAAAATCTTGAAGCCATCTGCAAGTCCACCGAAGGCGTATATGGATGCGATGAGTACATCAAAGTCCCATTTGGCTCGGAGCCTATCACGACATGTTTCGACACAAGCCCTTGTGGTGTCCAGATTCTGACCAACAACCGGAACATCTGCGACCTTGTTGAGGAGGCCTTACCAAGCGATGCAAACTACATCGGCGGATACACTGCCTGGTGTCATCGAGCCCCAGATGCTTTGACTGCCATCAAGACCGATAGGTCCGTCTGGGTGGATGGAAAGCTCAAAGGCGCCAAATATATCCCTTTAGCCCGCGCGTTAAACATTGAGGAGGCAAGTGATGGTTTCTTTCTCATGAATCTGTTGCCTTTGACATGACTAACACTTGAACAGGAGTTCGCAAATCAAGGCCTCAAGTTTCAGAATAACAAAGCCTCTGTCCTGGCTAACCAACTCGCGAACAAAGATGGATGGTTTATTCTCAAAGGTGGAGAGGTACGTTGACCAGAACTTCCTCTCTAGACCTGAAATCACAGACTGACTAAAGCATAGATTACTACACCAAACTACTTTGACTTGGTCGAGCGCCTCACCAACCTTCAGACCTGCGAAGCGAGTGATTGCGGGGAAATATCATTCCAAAAAGTGATGGACTGGTTCGAGGAATGGATTTCTAGTGGTACCGAGATCAGAAGCGGCAAGCTTCCCACCATGCTCAAGGATTGGCAAAAGACCTTTGCGACACCGTACAAGAACAGGATCTCTGCCATCAAGAATGGAGCCACCACTGTACAGACACGTGTCAAGACCGTTTCTACCAAGGTTGATTCAATCAAAAAAAGCATTTGTGCAAAGAACGCATGCACTGGGAAGACTGCTTCGACGTATCTCAAGAATGGTCAGTTATCCACCCTGCCTCATTGTACATCGTCTTACTAACCTATTGCAGTTGCAACTACTCTCCAAGCTATAAAGGCCCTTTCCAACATCGCTGCTGTCGCAACTGATGCAGATGAGCAGCGAAAGTACATTTACTACAACTTTGTCGGCAACATTCAGGACTTTTTCAAGCTCCCTCCCGATTTACTCGTTCCAAACCATCTCTTCGAGCTTCTTGAGGATGGGAGGTTTGACACTCTTCGCGGCATCATGTATGGCTTTGGCACAATTACCTCCGAGCTGTATATGTATGCCAATGACATCAGGAGAAGCTTAGGACCTCTGATCCACCTCACCAAGCACGAGACCAGATCTCGCGAGGCGTTGAAGAAGGTCAACAACCAGCTCACTCCAAACTGGAAAACCAATAAGGAACTCTCAAAGACTGCTTCGTCTCGCAAGGTCCGTGATGGCTTTATTCAGATCCAGTCACTCCTCAAGAAGGAGCTCCAGGGCTCACTAACAACGCTTATCAACGCCATCGACGTCTTCGACAATGACTTGACCAAGTTTCCTCTGAGACGCAACAGGATGGAGGTTTCTTGGGGTGCTGCTCCTTATGATCGTTGGACCAACCTTCAATTTAAGTACCCTTGCAGAAAGGAAGTCATACAGACTTTCACCGAAGAAGGCTTTTCTGAGGACTTTACGTGGTCGACCTTTAGCCCCTGCACTTTCACTGCCCAGAAGGTCGATTTACCCAAAGGCTGGATTCCTTATGTGAAGTATCGGTTTGTTAAAGCATGATCGGGCTACCTGGAAGACCCGCTACGCTTTTTTAATATCTTCTTCAAGTTCTCTACTTAAGTGAATGGCATATCAGGGCGAGATTAACGTGTCAGATAAACCATGGTTCTCTATGTCGAGGATTCAAGTCATTGTATCAATAGATTGAGGCAAAATAAAGATTAGCTGAGCCAAATCATGGCGTCAGACCTTGAATAGAACATGTTATATGACTATGCATGCATCTCCATCGTCTCTGAAGAAACCCCTTTCCACCCATGTATTGCTGCCCAAGCAGATGCAGCTGGTTATTAGGGATCAGTATTTGGTTTGACTCCAAGTGTAGCCTCCTTGGTTCTTGTCGTACTGTTCCTGTACACAGTCTGAACAAGTGAATTTATCATACTCGGTATTGCTTGTCAGTGGGCACTTTGTCTTGTCCTCGGCATTACATTCTTGTATCTCTTTCACAGCCTTCGGTCCTGCTTTCTTGGAGCAGACAGGACACTGGCGTTGAGTATGGATAGTGTGACACATGGCTAAGTTTGGAAGTTAATGGTGTGTGCGGTGGGCGAGCAGTTATTTCGATTCGTAATGCTGCTGAACGTTGTGTTGATGTAATTGTAATTGCCCCAGTTGGATGAGGGTGAAGCGGAATCTCTGGACTTTCGTCGCAGACTTATACTACGCTGTATTATTCGAATTTTCGTGATTCAATCAAGTAGTGAACGGACTGTGATACTAAACCCGACCGTGTCTATGCCTGAAGAGCTTAATCATGAACAGAACCTGTAGTTAAAGGTGCAGTGCAACAGTCACTAAGTCAGAAAGGAAAGCAACATCTGATTCAGTTTTACGAGCGCGGTCTTCCATCGTCTGGTACCAGACTAGTGGTTTGTTCAGAGCACTAGCCTAGCAAAGTCTTTCGCTGCATAATGGGCAATAAACAAGAGTGGTTTCGCAGAGCAGGATGACACATAAGTCGATGTGTTGTTCATATTTTTCTTATTGATTAACAGATCTATGCATCTAAACAAGAGAATCTTTAGGCAAAAGAGGAGCATCGCTTTCCTCCCAAGGGTGCGCCCTCTCAGCAGCTCGCACCAACTCGACATGCTTGGCGCTTCGAGGTGTAATGCTGTAAGCGTAATCGACAGGGTGGCTGATGAGTCCAGGTGTACCGTCCATGACAACGTCAATCTCCTTTCCATCCTTATCAACAGCCTTGCCCATGTTAAAGACGGCCAATAGTCGTGAACAAGTCATGAAGACACTATCTTCAGCCAAATAACGACCGGGGCAGATTCTTCGTCCGTATCCAAAGGCATACTCAGCGGGATCAGGTTCGTTTCGAGGCTCGATATATCGCTCGGGCTCAAAGGCAGATGGGTCAGTGTAAACTTCGGGATCGTGAAGGAGAGCCCAGGTGGATGGGATGAGGTAGGTTCCCTTGGGAATACGGTATCCTCCATACTCAAGCTCTTCTTCAGTCATGTGGGTGGTGGTAGTAGGAACAACAGGCATCCATCGAAGAGCTTCCTTGCACAGAGCTCGCAGGTAAGGCATATCCTTCTCGTCGTCAAAGGTGGGCAGTCGTTCACCTCCAGTCACACGGTCAATCTCTGCCTGCGCCTTCTTTTGAACTTCAGGGAATTTAATCATGGCAAGAACAAAACTACTGATAGTGGACACGGTAGTATCAGCACCTCCACCGTACATGATAGTAGCAGTGGCTTTGACAGCGTCGATATCTTCCTTTGTAGGCTTTCCACTTCCGTCCTCGTTCTTGAAAGAGCCGCTCATGAGTTTCGAGACATATGAAGGTCGGTTCGTTCCGCTTGACATTTGCTTCATGACGAAGTCGTAAGGGACGTCTAGAGATTGGTCGGTGATACGTCGCCATTCCCTGGCGGTCTTCTTGAATCCGGTACCGGGAAACCAGTCAGGGAGGTTGTTGAGGCCAGGGAAGATGTCGACAGCCCAGGAGAGGGGCACAAAGGCCTCGGAGAAATGGATCATCATGGTCTCGATGAGGCTGACAAGAGGATCGACTTTACGGGGCTCGATACTGTATCCGTAGATGATTCGCAAGATAATGGCAGTGGCTTCACTGTTGCACACATAGATTAGCGTTTGCTGGATGGATTTGTTTCATTAGGATAAAACTTACGTCTTGATATGCTTTTGGAATTCCTCGGGTCTTTCAATCGTTCTGATAAGGAAACGGAGGGACTCGAGATCCTGAGTGTCTCTGAATTCAGAGCAGATCAACTTGGTACCCATCTGCTGGTGCACCAGCTTGCGATAGTATCGGAATTGGTCACCGTAAGGGATAAGAGGAAGCATAACTTTGAAACCACAAAGCTCGCCTCCAAACGTTGCACTAGGTCGGGAAGAGGTCTTGGTCGACCTCTTCTCAAGAAGTTCGTGCATAGCATCGGGGCTGTTGAGGATGATCATGGGCTGGCCGAGGATGTTGAGAGAGCTGATGGGTCCATAGAGTTCCTTGTGCTTGGCCCAGTGCTTGTATTCTGCTGTGCCGGCGGGTGGGAGGTCGAAGAGGTTACCGACAACAGGGAGGGGCTTGGGCCCAGGTGGAAGAGGCAGACCTGTCTGCTTCTTTGGGAACAGTACATAGTAGACGAAAAGTGCGGCGAGAGCCACAGCCGGTAGAAGGAGTAACCCCATGATGGCAGAACAGCAACACAGAGATTAATACTATCACAACTCACAGAGCAAGAAGAGGTGTGCAGGCAAGAGCTATATATATGGGCTTCCAGACAATCTACTTCAAACTCCTAAGATCATCACAAGCAATTTTCTTATGCTGCGTAAGCTTCTACAGTGAAACAGCTGTTGGTTGTTCTCTAGAGCTGCATATACGTGGGTCACTTGCAAGGGGCCCTTTGCACCTCACCAACAAGATGCGAGTCAGTCAAGGGTCGCAAGTCTGACGATGCACATATAGACGGAAGAGAATTCTCAATTTGGCACCTGAAGGATGCCACCGATGCTTGCACCCTGTCTGCAGTATGCATGCACTGTCTAGTTAGTTCGCAACACGAGCCAAAGCTTTGCCGAGAAAGGGCAACGATATTCATAATCTGTCTTACTTCCAGAGCAGCATTGCATGCTAGGCGAGGAGCACAAAGCCCCGTGGTAGCGAGGATCAGGGTTAAAATCTGCGGCGAATGGGAAACTGTACGACGATACTCATATGAAGAAGATCTCCATAGATCCCCGCAAGGTGAGGCGCAACAGTGTCCAAAAGCATGTGCCGAACTAACGTCTTGTTATGAGAGGGGGCTTCAGCGAATAAGGGAATTCGATTTTCTAAGGAGGACCAATCGTGACGAAACGGCTTCAAGCCTTTTTGAGTTTATTCTAGGGTTTCACGCAAGGATTATTGACAAGGAACGGCCCGGGTTTATCTGCATTTGTACCAACCAGATCGTCAAAATCTCTTACCGAAATAGTACGCAACATGGGCACAGTCGGTGAGGCGAGCAAAGTCCGTCCAACAGGTAGGACAAGAGATGTGAGGAGGGGGGAGGATGCAACTTTGTCATGCTTCCCCCGCGCAGCCACGCGACCATTAGATGAAGAAGAGTATGCCAGATGAACTATGGAATAACGATTCCAATTAAGAATTGAGACAGTTGCAACAGCTGACTCGATGCAACACCTTGGCAACCTTTACTTGAACTGAACTGTCGACCGTTGAAACCGCGGAGGTTGGATGGACCAAATAATAAGCGGGCGAGTCATTTATTCTTACCCGCGTTTATCCATTATTTTCTTTAGCAGATACAGGGGGCCTGGTAAGGATCTGTCTTCCATGTCGGTAGTTGTCGATCTTTTCGGAGCTTGATTCACCCGAACAGAAGATCCTTCACTGGCCGAACCAGGGACTGCTTTAATTTAGAGCCAACAAGTTGTGAATTGCCGCGAATGTTGTATTCTTAACTAGTTAGTATCTACTATGTACACAGGGGGATATTCAAGGCATGAAGGATGCAGGACAACTCCACCATTTCCCGTATAAAGCCGACCGTGGAGCGACATACGAAAATGAGAAAGCATGATTGAAACGATGCCTGAAAGAGTTGCAGTTTGTTGTAAACTCTATTTAGGCGAAGATGGCGTCGGACCGGTATGCGAATGTGACAAAATGCGCAAGAGAAAAGCTTCTATCCTAGTCCTCCCACGTTATCTGCCTTGTTGGGTACCCAAATCCGTTGACATGCAAACTCAATTGCTGTCATCCAGGATAGCTCCTCATGTCTGTGAGGCAACACTATGTACCAGCATTATATCAGACTCCTACGTCTCGTCAAGATACTCTTGCAACGTTGCTCAAGCTGCACTTTGGTAGTGCATCATCTTCCAACAATGACATCCTCCAATAAAGATCGTCACATAAGAGAAATGAGTTGGAAGTTTGACACTGTGTTTCCAAGAGTATCCATACTTTGTAGCCTCAATTGACTATCACAAAATACATACAGGGTAGGATTCGGGTACAACAGTCGACGATCAGCCAAGGTGAATAAATCTTGATGTCCAAAATCATTCGAGCAGACACATTCAACAGTTGAGCATCGTTCTACGACTCATGTGCCCGTCATAAACTGTGCGTAGTATTTGAGAGTACGAAAGAAAGGACACGACGCCAGTCTATCATGTCCAAAGACAGCCATGGATACTCACAGTGGGTATCGGTAATTAGACTTAGCGGCCGTAGCGGAGTTGGGGCTCTGTGGGACAGTTAACCCAAAGCTTAGTTACAGGGCCTCCCTCTCCCAATTTTATCCCGCAATTGGAGCATCCATCAATCAGGTTGAACATATTTTTGAACTTGGGACAGGGGATATTTGACCAGTGTTAAGTAACAGATAGATAGTGGCGTTGGGCCAGATGTACCAGTCTGCACATGATGTGATTTCTGACACCTCAAATGCGACTGCCAGATGCAAGTTGGATCTCGCATATATTCCTCAAGCCAAGAACATTGTGTTGGTCGCAACGGGCATGATCGCCAAGAATGCCCAGCATTGAGCATCACTCAATACATTCTGGGATGGTCAAACATGATACCGCATGTACAGCAGGCTGTAGGTCATCTCGACTTGATGCAGATGGTTGTATCATGCAAAGAATACACGAGACGCTTTCACACCTCCATCGCTAAACACATTGAACTGCCTCTGCACAATGAATGTTGATCGTGTTACGGTGCTGCGGAACTGATCTATCTGGGTATCATAATTGCGCCTACAGAGCTTGAGCCCTGTCCCATCCCTCCCTTCTAACCTTGTCCTTCTTCATAGAATCCGACAACATGGTCGAGAAGATCCTCGCTGGTACGCCTATCACTCCTCCTTATCCTTGGCAGACCTGATGTCGCGCTCAAACTCCACATACGACTTCTTGAGCTTATCGTGGGCTTGATCCACGCTGTCAAGCTGATCTCCAGTCTGTCGCAACAGGGCGTCCGATTCATAGCGAGGGTAAAGCACCTCGGTTTTGTTCGGTCCCCAAAGCTTTACACGTATGCGGTTCGCAAGTGAGAAGCCTTGAGGGCGGTTTGTAGTCTGCTTCTTGGGGTTCGGCTCGGGGGGCGAAGATTCTGCCGTATTGCAAGTGCAAGAGGCGGCGGTTTGGGAGGCGTCATTTGGACGTCGACGGGGATTTCGATATCGACCCGGAAGGACATCGGGAGCTAGATAGCCAGGTCAGCTGATAATTGAGAATAGTCTTCGATTGTCTTACCGGGGTATTGCACTTGTGCTTCCTCCCCGTTGCTGTACCAGAGCTTCCAATACCTTGGATACACCAAAGGCTCCTTGCATTCCGGGTTCACGAACTGTTGGGGAGGTTTCTGATCCTGGTCCGGGGGCGCCTTATCGAGGTCCATCAATTCTTTGATTTGCTCCTTGATTTGATCGAGGGCGTCTGCAGTTAACGATACGGTTTGACTGCTCGAGCTGGGCTTGTCGGATATTTGTGAAGGAAGAATAATGGTCGGGGGCAGGCAGTTGGCCTCCCAATACATGGTGGAAACCTTGCTCCTGGTGGCCATGGTTGAGTCGCTGGAGTTTCGTCAAGAAGGTGAGAGCATGGGAGGAGTTGTCGGACAATGGGGATGTCTTGGGACGGCGAGTGCTGTGTTGTGTTGTGTTGTGTTGTGTTGTGCTGCGATGCGACGCACTCGTTGGCCTGGAGCTGTGAGCAAATGAAACGAAAAGCAGAATACCGATGTCTTGCAATCAGGCTGTGAAGCAGCAGCCCTATGATGAAAGGAAGGAGCAACGATTGCAAATGCATGCGATGAGAGGACAAAGAAAGGCAGCCAGCGGGAACCAGCCGCACCATTGATGTTTGCTCTGTATGCAGTGGCGTAGCAGTGGCAGCCAACAACTTTCTGGTAGAGAAAAAGAAAAAGCAATTGTCTTAGTGCTTGCAGCTGTAGCAGTGTTGGGCGCTGGCAATGCAAAGGCAAGGCTGCGCTTGTCGCAAATGCGCAGCAGCCACGAGCAATAAACATAGCCAATGTTTACGTGGTATATAGGTATTCAGTTTCGGTGGGTAGTTCGAGAAATGGTTTTCGTATAGCAACGTTCGAGTTAGCGACAACAAAGCAAAGGCGCGTCATGGTCCATGAGTTAATAGCAAGGCTGGTGGTGGGCAGCTTGTTACAGTGGCTGAAGAATGCCTGGCTCCGGGCCAAGACTGGAGGTATAAGACGATTCATAGCTCAATTCGACGCTGATGTGTATATCTCTGAGCATTGTGGACGTGTTGAAGGAGAGAAGACAGGGAGAGGGAGAGGGTATTCGCTAATTCCTACCAAATGCAAACATCGGCTATTTAGCGGCAGTATATCAGAGACGACGCACTAACAATTTCTCTCCAATGATGCCTCAACGGAATGGCGTCACACTCCGCCTTCAATTCAATGTCCATCTTCAGAGTATAGCAGACAAAACATTAATTCACAAGAGTCACAATTAAGCAGCACATTCTCTGGCATTTAATTCTTGACGTCATTGTCTTTTCAATCGATGCAAAAAGCCCACGTCTGGCCCTGCAACTAAGACGATGAACTTCCACTGAAGAGAACAGTCGTTTTGGCCCTGTTCACATTCAACACGATGGGTTTCGCATGCGATCCTTGTTCAATCAGAAAAATAAAATGCCACGAAGGTTCCCCTTGTCAACAATGCATAGCCGCATCTCTATCATGTTCTTATGATAGAAAGCGTAAGAAATCGGGTCCCAAAGGTCCACGGAAGCGCACAAAGGAGGCCATTGAACAAGCTCAACAGTCTACCAAGCGTACGCGACAGCGAATAACTGACAGTGACCATCAAGTCGCAAATGCAACTGTATCGCCATCGCTGACTCAGGCGAGCGCGCATCCAGAGACGTGTGATGCCCCAAATAGTCTGTGTGCCGACAGATCAAATGGCTCTTCCAGCCTTGCAACAATTCAGCTTGATGATCGGGCCCGGCTCTCATCGTTGACCTATTACTTAAACGTGTACAATAGCTGCTTATACGTCGTGTGGCCTATTGTCGACCATGAGAAACTCATCGAGCGTCTGCACCATGTTGACAGCAAGATCGCATATGCGCTTGCCATGTCAATATGCTCAGCGACAATAGCTCAACTTCAGCTACCCCCGGATGAACATGGCACTTCCTCCCACTCATCAGCATATGAGGCGGAAAAGACAAGACTCATGCTAGACTATCCCAAGCACCAAACAGTCGACGCATTGCTCACCTGCTTCTTTCTTCACGTATACTACTCCAACGCTGGCAAGATCACAAAGTCCACATTGCTTCTACGAGAAGCCATCGCCTACGCACACATTCTTGGGCTACATCAAGATTTGTTCTACACGGATCTAGACACAGAGGCCAGCCAATACCATCTTCGGATTGCATGGATTCTGTTTATAACGGACAGGTCAGCACCCCCCCCCCCCCCCCCCCNCCCCCCCCCGATGACGCGTTCCTATCAAGACCAGATGGCTGATGCGGATCTAGAGCGCACTCTTTGCAGCAAGATATACCCCCAACATTCAAGCTCAGCCCAACACTCCCACAGCTTCAACCGCAGCATGAGCCTGACCCTGATTCGGCTTTTTGTAGTTTATGCAAGCTTTTTCAAGCCTTTGATGGTGCCTGTCCATCAGGTATTAGCTCGAAACAAGCTGGCTTTCTCGGTGCCATAAGTTCTCAATTGCAGGCGAGGCATCCTTTACCATTGTGCGAAAATGAGGTCCAGAGGGCCGATATTGTGGTCACCGACTCGTGGCTGAGGGTTGTGCTATGGAAGGCCGCGATTCCATATGTCGATGCCAACACAGACCCGTATGATCAAAGCCTCAGCGTGTCATTTCCCACATCAGTAGCGCATGACTTACTGTCGAAATTGACCACTCTGTCATCGTTTGCTCTGGAAACCCATGGGCCTGGAATGGTAAGCATCCACTTAGTCCATATTGAAATTCTCGTGATACTGACTTCCACCAGATGTCAAAACTATTCGAGGTTGCAAACTCGGTTGCGGATGTACTCATCTGCGCCCCAACCCTCGCGAATGTTGGCTCAGTGCATGTTGGGCCACGAGATATCTTGGCTGCTTTGAGCAGCTTGATTACTTCGCTGCGTACAACCGGGAACCCTGCACTTCTTACCTTGTTACGAGAGAAGATGGTGGCATGCGCTCTGGACCAAGCCAAGCCAGGGAGGTTATTGCAGATCACCGATGTGTCGGATGAGGATCTATACGATGAACTTACTCACACAGTTGAATAAGAAATCATTGTGTTATTTAATTCATTGCTATTAAAGAACGTCCATGTTATACTTTGCTGTTATCGACCATCAACTTGAAGACATAGCCTCGTGATTATGACATTATTCCAGACAGGTTACCCAACAAGGCAAACAAAAGCCTCGAAAGGGCGGATTGAGATCACGTCCTGGGACAAATCAACTTCCGGATAGTTGGACAGCAAAACCTGACCCGACTGTAAGCCGCTGGAAGCAGGTATGGGCCAGGCGATGCCTCGATCTCGGAAACTGCAAACGACGACAATCTTTTGTTTTCCGTTAGATCGAGTGTACGCAAAGATATCACTGTTCTCTGCGTCAAGCAACTCAAAGTCACCGTAGACGACAGCATTCTTGAGCTCTTGGCGTAGCGAAAGCGCAGATCGCCAGTACTCAAATACACTACCTGGTGTGCCGACTTGGGCTGCCGCATTCCACTGTTGATAGTCGTCATTGACTCTAATCCAAGGCGTGCCAGTTGTAAACCCAGCGTTGGGCGAGGAGTCCCACTGTGTCACCATTAGTACATCTCCATCTGTCGCGAGACTTCCTACTAACTTGTACAGGTGTTCTCGCGTGATCTCGCGCCTTGAGCTGGTACTCCTTTCGAGCAAGCTCTAGAACCTTGGCATCAGAACCAGTTGTCTGCTTCAACCTGGGGGGAAGGGTCAGCCACAACTCCAAGATAGCAACAGCTCGTGATCTTACTCTTCCCAATGGTTCAAGGTTTCGACATCTCGATGCTCGGTCATTTCCCACTCTGGCGGCATATTGGCCATGCCCAATTCTTCGCCTTGGTACACAAACACAGTTCCGCTTTGAAAGCAGAGGAATGTCGACAGCATTTTGGCCGACAGCTCACGATACACGGGCTTATCAGATACCCACCGACTGATAGAGCGCGATTGGTCGTGGTTCTCAAGATACAGGGCGTCCCAGCCCTTGTTCTTGTACATAAAATTCTGCCACTTATTGACGATCGTCTTGAGTTCTTTCATTTCCCATTTCTTTGCGGAGAATTTCCCTTGGTCGCCATGATCCATATCAACGCTATAAGAGTAGTTAGTCGATGAGCCCTGCATTGAATCGTTGTGCGATATCCTCTTACATCTCAAAATTGAAGATCATGTTCAACTCGCCGCGGCTCTCACCGACACTCTTGATGACTTCTTTGGGGTCTTGAACAGCAGGCATCTCGCCGACCGAGAAGGCATCATACTCTTTGAGGATCGAGCCAATGTCGCGAAGATACTCGTGAAGTCGCGGACCGCAAGCGTAATGATCATGGCCAAATTGATACTCAGCTCCTGGAACCGTTATTCGAGCATCAGGCAAGCCTTCCGATTTGCTGATAAAGTTGATGACATCCATTCTGAATCATCAGCATGCTTCGGGGAGCTGATAGAGTGTACATACCGAAAGCCGTCAACGCCCTTGTATAACCAGAAACGAATGATATCATGTACAGCTTCGCGCACTGGAGCATATTCCCAGTTGAGGTCGGGTTGTTCTTTGGCGAACAGGTGAAGGTAGTACTCATCAGAAGCCGAATCGTATTCCCACGCACTGCCTGTGTCAGGTTAGTGAGTGGATGGGATACAGTGATCATCAAATTATCTACCTCGAAAGTAAGAAAGCCAGTTGTTGGGTGGGTGTCGCTGGCCATCTTTGTCATATCGAGGCTTTTTCCAAATGTACCAGTCCCTGTAAGGATTGTCTCGGGATGACTTGGACTCTTGAAACCACTTGTGCTGTTGTATCCATGAGCAATGCCACAACCGTTATATAAGGGAGCCATACCTGGTCAGAAGTATGGTTGACGACAAGATCCATCAGCAATTTCAGGCCTCTTGAGTGTAGACCCTCGATTAATCGTTCAACGTCAGCCAAAGTTCCGTACTGAGGATCAATGTCGCGGTAATCGGCGACATCATATCCCATATCGATTTGGGGAGATGGATAGACAGGACATAACCAAACAATATCAACACCAAGTTGCTTGAAGTAGTCGAGTTTCTCGATCACACCAGGGATATCACCGATGCCATCTCCATTCGTGTCTTTGAAGGAAGAAGGGTAGATCTGGTATACCGATGCCTCCTTCCACCAAGCTGGAGTGACAGGACTGCGGGTATTCTGTGTTTTGTGAGACATTTTGAGTTACTACGGTCTCAGCATGCTGAATAGTAAGGACTTAATAAAGCAACGCTACTTAATACAGCAGGCAGAAGTAGAAAGACGAGCGTCCTGCGTTCATTGGGAATTCGCTCACGCGTCGTATGCATGATGCATTGGTGAGTGTGCATCCAATCATCATCACCCAAAACCTTCCGAGAATCTTGCCGATAACCTTGATTGATCTTTGGCTTTGGGAAAAAATGACATTCTGCCGAAACCCACTGATCAGGACAGATAGAGTTCACACAATTACCTTATTCTCATAAACAAAGGCACCGCTTGGCAGCTGATTGGAGCTTCTTCTCCATTCAACAAATAATTAGTGTACGAGATTAATATACTTTGCGAGTTTAGCATCGCGAATCTGAATAGATTGGATTTGTTCATTAATGGATACCGATGGAAGGAATTACCCTAGAGACATGCCAATAGCGGCACGACTGACACCCAGGTCTAGCTATATGTAATTTGCTTGGTGCATCAATTCGCAACAATAGCTATTCCTCCGAGTTTGGAGATCTCCCCGAATAGCTCAGCTGGAAGAGCGTTCGACTGTAATTGTTATATGTCATCGAAAGGTCACTTGTTCGATCCAGGTTTCGGGGAGCTGATTTTTTGCCATTTCTCCATCTTTGCCCCTACTTCCCCACAGCAACTCATCGCGTTGAAGGTCTAACTCCAGTTAGACCTTGAAGCGTGAGAAAGCGAGGAAAGAAACAGGGATATGAACTGTCCAACTTTTTTTTTGTCTATATTATTTGACTCAGTCGTAGAATAGAGCAAATCTCCATTATACTTTAACAACTCATGTCTCGCCCAGTAATTTAAGTTGGCAACATGCAAATAAGTTTCAGGTATTACAGGAACCTATAGACTGTGTGTGATAGGGTAAACTTAATAAGGAACCTCACGTATGAATACCTTCAGAAAGCTCTAACCTTTTCCCAGTCTCGCCTTTCTTTGACTTCTGCCATCGGAGCCTTTGTATTTCTCTTTTTTGCACCAGACCAACTTCGTTTCGGTAATCATGAGTGATGCCTTTCACAAATTTGTCAATTTTCCGACGGAAGTCAGACTGATGATTTAGGAGGCCGCTGTCAGTCGTGATCAACCAGGTGTACATATTCTCAAGATCTGCAACCGTGGCTCAGATCCGCCCAACGGAGACCTCTTTCGCATTCCTGTCGATAGATCTTACAAATTTCAACTCGCACTACCCAGAGTCGAAGATAAAGAAAACTACATCGGAACCCCTCGGTCGAGATGGTGGCGGAAGGGGAATCCATCAACATGTCTTGCCGACCACGGGTTGTGGATTGCTTGCAAAGAGTCACGGCGTGTCATATTCTTGTTTAATCAACATGAATAAACGAGTATCGTTACAGACGGTGTGAACGTACTCGCAATGCGCCCGCAACAAGATCTATTCCTTATACAGAATGACAGATTCACAAATGTCGAGTGGGGGTACATGCGGCGACAACAGTTCAGAGTCCGGTCGCATCCATCTCTGAGACCACGACGAGTCGCCTTCGAATTCGATCCGTCTTGGATTATGGCCTTTGAGCAGAAATATGGAAGTGAAAAATTGGCGACTCTAATCGATAAGACTGTGATTAACCTTACTTTACACGTCGAAACATTTGGGTGTTTGTGGATAGTCGATTACAGCCTGGCCCGTCGATTTGCTGGTGCACATGGACTTTATAATCCTTTGCAAGGACCTTTGGCATCCTTCTATGCCGGTGGATACAAGCTCGTTCAAGTCGGAATGCGATACAACAACAATAGGGAAATGGAGTTAGTAGGATGTAAGTAAGTACATCGAACGTGAAGATGGAGAACTGCATCTCATTACGTCTATCTATTTGCTCAATGACGTGTTCAGTTCGTTGATTGCGCGTGGATCATATGCAATCAACAGAGATCGTAGAGATTTGTTCAAAAGAATGAAGCTTATGGCGCTGGAAGAGTCATGAAGAAGAATAAAACACGTGTACTAGCGGAAAGCTGTGGAGATCTACCATCTATTTGTTTTGTCTTAGTTTCATACACCCTAATAAGTTCCCAATGCATTCTATGGGGTCGCTCGTGCAATTTTACTCTAATCTAGCTATAGTTATGTGCTTCAAATAATAATGGCACATCCACTTGTTCCGTTACGGGATTCCCCGACACCCATTCTCGTTGACCTCTCCCAGTCTTTTTATGGACACGAACAGACCATGACCTGTTCACTGGGTTCCCATCTAGAGCCCTCGTGTACTCATCATTGGGAGGAAATAAAGAGACACCCACCAAACAGCGACCAGTCGGAAGCTTGTCTGGTCGCTCTTGCGATCGCGGCGAATGAGCATGTGTGCCGCTACAAGAGACCCAATGACCATGGGTAGCATGCAGCCAATAACTCCAAGGCCCCAGTAGAGGGGGCAAATTACAGACCAAATGCAGACTGCCACAGCTGTGATCCAGCGTGTCGGTGCGTCGCCAAGAATTAGGGGGAAAGTCTGGCGGTCGATCAGCTTGTCACCTTCCTGGTCACGCAAGTCCTGGACCTGAATGGTGGTGAAGACCAAGGCGGCACAAATGAGAAACCAGCCTAGACCCTTGTTTGTGAACTCGAACTTGACGTCCGTGTTGGCCTGAATGGCCATAACTGCCACACGTAGAGTTGCTACACGGTTGGTGTTGATGCCGCAAGCGTTCATCAGAGCACGCTGCCACCAGCTCTTGTCACCCCAAGCACGCTCGTTGTAGAGCCATGTGCAGAAGAGGTAGAAGGATGTCTCTTGCCAACCACCCATGACGGTAACGCATAGCGTTAGCAGTGAAGAAATCGCTACTAGTTGCCATCGGTGTGTCAGCTCAGGTGAGATACGGCCAGCTGGAATGGGTCGCCAAGGCTTGTTTGCGCCATCTTCAATGACAGATTGAGGCTGGCGCTGGTTTCCGAGATTGAAACACAGCGTCAAATGCCACGTGAAATAAAGTGCCACAAGGATGCCTTTGCCCATATCCGCCCAGTGAATGTCTGCATTGCAGATGGCGCCAGGGCCAGCGAGAATCCCTGCGATGGCAAACGTGGTATTGATACCAGTGGAAGTGGGCATATCACTCTTTGTGAACATCCATATTGTTACACAGTGGTAAGCGAGTCTCTGCATGAAGCTCGATTTGTCCTCTTGTGCATTGCATGCTACCTTGGGTCAGTTACATGTGGAAGTGGATGTTGTTGGTTCAGGGGTGTTTACCAGAATGTTGGGTCGCTTCCTTGTGTTCCATGCATTGCATCGAACTCTGTCGCAATGAAAAGGGCGCATTATGGCGCTTGGTAATAGTGACAGACTTGCTAGTCATTGTGAGAGAGATTAACGAAAAAGTATATGTAGAAATAGATAAAGAATCTCAGTTAAGAACCAGGATGAATCTACAAGTAAAAGTTTGGCGACAAGATGCCACTACTTATTCATTCTGCTCGAAGCCGATACCGTCATAGTTTGTCCTCGCAAAACCCCTACATTTGGTTGGGAACGCGTACAAGCCTGAAAAATCTCAAGTTGACCGAGGCTACGGGGTTTCAGGTCAGGGACTAATAGCGATCGTCAAAGTGAGTTCTTTGAGTCCTTGAAGAACCGTTGAGCTAGACAAGGGTTGGTGGTGAGGGTCGCCGGCAGATGTAACCTTTACCGGCTCCGCGTTTACTGGAGCCTGGGAACGCTAGGGTCCAGCCTGCTGGGTCAAGGTTTCAACCACAAGGAGGATCAACATGATGGGGAAACAACGGATGAACAGTGGACCAGGCTATTGGGTATGGAACGAAGGATTAAGCGGTGAAGGGGCTGTAGTGTTGTAATTATGAACTTTATAAATACGACAGGACGATGGAAGCAGGCCTTCGAAAGAACCTTCCATGACGAATGGGAAAATACGGAAGCGTTTGCCTGCCATCCGGGAAATTATGACCTTCCATTAGGTTACAATAGCGATGTTCCTTCAAAGCAGGCATCTCAAAATACGACCTTGAGATGAGAAATCTCAGCAAAGATTGCGGCGTTTGTACATAATTGGAGGATTCGTACCCTTCTTGAGTCATGTAGCTGCTATTTAGCGGTATCTGAAAAAGCTTGTCATAGTCAAAATCTTTAGAGTACGACCCTAAGGTCTGTTTAGATTATCTTACGACAGGCCTTTACCAATTATGTGAATACACTACAGCTGTACAGTTCGTGTGCGGAGAATATCAACGTGGGTACAAACTTTATAATGTTTCGGTTTGTTTTGTAATATTCCTTTTTCTATCGATGTACCTTGATCTGTATCTATAAGGATCTTGACATACAAGGCTCAGCTACAATCCAGCAAATAGCCGAGGTATCGACGCATGGTTATTTTGTTAACATGGACGGATCACCAAGTTGAATATAGCCCAGCATAACCCAAGAAATCTAAAAGAGAGAAAACAACAGGCTGAGCATTATCTATCTAGGTATCCAACGCCAACGGTCTATAGTAGTGAAGCATAACTCGGAAATTATCTAAGAATCCCAGATCGGCCCAAATGCTGGCACACCCAAAGCCTGCAGGTCCAAGACCAAATCTATGGTGAGCTTGGGATTTGAAATTACCACTACAGCCTCACTCTCTGTCTTTTTATACAGGTCAAGGACTGTAGGAAGGGTATTCGGTCTTCCCATTGTTGAAGTGTTGTGAATGTGTGCGTCATCACCCATCTCCTCGATGATCGAAGCGATATTTGGTCCGTAGGTCTTGAAAGGGTCTCGAGTTGACCAAAATAGAGTGACCCTTGTCTGTTTCGCTAGGATGACCGGAAGACAAGGTGCAATACCCGAGCCGGTAGCCACCAGAACGATACTCTTGAACATTGGGGCAATACGCAAGACACCACAGGTTGGTGTGCGTCGAACCCACACATGTCGAGGAGGATCATTGACAAGCTTTTTGGTCCAATCGCCAGCGTTGGATATCACAACCGAAAACCCGTGTTCCTTTGGGTTGTTGACGGTTGCGAATGCGTGCCATTCCAGTAAGGGGCGCGATGAGAGTCGGATAGTTGTGCCAGGCTGAGGGTTCGTATAGTCGAAGTACATCCGTAAGGCGTGCGAAGAGAGTTTTTCGGACTGTACTTCTACCTTTCGGCAGTTGAGCCAAGTAGAAACAACGCAGCAAGTTGAGATGAAGACAAGCCAGATGTTGACACTGCCGAATACCGAAGCAGCAAGGGAGTGGCCAGGGGGCGTATTGAGTTGTGCTTCTAGAATTGTCATAACCCATAAGAGGGCGAGAGTAGACCAGCCAGCGAACCGATGGACAGCTTCGAAGGCATTGTGTATCTTGGCGCGAATAGTCGGGTATGCCATGGCGAGCATTGCTAGGAGTAGGCAGTCCAGCATGTACACCACGACGATATGGGCCAACATGACGCCATCACGGATCTTGGCGATGTGAACATCTCTGGTCTTTTCAATTGAATATAGAATGAACCAAAATACTGCAGCCACACCGCAGCCGCTGTGAAGGCCACCAAGGTGATAGATCTTACCCGCTCGCTCTCTCATCCATAGCGGCCAGGATGTTGGGATAGAAGTGAATATTTGATAAAGGCCGTTGACGATGTGTTCTTCCCGAATGACAATAGAAACCGCAAGGTTAATCGAGGTAGCCAGACCACAAGTCGTGGGATCAGGTTGGCCATTGAGCCACCATAACCAAAAGAAGAGGATGACGCCAACAAGGTTGGATAGGAAAACGACGGTGAAAAGAATGCGATATTCGGAAGAGATGAATCTCACAAAGCGAGTGAGCGACAGGCACGCAGGCCGTCTAGAGGACTGCTTCTCGGCAGAAACCATGGCGATTAAAATGGGGTCAGATTTGAATGAAAGTATGTTTTAACAACGCACGCAGCGGTCAGAAAGAACGGTTCTCGAAATAGGGAATAGAGCACCACTGAAGGGCAGGCAATAAGAAGCGTTATCAAAGTCATATAGCAACTGCGGCTCGGAGCATCGGATGATTATTCAATAGTACCGGTGATTTGGGACGAGCCGTCAGTCCACTCCTCGTAAGACGTATGCGTGCTATAGACGTCTCCTGAGCTGCCAGTATTTGACAAGCAGGGGGCAATGCAACACATATCAGCCCGTAGAGCTCAGCCGTTAATGCAGATCAATCCACAGTTATGAAAAGAAAATTCCTGATAACGGTATCTCGAGCATATCTGGAGTCCATGATCCCTGCAACATTCATGTAGTTGTTCGTATTGGGACGAAGTGTCTTGGCAGAATTCCCAGATGACATTTGCTGGAACATATGTAAAGAAGCAGAGGGTACGATAACGTCCATCCAACCCGGTTGTCTCTCTTCGGTATCTTGCGTTTGTACCAACAACATTCGAAGACTCTATTGTAAACTCGTATGATTCAATATCACGATTGGTTGTAATATGAAGTCTATTTCTAGACAATCGTAACTGTACTTAAATTTGATAAGCTTTTGGCAGGAAAACCTCGCCACATGGAGCCTTGAATCCTTGTTATAACCGTGCTAAGAGAACATCTCCAGAACCTCCTTAGTCAAAATATTTGGATCATCTTAAAATTACCAAGCAACAGACACTCGACCCCATCGGAACATGCCCCGTCTCTAGAGATACGGGGCATCAACATTGAGATGAGGTTCTAAAGCAGGGTTGGATGCTTGACAGACCTCGTGAAACATGCCCTGGTTGCTCAAGGGCTAACTCACCTGCCGGATGGAAACCCTGCAATGGCTGAGTGGAGCTTCTTGTCAGAGTATTCCTTTTTACAATGAATATTGTGGAGTAAACGTTGGTTGACAGCCGCAGATCAGTCTCCATATTGTGTTTCCCGAGTCATTGGACTTGGTCCAACTGATAACAAAGAACAGACACTCCGAGTACAATGTGAATAACTGATGCATCCTGATATGTCTTCAAACCATTCGTTTCATTGCTGACCAAGAATCTGACTATAAATTATAGTAACATGACATAGCAAGAAGCATTGCGACAATCGCATACATTTTGACACTAGACTGGTAGGATTTTGAGTTACATTGCCTACTGCGAAGGGGAAATAAGTGAATGTGGTGCTACCCTGTCTTGTTGGCTGGCGGAAGTGAAGAGGTAGCATTCCTTGCTGCGGCGATTAGGCGAATGTGAGGGTTACATTCCGTTACAGGTGGAAGCAAAAGAATGAAGACAATAATTACGAAGCGAAATATCCTTACAGCAGAAATACACAGACGCTGCAAAGAAGCACAGAACGAACAATCTTGATAGAGTGCGTCATTCAGATTCCCGAGAAACCCAACTGTGTGGTTTTGCAATCTATTCGAGACCCCTAAAAATCATTCTTCAGCCTTGTATTCTCAACTCGAATAAATGGCCTGATTTTAAGTTTCGAAGTGCATTTTCGGGGCTGTCGAAGGATCAGGCTAACCGTTCCTGGGGTAGGATTCAAGATAATCCTTGCACGGCATACGACATTGAGATAGGGTTGGTGTTGTTGTAACGGCCCGCTCAACGGTGCCAGGGTTAGTACCCGTTGCAGGTCTTAATATGTTGATCATTGTGGGTAACGTCGGTCTTGAGAACCACACTATTGATTGAGGTTGTTTATTAACAGGGATTATTGTTTTACGACCAGGGATTCAGATTACGAGCACTGAGGAAGCATTGGTTAACAGAGCTCCTTTCGTACTCTTTGATTGAAGAGAATGCTCCAAGACATCATATCACTGGTCAATCAGCCACATTACATGGGTGAATAACTGGTAAGATTGTGCCTACGGAGTGGTTACGTATGGAAAACGTTATCCAAAAATCTTAGACTGCGTGCGGATAGTAAGGGGAAGAATGAACGGGAACGGAGAGTTGCGTCACCCTGTTGTAGTTGATTCTCAACTTGAGTCCTGGGGATGGTGCGTTTACTTTACGATTATTACACAATTCGTAGACCAGTGAATGAGAGAAGCTATACCCATTCCTTTTGTATTTTAAACCCGCAGTGAGCGGCTACCATCTTTATACCATAATAATACACCGTATCCGAAATAAAACAAAATTGCCACCCATTGCTCCAACCCATAACCTATACCGCTGAATTGACATTGGTGGTGCTAGCATTGACAGTAGGATCGGGACCCTTGCCGATCAGACTCCGCTCATCTAGCTCGTAGTATGACTTATTATCTTTATCAGTCTTGGAGCGCGTACCACGGCTACCCGTCCAGCTCCCCGCGCTCTTATCAAGGTTGGAGTCCTTGTTGGAACTCGAAAAGCTCATCTTTGAAGCAATTGTAGACATGGCGTTAGGCCAGAAATGCTTGCAAAGGTGCCGAATAGCCGGGAGACTTGCACAAACCATTCCTAGTTCTGTTTCCCAAATAGACCAGATCGTCACATCAACGTATTCCCCTGCAGACAATTAGCATCAATGGTAGTTGTCAGAAATATGATAACTTACATGTAGGATTTGAGGTTTTGCCAAGAGAGACAAGGAATGGTAGACGAATGATACTGAATACGGTAACACTAATAAATCAGGTTAGCTCAATTCGAGACGCAAGGGTCAGGCAAACTTACACAATACCCAGACTGAACATAACAAAAAGCTGAGCCTTTTGACGGTGCTTGACTTGCAGCTTCATTAAATGAGGCAACGGCAGAAGTAGAATGACAATGTCACAGGCCATGTTGATACCACCAAAGATATAAGTCTGCACGTTCAAATCATTGCAATGTCCTTTGTGCTCAGCATCCCAGCTTGTCCAGTTGTAACTTGCGGGCAAGCATTGAAGTCCGGTAGTGATCATCGTTGCCGCACCACAAAGGGCGACGAAAACGCCGATCACCAATGTCAACTTCTTAAATTCTGCTGTCGTGAAGATGCCGCGAAGAAAGAAGAGGATAGATAGTTTTGTGCTGTACAAGTGAACACTGTACATGATCTGATCAATCCAGAAAAGCTTCAGTAATTCGTATAAGCGATCAAATGGAGTAATGTCCCAAATGTTCAGCCCGAACCCTAGATCCGCAAGTCTGCAAGCGAGCCATATGTATGGCACTGTGGCACACTACGCCATGAATTAGCGGATAACTCCTGTACTTTGTTGTGTTCCACTTACAGCTGCTATCATGATCAAGTAGTCGTCAACGCCCAATTTGCCGAGGATTTTGACTTTAGAGTAAATCCTCAGAATCACTGCGATCTCAGCAATGATACATGCAATAATGGCGTTGACCCTGAACTTCATCTGTTGGCTCTTGACGGGAACACCGCAGGCCATGCTCTGAACTCTCATCAAAGCTGCTGCCATCAGTCCAAGCTTCCACAGAGGGCCAAAACATCAACTTACTCAATGAGTCTTTAACGGTACAGTTCTCCAAAACACAAGCTTGTGTCAGGCCAGCAAAGGTTGGATCGGTGCACAGACATGTTGTGTTGGTCATGGAACATGGAGACTTTGGTAGTGCTTGTTGAACACATTTCAGCTGTCATGCATGTTAGCTTGGTGGTCATGGTAGATGAGCGTAAGCCAACTGACATCGCAAGCGGGTATCTGAGCCGCTAGATCGGCAAAGCCGGCTGCGTTGACAAAGGTAGCAGCGAAGGCCGTGACCAGAAGGGAAAACGAAACGAGACGCATGATTGACGCAGGCTGAGCTGAAAGAATCAACGTAGATGTGTCAAGGCTAGCTGAGATTTCACGAAGTAGAAGACCAGATGAAATACTCGCATGTCTTTATAGGCGGTATCTCAACTTAACACTAGACATTATAACCCCCTGAATATTAACTACCGATCAGGTACCAATGTCCCGGTTGTTGGCTCCAAGATCAAGGTGGATCGCAGGTTCCTCAACCTCCTTTAGCAGCCGTTGTATGTTGCATTACATCAAAGCATTAATCTATGAACGAGACAAGTCATGTATGGATGCCATCCGTAACTAGTCAATAAGGGCGACGGTCAATGACAAATGGTTATCCTTGCCACCAAGAAGCTAAAAGGATCCTACTAACAAGTGTTCGAAACGCCGGGACCAACAATCTAATGTCCTAGGCATGGGAGCATAGTAGCATTGTAGCACCAACGGGCGACGATCAGCATCTCTTAGCTGCGGCATATCCCTGGACCTTGGCCTTTGTCATTGGTAAATGGTGGATGTGTGCTAGCGATTACATCCCTGCCTTCTGCCCCCTGTGATTGCTACGCTAGAACCAACGGTTGGGGGGATGAATCCCTGCTAGTCTTTGGAGAAGCTTGACAGTTCACTTGAACTTGAGATGACAGGACCCACGTTCCTGATGAACTGCCGACCATGGTTCCAACATTGTTTTCCCCGCTCATACCACGAAAGCCAGCACTCGGGGTGGAGTCAATTGATGAAGGAGCTCGTATGTACTGCGTAAACAAGGCCCCTGATCTGTTTTGTACCCGGGATTATTTCCTTGTTCCATTTCAGATGAACACTCACGGGCCAGCTTGCGTCTTCCAAGAACAAACCCTGTCAATTGATTTTGCAAACGTACGTGACCAGCCTCAAAAGGGGACGAATCTCGCCCAGGTTTACCCACGCATTACCAGTATTGAGAGATTGGCGACGATCATTTACTGTCTAGGAACAAAAAAAAACTCTGTCTGTGCAAGGCTACGATGGCCAGGGAAGACTAGTGAGGTTCCAACGGTCTCGTGGCAGACTACTCCGTCTACCAAGGGAGTCGCGGAACCGTGTGCCGCTTCCTAGGTCTATGCCGATCTCAACTTCGAACAGTTAATGCTTTCTTAGCTAGACCGACTTCGTAAGGCTTGATTTCTGACGTCCCCTACTCCTAGGCTTTGCCAGACAGAACCTTCTGCATTCTAACTCATCTCGCTCTATTGGCTGATCGACTCAGGAGAATCCTCCTGTCCCAGAGCTCCGGTAGCACCAGCGTATGACGGAGTCCAACTCCCGTTAGCTACCCGGATTCTCGGCCTCAGCGATATTGCGATGATCATCATTCCCCTTTCACCCTCTATTATTTAAACAGAACAGCTGGCTGCCTTTCAACTCACTGACAAATGAGCAGCTTCTCATTCGCATTCATTCCTTAATACTGACCTATACATTCATTCTTTTTGACACCATTCACTCGTTTTTATCCAAGCTGTCAATATGAAGGCCTTCACTCTTGCCACAGTGGCCACAGCACTGCTTTCTAACCAAGCTGCTGCGGTCCCTACTCTCCACGAGGACTCCCCCATTCCTCTCAACGCGTTCAAGCTCAACTCTCGCGACGGTCATGATCCCCATTTCGGTATCGACCCTGAGATCATCCGAAAGTACGCCTCGCAGGCTCCTCCTGCTATAGGCAAGCGTGCCATTGACTTCGACCCCAAGAAGCAACTCGTTGATGGTAAGTAGACTGGCTATCTTTCATCATTGTATATTTATTGACTTTCTTAGTGCACGGGCAGCACGAGTTCAAGGCTCCCGACTGGGAGGCTGGTGATGTTCGAGGACTTTGCCCTGGACTCAACACTCTCGCCAACCACAACTACCTTCCTCGCAACGGTGTTGCCACTGTAAGTTGTAATTGCAAACACCACACATTCTGTCTCTAACACCTATTTCAGTTCAGCCAATATGTCAACGCTGTTGGCAAGGTCTGGGGTATGGCTCCTGACATGGCTTCGCTCTTGACCACCCTTGGTGTCGTCCTCGGCGGAAACCTCTTTGCCGTCTCGCAGGGCGGCTGGTCCAAGCACATGAACAACAATCTGCTCGGCCTTCTCGGTACTCCTCGTGGTTTGAGTGGCTGCCATCCTCTCTTCGAGGTTGATGGTAGCCCTACTCGAGGTGATCTCTACGACCCCATTGGTGACAACAACAACATGAACATGTCATACTTTATGGACCTCTACAACCTCCAGAAGGATGCCGAGGACCCCAACTACAGCATCGAGGTTCTCTACGAGCACAACAAAAACCGCTGGCACCAGACCATTGGCTTCAACCCATTTGCTTGGTTCGGCCCTGCTAGTGGCTGGCTTGTGCGTGCCAGCCCTTATTCTTTCACTGCTCGCCTTGTTGCCAACCGTTCCGCTGAGTACCCTGATGAAGGTCGTCTTGACAAGGAGGCCCTCAAGGCCTTCTTCTCCGTCTATGGACCTGAGGACAACATGACCTACGTCGTTGGCCATGAACGTATTCCCGAGAACTTCTACCGCCGCCGCTACACTGACTACGGTATCCACGCCAACGCCCTCGACATTGTCACTCACAGCCACCCTGAGGTTCTGAGCATTGGCGGCAACACCAACGGTGTCAACACCTTTGTTGGTATCAAGATCGATGACCTTGCTGGTGGTATTCTCAACGGCAAGAACCTTCTCCAGGGCAACAACCTCGTCTGCTTCGCTCTCAACGCTATCAAGACTGGTGCCCCCAATGCCCTCTCGTCTCTCTTCGCCACCTTGTCTTCTGTCACTGATATCCTCTTTGCTGCTCTTGAGCCTGTCATGGGCGCTATGGATTGTCCTGTCTACGATGATCTCAGCGTCAACGGAACCAACTGGCTTGACTTCAACAAGGAGATGTACCCTGGATTCAAGAAGGCTGGCGCCGGCTGGTAAAGTGCTTTACTCTTAGTAGCCGTAGTGTCTTGTGGTTTGGCGTGAGCGACTTCGCCTGTGTATAATACTTCATAATGTGCATATTATAATCAACAGCCTCAGGGCCTTTACATAGCTACCCTTTGAAACCTTGTATACCTCACATGATCGTGAACCTTATCTAAAGGTGATAAATGAGTGATAAAAGTCTACTTGGTCCTCATAGTCTTTGTCGAACTTGTCCCAACATCTTGACCAAACCTGGATGAAGCTGATCTAGTGAGGTACATCCAATAAGACGCATGTTACGCTCCAGTTCGTCTTTGTAAATCCTAATTGCCTTTTCTACACCCTTTTGTCCGTATCCCGCCATAGCATAGAGGAAAGGGCGGCCAATGCCAACTCCTCGAGCACCCAGACACAAGGCTTTGAGAATATCGGAACCCCTACGGATTCCACCGTCTAGATACACCTAGATCTTATCATGTAATCCCAGTTCTTGTAGAATCGGCATAAGCTCGGCGAGGACCTCTATTGGGGGTTCAGAATACTCCAACTGTCGTCCACCATGATTGGAAAGAATTACAGCTTCGATGCCGTATTCGGCTGCTTTGACAACATCTTCAACCCGTTGCACTCCCTTTAGGATAATAGACATATCAGTGATGCTTCGAAACCACGAAATATCGTCCCAGCTTAGAGTCGAGTTCATGATCAGTGAAGGATCAAGTTCTGTCGCCGCCACGTCTTCAAACTCATCATCTTCGTCTTCTTCGTTGACCTCGCTCTGTTGTTGTCGGAGGACCCTCTCGCGGCTTCCAAGGTGGGGGTTGTCTACAGTGATGCAAAGTGCCTTACAGCCATGTTTCTCGGCGTTCTCGATAGCTCTTCTTGTCACGTTTCGATCTTTCTTGACATACACTTGGAACCACTGAGTGCGATCTGGATCCCTCGCTTTGGTGATGTCTTCTAGTGGGAAAGAGGAATACAGTGGTATCATTTGAATGATGTCATGCTTGTTACTCGCCCTTGTCAGAGTTACTTCGCCTTCCGGATCACCGAGCTTTGCATGTGCCGTGGCTGAGATGTAGATTGGAGCGGAAGTGCGCAAACCAAGAAATGTCGTCGAGATGTCAACATGCTCCACGTTGACCATGACTTTCGGCCTGAAGCGTATCTGCTGAAAGGATTTGTTGTTTTCTTGCAGAGTCTGATATCATCTGTAAGCTTATTGTAAGTCTTTGATGTGGAATATTTGACACATACAAATTCGTCGTCTGATCCAGTAGAATAGTAGTTCCAAGACGTTGTCTTCATTAAATTTTGGGCTACGTTCTCAAAGTCCGATATATTGATGCAGTGAGACAGCTTGGGTTTGCGGTATATACTTTTCTGGCTTCCATCTCTGGTTTTTGGTGTCGTGTCTTCGTTTATGGCTACACTTGCATCAACATCACCAAGATGATTTGATGGTTCAAGCCATTTATCGAGGATATCAATTGAATGAATTAGATCGAAATCTCCTGTGGAATCTTTTCCCTACAGTGTGTGAGCATGAATAATTTCTCTGTGTGTACAAGAAACCTACTGCATTCTTCAATATGACTTTCCTACCTCCAGGATGATCTAGTATCAAAACATTAGGCATGGAAGACAATTTTCTTAGGGACGTAACAAACTTGGAAGAAACTCGGTAAGATCATAGACCTTGTTCTGTTCTGTCGTTAGTGAAGGCCGTAATGATTTATGAGCGATTTTACATGGATGATGACCCAACATGATTTCGCACTATTGTGCTTCGCGACATCGGAAGGGTGGAGGGCCATTTTGCCTGGAAGAATTCTTGATGATAGTGACAAGTAGTATGCGACGCGTTCAAGGTAAGATAAGCCTTCAGTAAAAAAACGTAGACAGATATTGGTGTTAATGAGTGTGAGCTGAAATTGACTAGTTCGTTATCGTTACCCACTTGTTTGCGTGCGAGTGGAGACACATGATGCAACTCGGTAGAACAGAAAAGCCTAGACTGACCAAAAAGTGAGTCTGTAAGTCTACTATCAGTGGCATAAGCACTAGTTTGATCTTGATCACTTTGCCAGTTGTCTGCCACAGCATGGGTCTATCTGCCAATAGCAGGGAGCAGGGTAACTAGTTATAGTAAGCCGTGAAGACTATGTTTACCGGAGTGTCAGGTCTCTAGAGACGCTCCATAGTTCAGAATATTATCGGAAATTTGTGTTCATATTAGAATAAACGCTGTCGTGAACACCTCGCGACAAGTCACACGTGAAGGATTCTACGTAAAAAGATCCGTTGGCCCAGTCAAAATTGTTCCGACATGCAGACTTCCAAAATAATGGTTCATTCTTAATGCAGATCGTGAAATGGAAGCCTAATGGAAATGCTTTAGGCTTCTGATTGACGAGAATGTCAAGACCTCACACTCGCTGGACACCTGGAGAGCGAAACTTCGACGTCATAGACTTAAGCAGTTTCAAGTCAATCACGCTGAGTAATTTGCTCATCAACCTTTGCCAGGTACTTTCGTCTCATGGTTGCCGTTTAATTACGTAGGTAACTATCCGGTCGCCCGAAGCTCTTCTAACCAGTGCGACGCGATTCTGCAAAGTTTCTAGTGCTTGTCGATGAGATGTTGCTAACGTTATACTGCTAACGTTAAACTGCTAACGTTATGCTGTAAATATATCTCGGTAGTTGTGTGCTGCTTCAGGCATCATCGCCGCAAACTATACCAGAATTGTACTGTAAAGTGGGACATGACGCATCTTAAGTAGGTTCACTCATGGGATAGCGGCAAAGACGTAGCGAAACTGCTCAAGTCATGACATCACCACGGGTCGATTTATAATTATTGCGAGACTTTATAATAGTACAGGATGTCCTTTAACCTTGAGAACTGAAGCAAGATCAAAAATTCAAATTAATAGTACATCGTTCTACAATGGCACCACGGAGATTCCAAGCCGATCATACAGATGCGAGCCCATTAGCCCAGCCGCTCAAATTTGAGTTTAGTGGCCAGACCGCCAAAAACCGGTTCATGAAGGCTGCCATGACTGAACGCCTTTCAACATGGGATCCCAAGATTCTCAAGAAGCGAGGTATTCCCATGCCAGAACTTATCAACGTTTACCGGCGATGGGGCGAGGGAGACTACGGTGTTATCCTGACTGGGAATGTCATGGTGGAATATGACCACCTCGAGGCTGCTGGAAACCCCATCGTGCCTCGCGATGCCCCTGTATCTGGCGAACGATTTGAAGCGTTCAAGGAGATGGCGACTGTTAGCAAGAAGCATGGAAGCTTGATCATTGCGCAGGTCAGTCACCCTGGACGTCAGGTGGCTGAGGACATTCAGAAGAATCCTATCTCTGCCAGCGACGTACAGCTTGAGGGCGAAGTGATGGGAATGCACTTTGCCAAGCCCAAGCCCATGGACGAGCAGGATTTTAAGAATGTAATTGAGGGTTTCGCCCATGCTGCTGAGTTCCTTCACAAGGCAGGCTACAACGGCATGCAATTACACGGCGCACAGTAAGTACAATCACTACATTTCAAAACTTGAAAGTCACTAACAGTGCTATAGTGGTTACCTTTTAGCACAATTCCTTTCTCCTACCACCAATAAGCGAACTGATAAGTATGGCGGATCAATTGAGAACCGTGCTCGTATCATCTTCGAGATCGCAGACGCTATCCGTGCCCGCGTTCCTGATAAGTCATTTGGCCTGTCCATCAAGGTCAATAGTGTCGAGTTTCAAGAGGGCGGTTTCTCCACAGATGACTGCAAGGTCCTTTGTCACCAGCTCGAGGAGCATGGCTTTGACTTTGTCGAGTTGTCTGGAGGAACCTACCAAAATCTTGCCTTCTCTCACCGAAGAGAGAGCACCAAGAAGCGAGAGGCTTTCTTCCTTGATTTTGCCGAGAAGATCATTCCTGAGCTCAAGAAGACCAAGGCTTATGTCACTGGTGGTCTCAGAACCGTGCACGCCATGGTGGAAGCTCTCCAAACTGTTCATGGTATTGGATTGGCCCGTCCTACTACGAACGAGTTTGATCTGCCCGCCAAGCTTATCAATGGTGAAGCCAATGCGGCCATTGACACTCTACTCGATGAGCAGAATTTTGGCATCACAAATGTTGCCGCTGGTACACAGTAAGCTGCATTAGCCCTCTCCTCACATATTCAATGATGCTGATATTTGCAGGATTCGATTAGTTGGAAAGGACAAGCAGCCCCTTGACTTGAGCCGCGAAGATCATAAGAAGGTGTTTGAAGAGTCAATGCAGAAGTGGGGTGAGGCTATGGCCAACAACAACGACCAGTCCAAATATGGATACGTTGATGTTGAGGGCACCAAGTTGGAGCCGTTCGGTGCAGCATATGCGGCGGCTTAAAACTGGTATAGATATAGAGTGATTACTACTTTAATAATGATTGTTCTGATTACGAAATAAACAATGAGAGAAGTTTTTAATGTAAAATGTGCTACTTTATGCACATGATGCTATCATTAAATCGTTGTGGACTTTTTGCCCTTTTCTCTATACTACAATGCAGACGATGTTGGGGGTGGAACTGCAACTTAAAGCTCTAAATACGGCTTTGAACAGTTTTGAGAGGACATGAGGTTGTGGCTCAAACCTTGTCCGAGTCCTCCAAATTCTCAGTCTGGCTCACATCTGCCTTCACGTCGTGCCGGAACTGCTGTTCCTCTTGTTTCAGCTGCTCCTTGAGGATCTTCTCTGCCTTCCAGATTGGCTTGAGCTTGAAGAGACGATGGACCTGTTCCAGAGGAATGCCACTAGTCTCAGGAATCAAGAAGAAGGCGAAGATGAACGCGAAGAATGAAAGTGTCGCAAAGAACATATATACGCCGTAACCCATCGCGGCGAACATCTGCTCAGTGAAACGTGACACGAGGAAGTTGAAGAACCAGTTGCTAGCTGTTGTGCAAGCTTGAGCAAGCGACCGGAAGCTGGGATCAAAGAATTCCTGGCATTTTGTTAATTCCTAAGTAATATGAACATTGCAAGACAGAAACTTACAGAGTTAATGACCCAGGGCGTGCCATTCCAGGTGGGCGTATAAACGGCGGTCCAGAGGTAGAAGAACACGATAGCAGCGATACCGCTGCCAGTTAGATGGTCTTGTGGATTCTTGGTAGGGTCGACGATGTAGATGTATGCGCCCAAAACCCACATACAGATTGAGCCTGTAATACCACCTATCAAAAGCAACTTGCGGCGACCAAGCTGATCAACGAGGAACAAAAGCCAAACGAAAGTCATGACGGCCTTAATCACGCCGAAAATACCAGTCATTACGTTGACGGTATCACGCTGGACACCAATGCTCTGTACAAGGTTAGCATTGCAGATCTTCAAAGGGTAGAAGATATACTTACTGAGAAGACAGTGGGAGAGTAATAGTTAATGGCATTAATTCCAGAGCCATTCTGCCAAAAGAACAGCATACAGCCTAGGAAGAGTCGGTACATCATGTTTGGTCGTTGGGCAAGAGCTTGGAAAGGCTTCCACAAGCCAAGACCGACGGTATGTTTTTGGATCTCATGAGCATGGTCGACGGCTGCAACCTCTTCAGTGATATATATATCAGTTGGCGTCAATTGTCGGATCCAACAGAGGTTCTTCAAAGCTTGTGTTCTACGGTCCTTGAGGAATAACCATCGTGGTGACTCTCGAAGCCACAGTGTACCGAGGAACAAAAGGCCAGATGGAATGATTTGGACGGCGAATGGAACGATCCATTGCTGATGGCTCTCGGGCATGTGTTTCTGAACTCCGTACTATTTACCTGTCAGTCATTGTATCGAGGGACAAGGAACCGTTTGACTCACGTTGATCCAAAAGCCCACCAAACCACCAATCTGCCAACCGAGCTCGTAAAGGCCGACAAGACGTCCTCGGATAGCGGGAGGTGCAAGTTCAGATAGATAAATCGGAATGATATTGGACGCGATACCTGTTCCAAGACCCGAAAGAACACGACCAGCGTAGAGGATACCCAGTCCAGTACCAGCATTAGCACCACACTGAAGACCAGCTCCAAGAGTGAACGTAGCGGATGCAATGGATAGACACCACTTGCGGCCAATCCAATGGCTGAGCAGATACGTAAGAAGTGCGCCGAAGAAGGCACCGGCGATGAAGAGCGAGACGATGTTCTCACTGATCAAGTTCCGCTCCTCTGTGCTCTTCTGGTCGATCCCAAACTCTTTTTTGAACGAGTCGAGGGTGATGGTGGTTCCGATAAAGGCGCTGGTATAACCAATCATGTTGGAGCCACAGGAAGCAACGATTGCCAACACGTACACCCTCCAGTTGTAGACCGAGGGCGGCGTAGGCCTGTCTTCGATGAGAGTGAGGAGGCCCATGGTGACGGATGTGTTTGTATGTGCAACCAATCGAACAGGAATACTGCCGAGACGGAAAACAACACAGGACACAAGCTTATATAGAAAATAAGGATGGAACAAGATCCGGGGCCCCAACTTCAGTGAGGAGTATTTCGTCTTCCCCAACCTGACAAAGTTTTTTACTCCATACGTTACGTTGCAAGAATTCCCACCTTTCTCTAGGACGCTGGATGTGAATTTTCTGGAAGTATTATGGATACTATGGAGCATCTGAGTCGGGCCGGACGAGCGTTTTCCCCGTGCGATACACCTGCATACGGGGCAGGAACATTCTCATCAGCATGTTATTACTATTAGCTAGTCATAGTGTAAGTTTAGAAACTACATGATCGACTTGAAAAAGCTTGAGTGATTGGAAGATTCGGCAAAGTGCTGGTCAAGTGTTGGGGAGGCTCATCAAGTGGCAGAAAATCTCCGAATTCTTTGAGCCTCAAACATTGGCGTTCACTGCCAAGTGACCGCTACTTACCGCCAGAGCCTGTAGCGCCTAGGCATTTCTCCAACAGGCCTCAAATTAGGGCATAACTTAGTGCTAGTTTACCACCAACCCATGCTACTCCCGCTCAATGCCCGGACCCCGGATAGTTCGGGGATCAGCATGTTGTGACTTTGTCCTCCAGGTTTGCATGCATCCACCGGGAAAATATTTAACCCCACAGGCTATGAGTCTTTTCCAGCAGCAGAGGGATAAAAGCTCGCAAGAGCCACGTCAAAAAGTCAGACTCCAAGCGTTGCATGGATAACGGATAACGGCACGTATAAATCTTTGCTGGTCGAAAATCACATGGCATTGATTGGGTTTGCCATGCCTGTCTACGTCAGTTTTACTTGCAGTTTATGAGTTTAACCCCAACGTACCCCATTGTGGGCGGTAGAGTCTTGATCCGGGGATATAAGAACATCATGGGGAACAGACGTGGGGGTGATAATCATATGAATAACATAATGTTGTTTGAACCAGAACTGTCATTAATCACATAGCTTATCTTCCGTTGGGAAAATATCCGCTGAACTCCGAATTTGTCCACAAGGAAGGTCTACTGTGTTGCCAAATGACTCGTGGATCCCGGAAACTCGCAGTATCTGAAAGTTTTAATGACAAACAATAGTTTGCGCTCTGGATTTGATTGCACTGTGGCAGAATGTGATCATACCTTGACCGATTCTCTGGCGTGGTAGTTATTCTTTGGGTAAACGTTATCTCTGACGCAGCTTCTGCTCTCAATTCAGTTTTTTATATCATTGCTGGTAGTGTCTCTTGACACAGTTCCTGCTAATGGCATTGGTTTTCTCATTAACGTCCGTTTTCATTATAAGACGTATCGAGTTTCCAAGAAAGCCTGTACGCTGGCTCTCTCTTACCATTAATTGGGGTTTATTGATTGTTGACTACACCATTGGAGTCAGCTCCATTTCTGTTTCTGCTGCTACCTTTTTCTTTCCTTAAGGCTGAGGGTGTTGATAAGTTTGTGAACTTCAATGTCTGCTCCATTGGAAACTATTGCGTTTTGTAACTACTAGAGCCAGAGATGATTCGTGGTATTCTGGTGTTGTGTGGTTGACATGCCTGATGCTATCTATTTTTCGTGACGAAACCGCCTGATCAGATCTATTAGACTTTGAGAAGCCCCAACAAATGCCTGATGCTATACGCCACAGGGTAGACATGGCCATCCGACGATCTTTCCACAGACGGATTAGTATGTCTCACGGGATTCCTCAGTAACCTGTAAGTTTCAGGAACACTTGACAATGGCAAAAAATGGTGGATATAAGTGTATTTATGCTGCTGATTCTGCTTGTAATGCAGGCCGATATGTGTTACTATCGGGGCCACGCGATATCTCGGGTAAGTTTTCGTCAGATCAATGAAACGATCTAGTCCTGTCACTTTCATGAGTCTACAGTCTTGAAACTGTACAAAAAACTGTACAATGATGATAAGTAGATAAGATAAGATAAGATATCCCGTCGCGTAAGATTGGTTTATCTTCGGAAATGATGTTTTCGGTTCATTGATCGCAGTCGCGACTCGACATACCTAATCTAGGTACATAGTAATGAGCGTTTGGCTATCATAACATGGATCACTTATCAGCTGGACATAATCTTCCTTTGGGGAGGCCTGGGCCTCGTCAACGCGTCGCGCCCATTGTCCCAGTCCTGGTGCTTTTTCTCCTTGTTAATCTCTCAATGAGTCTCTATCAACTACCATCCAATCGATTGATCGAGAAGCGTCTATGTGTAGATTACTATCACCGGAATGATCCCTCTAAGTTCCTACCCGACGGTAGTTTGGACGAGAAACTGTGCAAAATTCGTGATATCGAAAAAGAGCTTGGCCGAATCCAGGGCGTGATGGAAACGCTTTGGGTTGCTGGAGGTAGCCAGATCACTGCCTGAAGTACATCTTACGCGGCTAACATCTTCCAGATTTTATCATGACAATTCCGCTGAGTTTCCTCGCTGAAAAATGGGGGCGCTCTTCTATCCTCAGATTCAATCTCATCTCTCGTTCATTCCTGCTATTCTGGGCTATCGCTGTCGGTAACTTCGATCATCTACTCTCAACTCGTGCTATACTAGCAGGCCCTGCCCTCTCCGTCCTCGGTGGAGACTGTGTCTTCAACTCTCTTACATATGCACTTGTCTCGAACCTGACAGATGATCATGTTCAGCGGGCCATATACTTTGGCTACATGAGCTCTGTCTCTTATGTTGTGGCGCTGCTCGGTCCAGCTTTGGCCTCTGCTACCATGTCATTGTCGCTGTTACTCCCATTCTGGCTGGGAATCTTATTGCTGCTGTTTGCCATACCGGCCATACGGATGCTGCCATCACCTCTGAACATGAGTAAAAACGTCGATGATCCCGATGAGGAACAACATGAACCTCTTTTATCATCTCCACGCTTGAAAGCCCAAGAGGATACTCAGTCGGTCTTCCATTCAGTGTTACAACGCCTCGAGACTATCAGAAACATCGTCACCAGACATCCAACGAACTTTACCCTACTTCTCTTCAGCTTCATTCTCACGTCTCTTGCAAGTTCTGACACGAAACTCCTTGTTCAATATATCTCCGCACGATACGAATGGACCTTTGCTGCGGCCGGATACCTTCTATCCGGAAAGGCGGTCGTTAACTTCACGTTACTGACACTTGTCATTCCTCAAATATTGCGTTCGGCGCGTCTCGTGCCAGGCGAGGCATACTCGGAAGCTGCGGACAAATTAAACCTTTGGAACGCTATGTATTGTCTGTTGGTCTCTGTATTTGGTGCCTTGGGAATTGCCGTGGCGAGCAGTATCTGGATGCTCGTTCCAGCAATGTTCATATACGCTCTCGGATCTGCCTTACCTATCTTTACTCTTTCCCTTCTCAAATCACCCGCTATATCACCCCAGCACATGGAAGATGCTACCCATGCGTCTGAGATTGAGAACCATGTCTTCTCGATCGTCATGTTGGTCAAGACTGCAGGGTCTCTTATTGGTGCCCCGCTGATGGCTACGCTCTGGGTCTACGGCCTAAGCCTAGGCGAATTTTCACTTGGGATGCCGTTCTTTTTCAGCAGCGTCTGTTACGGTGTGGCTATTTGGGTAATTTTCAACATCAAAGTAGATAGATATTGGATGTCTCGACCCTAACGACTACTGTGGAAACTGACTGGGTCGAGTAGAAACGAGGCTTACGCAATACGACTATTTTCTTGGTGTCCTTGTATATTGAACCGTTGTTCCTCCGAGGACTGTCTTGAACTGCTCTTTCTATTTGCCAGAGAACGATGTCGTATCTCAGATACAGGGATGAGGATGGGATGAAACTTGACAACCACCCTGCAATAGAGTTGCGTCGTGTCATTCCTTCGTCCCGGCACCGGCGGGTACATGCAGGCTGTTTACATGATGAAATTGGAGGTTCAGATGTTTGACGATCATCGTATCGACGTGCAGTGTCCCCTGAGTAGCCTGGCTTCACTGGGGCTTACAGAATGCGGCACGAGTCGAATCACAATGCCCCAATACGACATGGCTGGACTTACTCCACCAGGTCTTGGAAAAAGCTTGATTAACTATAGATTGACTTTCTGGAAAACAATCTCGGCGACAATACGATGAAGATTCAGCTGCCAATTATTTGAAACACGGTGGATTGACGAGCTACCGCTCTTAGCCTGAACAATCAATGCCAAAAAAAGTCCGGGCAGATGTCTACGTAAACAACCTCTAACGAGGCTTAAAATAGACCAAGGCTTAGATAGGTCAACTCGAACATCTTTCCCTATACGTACACTTTAGCTCACCACCTGCAACCTGACGGGAATTACAGTACAGTCGCAACTGGTTTCATTGTTAAGCTTAACGCCCAAACCCTAGCAAGGAGCCTGTTTCAGCATCGGGCAATTTCTCCCATTTTAAAAACTAGCCAGTGATCGTCGCATTGTGTCATGCAAACTGCAGGGGTCAGTTCGCGTATGATAGGTGGTCTTTTTGACAACTGAAACAAGTGGTGATCGTGTATCATTTGCATCGTGTCAAGATGGGCCATAGTGACCGGTTTTGCGGTCCATGCTGTTGATTACGTTTACGCAAACCCTGTACGAAAGAAGAAACTTGACTTCTGGGGCGATCTGCAATCGGAAGATGTCACTGGATCAGCGAATAACCCCCGGGCAATGACAAACATATAAGGCTGTGACATGCCCAGATAATTGTGATTTACTTCATCAGCAATCACTCTCTTCGTCTTTCACTTCATTCTTTTGACAAGCTGCGCTTGACCATTCTTTATCTTTCTTTGCAATATTCAGTCGTTTCAACCGGTTTGATACCACTTTCACTCTTACCCTCCAATCGATTCCCTTCAACAACCGCGAAAATGCAGTACAGTATGATCATGGCCACTTTGGCCCTTAGCGTCTACGCTGCTCCCGCTCCTATGATCACTGGCGCTCCCTCTCTGTCTCGCCGACAGGAAGGCGGTGCTGGCGGTGGCAGCAGTGTTCTCGACGCTCCCATGACCATTGCTGCCGGCGAGTCTTTCGACGGCGGTAACGCTATCTTCGACCGTGGTGTTTCCTGCACTGGCCAGGAAGAGGGTGGCGACTCTGACGCTGTCTTCATCCTCGAGAAGGGCGCTACTCTTTCCAACGTTCGCATCGGTCCCAACCAGATCGAGGGTGTCCACTGCAACGGTGGCTGCACTCTCAACAACGTCGTTTGGGATGCAGTCTGCGAGGATGCATTCAGCATCAAGAAGCAGGACGATGGTGAGACCACCACGATAAACGGCGGTGGCGCCAAGGGTGCTGAGGACAAAGTGATCCAGCACAACGGCGGCGGTACCGTTATCATCAAGGACTTTGAAGTCTCCGACTTTGGCAAGCTTTACCGAAGCTGCGGTAACTGCAAGTCCATGCCTGCTCGTCATGTTGAGATCTCTGGTGGTTCCGCTAGCAACGGAAAGATGCTTGTTGGTATCAACCCCAACATGGGCGATACTGCCAAGATCTCTGGTATGCAAGTCACCGATGTTCCTAAGGAGTGCATCACTTTTGAGGGTGTTACCGATGGAAGTGAGCCCAAGGAGGTTGGAACCTGTGATGGTAACGGCTCTGGCTCTGGATCCGGCGACTCTAGCGAGATTCCTGCTACTCCTACCGCCCCCGCCGATGACTCCGAGACCCCAGCCGCCTCTGAGGTTGCGGATCCTGTTGAGTCTTCTGTCGATGGTGGTTCTGATGGCGACAACGAGTCTGGTGACGACCAATCTGGCGATGACCAGAACAACGACGACTCGGATGATGAGAACAAGGATTCGGACGAGGACAATGAGGACAAGGATCAAGACTCGGGCAACAACAATGACGAGCAAGAATCCAGCAACGAGAACCAGGGTGACTCCAACGGCCAGCAGCCATCTCAGCCTCCCCAGTTCGATGCTCCTCCTCAATTTAGTGCCCCTCCTCAGTTCGGCGGTTTCTAAACCCAGGCTGTTCTGATATCACATTTCTGAGACGAAAGTAAGGGTGGGTTTGAACTTGAGTTGTCTTTGCAACGAAAGATTCGGATTCTTTACGTATCAATATTTTATTCAAGAGATATACTATTTTTGTGTCGCAATAATGAGCCTGTGAATAGTAGATAGCTAGCAATATTCACTTGTAGAAGTGTGACTGATTGACGCCTTGTCGTCGTTCTAGTATTCGTTCTGGAATATCATGAATATACTCCCTGGTTTTAGAACATCGAGTTAGGTCTAGCGGCGCACTTAACTGTTCCATGCATATTATTAGCAGTGTTCGTTTGAGTTGACGACAATGATGTAACAAGTATTCAGCATGTCAGTACTAGACGAAAATAGGTAGCGGCCGGGAAGATGAAATAATAGGGCTGAGCAGGAGACTCCACTGAAACTACTTTAGTAGAAACATTGAGGAAATTGTTATGCCATGTTCGTTAAATCTTAGATGCTGTTGTTTCCTTTCAAATAATACACGGTATCGCCTTGCCTCGTTCGTAACTGTGGGACAAAGGCATGCCAGTATTGACCCGATGTATACAAGATTCGCATCGTGACATAAAACTCATGGCGATGTCTGCCTAGGTTGCCAAGTTTCTCACATAAGCATGCTCATTTCACTTAACGTACATCACAAGCGAGTGTCCCACACAAGCGAGTGTCCCACCAATCTACACCTAAAGACTCGAAAGAGAAATAAAAACACTACAACCTATCTGATCAATTAAAATTAATTGCTATACTATTCCCTATTGACCTCAATTGACTCTTGACAGGTCCTTGCAGTATGCCCGGTCTTTCCGCAAATACTACATTGCCGAGGCTTTGATCCTTGTGACCTTCCTTGACTACCTCTTGAGGATTCAGCTGTCACCTGCGCATTAATATCTATCTGATCAAGTGCTTGTGATGCTTCCGTTATAGTTAAAGCCCCTTCTTTCTGTATTATAGTCCTTCTTCCCCT